ACTTAACTATAATTGTATTGATTTAAAAAATCCTTCTAACATATATCAGAACAAAAAATTCCACCTATGAACGACCTCAAGGACACATGTGCATCCACAGTTATGGTTCCTATTAGTTTTCCATTTTTATTTCTCTCCCTGTCTTTATAAAATAGAGGTATAGAACTATAGGGCATCAGCACATAAATGGAAAAATATTTTTTGTACTATCAGAAAAAAATAAAAAATCAGACAGAAAAAAAAATTGTTTTTCAGACCACAGAGTCACAGCCCAACTTATTTATTTATGTATTTATGTATGTATGTATGTATGTATGTATGTATTTATTTATTTATTTACTATATTTGTATACCACCCCTCTCAGCCCGCAGGTGACTCAAACTTTCTCCTTAGCTATAGTCAGAAAATTCTTAGTGTAGACCTAAGAAATCACTATATTTGGAAACAAATACCCATAAAAAGAGAATGGGAAGCAATACTCTGATACAGAATAAAAACAGGCAGTACCCAAGTTACAAACATCTGCGTTACAAATGGCTCATACCCCTTGTAAGGGAAATTCACTCCTGAAAGAGTTATCTTGAGGAAAAGATGTCTTGATGAAGCTTTATCACCAATCCTTGTTTCCCCACCAAGCCAAATTTTTCAAAATTCAATTCTCACAGGGACAGAAAGTGAGGTGAAATCTTCTGAACAAGGGCACAGACAGCAAAACAAACACCATGGGAGTGTTCATCCTTTCCTATATAATCCAAAGCTTGTGAGTGTGTGTGTGGCTGGAGTTACACTTAAAAATGTACATGTTCCAAGTTACATACAAATGCAACTTAAGAACAAACCTACAGCACCTATCTTGTTCGTAACTTGGGGACTGCATTTTAAAGATGACAGTGATAGCAACTGGCAAAATCCACGCAGCTATAGTGTGAGAGCTCACATTTGTGACCAATCTGAAGAGTTCAGGGACATATTACAAAAAACTCATTTTTCAACAACTGTCCTACAATATGCTTTTTGTTGGTTAGCAATAATGTTACCATGATTTCCTCTTTTCAAAGGGAGATCCGATTCATAAGCAGGGAACTGTGTGGCTTATTTCAAGGCAGGCATTCCATTCTGGAAAGCATTCATCTAGGAAAAAAATCACATTTTTTTTGTTATCAGAAGAATGACTTACTAAACAAATATTAGAAAGCTGTTCATACTTCATATTGCTTGGGCAGTCACAAAGCTTTATCTGAATTTTCTGCATAGAGAGGGAAAATAGCCTATCTTCATGCAAATTCCAACTGACTCACCTTCAGGGTCCAATGGCATTAGTCTGGGAATTAACCATATATCCTACTGTGTGCACAAGGTGTTTCTTAATAGATATCATCTGAATTTTGCAGTGTTTGAACTGGGCAAGGCTGAAGATCTGACTCAATATTTTTACAATTCAGTTAATCATGAATGTATTGATCAGTGAGAAATATAATGTATTTAAGGGTTGATATTACATAGTTTTGTATGGACCACTATTTAACATTCCTTTTCACAAAGCAATACATTTGGGGATGGGACTTTGATTCCCCCATCCCCCAATATCACGTTGTAGAGTTTCTGGGTAAGGTATGAGCAGCATAGTTTATTAGATGAGTCGCTACACCCACATTGTAACCACTCATTCAAACATTATCATCCAATGCATGAGAGTTTCTACAGACTTTATTGCACGAAGTTACTATTCCATGGCATGGATAGCCAAAACATACTGGGATGAACACCTTCATTATTGCACCTGTTTTTATTTGCACAATTGTGCTGATTCACCAGTCAATGGTCTTGCAATATTTCCACATACTCTTGTGACCCCTCCTTGGCACACATGCTGTGCCATAATTTTCTTTTCTTTTTTTAAAGCAATCCCATGGTCCCAGCAATGGTTAATAAAGAAAGGGCTAATATAACAGTAAAATATTAAGTAAATATCAAACACAGCTGAGAAATAGAAGACAGGGGAGAGAGGAGAAGAATCCCATCACCTGATGTCATTTCTGTCCTAGAAATAAGGCCAAATATGAAACCAATCCAGTTCTATTCTATTTTTGTGATCTGAAACAAACAGTTTATGACTATCTCCAGGGGCGGCTCAACCCATTACGCAAAGTAAGCATTTGCAGTATAGTTGATTTTGCCCAGGGGCGCTCTTGAGGCGCTCTTGGGGGGAAAATAGACCTTGACATATGCGAGTTGTAGTTACTGGGATGTATAGTTCACCTACAATCAAAGAGCATTCTGAACTCCACCAATGATGGAATTGAACCAAATATGGCACACAGAACTCCCACGAGATTGGTTGGGGGGGGGTGCCAAAATACTGTTTGCTTACTGTTGAAAATTACCTAGGGCCGCCTCTGACTACCTCGTTCTCATGCACCCGACATACATTTAATGATTATTTTGAGTAGAAGCCCACTGGCAAAGATGCAAGAAGTTTATATGTATATTGATTTACAGTAGCTGCTTTTGAGTTGCTATATGGGCAAGAGGTCGATGTCTAGTAATGTTTCTGTTTCTTCACCTTTCATTGACTGTATTTAGGGTAGCTGTGTAGCTGATTATCTTAAGAATTTTGTGATCTGTCTCCCAGCAGTTGCAAACACATGTTTTCTATTTTGAGGAGGAATGCTAGCAACTCTGCAGGTTCTTATTCACTTTGATTTATGATGTGTTCGCCCATCTTGAAAAATATTTTAGACTAATCTGTAGAAGGAGTTATTGCAATGTGATAGTGGTGTCAAAGCTGTTGGAATCCAATGATGACAAAACTACAATGCCCTTTCTAATAATTCACTATCATTGATGGGTAAATGCTCCTTGAGTAGTTTGAAGCCTGGCACAGTAATGTATTTACTAGAGCTAATAGAAGTCCTTATTTCTCAAAACACACACACACACACAGAGTGTGTGTGTGTGTGATTTATTTTGCTATCTAGGTCAGTACTGTGAATTCTCGCTCTTAATGGTCTGCTGTGTTCTGGTTGAATTCCTGTTTAATAATAAGCCACTTCTGGTAAAAATGGGCAAAAATGCCCTGTATGCCTTTGGGAGAAATAAAAATGCTATAATAATAATAACAACAACAACAGGAAAACAACAACAACAACAGGAAAAGCTGACACGATATGAGGATTTAAAGATTGAACTGCAAAGACTCTGGCACAAGCCAGTGAAGGTGATCCCAGTGGTGATCAGCACACTGGGTGCAGTGCCCAAAGACCTTGGCATGCACCAGGGCTGAGTCTGAGTGAAAGAGGGTCTACCCTAGCAAACTTTTTGTATCATTACCCCAATGCATATGGGATATATTGAGCATGGTGATCAGATCATGATATGAATAAACATAACAGTTTAAATAATGTACCAGTAAGGCCTTCTTGCAGACAACCATGAGAATTTGGAGGGGGGGGGGGCTGAAGCCCCCCAAGGCCTCCCCCACCCCCAGAAGGCCGCCTTACTAGGATCTGCACGCATTATTCGCCAATACATCACACAGTCCTAGACACTTGGGAAGTGTCCGACGTGTGATCCAATACAACAGCCAGCAGAGTGTCTGCTGTGAACTCATCATGTTGTGTTTCAAATAATAATAATTTATTTGTAACCCACTCTATGTGTTTTGAAGCACGGAATAATTGCCTATATGTAAGCCACCTTGAGTCCCCTTCGGGGTAGAGAAGGGCAGGGTATAAATAAGGTAAAAAAATTAAAGGACTAAGGGCAGTTTTCAATAAAAGAGGCAAACATTCTATGGCAATAATGTAAACAACAGATAAACTCAAAAACAATAAATAAGAACAAACACAGTATAAAACTTATAATAGTTAATCCCTAAAAGAATGAAAAATTATCAACATTAACAACGTGGATAAGCAAAATATATTTAAAATATGATACAAATGGTCAAAATGGGCCACAATGGTAGGTTCTAAAGCCCTCCAACACCCTATGCGGGCCAATGAGCCCCTTTAACCCTTAGTAGTTTGCCCATCTCTACTTTAATTGAGAACTGATTACACATGAAGACCCTGGTAATCAAATCTGAGACTTTCCAATGCAAAATATGCACTCTGCCCCTGAAATGTATTGCCTGCCCAAGTGGCAACTGTCCACAAGTGTGAGGTCAATATTAAATTGATAATGTATAGGATATTTATTTTCTGGTCAAAGAATGTGTGTTCAGACCACACCAACACTACTTAATATGTTAGATTAATGCATATGTTGAGAAGAAAAACACTATTAGGTTATCTGGTGCAGGTGTGGGCAACTGTAGTCCTCAAGAGAAGTGAATTTTGGTATCTCATTACCAGTCAGTGAACTACCTTGAACAGATACTCTGGGGCCCAATCCACACAGCTGCCTCAGGATTTCCGAGCTGCTAGAGCCCTGAAAACCCAAGACAACACCGACTCCTTCCCAAAACCCTCTGCAAAAGACCTAAAAATCAAAAATTACTCACCTAGCCACCATGAAACTGCTGTCAGAGTCCTACTGGTGTGTAGAAATGACATGCCAGGAGGACTCCAACAGCAGTTTCATTGCGGCCAGTTGAGTAATTTTTAATTTTAGGCCTTTTCTGGGGGGTTTGTTTGGTGTCTAGGTGCCCTCCAGACGTTCCCCCCTTCCACAAAAAATGTATGGGTTTTGGGTGGAGGTGTATGATTGGGCGTGGGTAAAAGGCCTGTGTGGAACTGGCCTGAGTTACTACGTGGGTCCTATTGTTTGGCAGTCACCTGCAATGACGTTGACCAAGGTGATGGAGTGAGAAGGGAATGAGAGAAGGGAAGAGGAGAAATCACCCTCTCCTTTCCCTGAGTGCCCCTTTTTCCAGGTTGGCAGCACTGCAGGCAATGACTGATCAGTAAGGCACAAGTCGTGGTCAGAGATATATTTCTTAAAATTTACCCACTTTATGAAAAAGACTAACAATGGCCCCTTTCTCTCAACAGTTTCAGGGAACAATCTTCCCAGCTCCCAGTTTTGACCCTGTCATGGATGCCCAGATGTTAGGAGGAGCTCTACAAGGAATGGGTATGTCTATTGTTGCTGTCATTGTTGTTGCATGCCTTCAAGTAATTTCCAACTTATGTTGACCCTAAGGCAAAGGATTTTCTCGCAATATTGTTCAAAGCGGAACTGGCTTTGCCTTCCTCTGGGAGTCTGACTTGCTCAAGGTTGCCCAATAGGTAACCATGACCAAGGTCTACAGAATCAGATCTTTTATAGAAATGATTTTTGTTCAGCACCTATTTTCAAAGAAAACAAATAGCCTTAATTTGTGCTTTATTTATTTATTGAGCTAAAACTTCCCAAAACGTGACCAAAACTATATTAAAATAATATCAGGTCTGCCATTCCAAAGATATAGCATATTATTATCTGTGATTCGAAATAAAAACATCACATGATCTCCCAGTTTATATATATATATATATATATATCCCCAGCCCTGAAGTAATTTGAATATTATATATGAGAGCTTTCAAAGGTGAAATTATAATAATTTTGTTATATTACTTCATCAACCAGCATTTTTATATAAAAGACCGTGCTGCCACAAACTTTAGAATCCCTTTCATTGTTGAAATCTGAAATGCAAAATGGAGCCAAGAGAAGCTCAGCATTTGCATCTCCATGTACAGGATTCAGTAGAAACCATTACAATTACTGGTTTTCAACCTTCAGAAAACCTGTTCCATGTTGATTTTATTTGATTGACAACCACATGGGCTCCCTCCCCCCTGTACCGTTTCACCAGCCTCTGTGCCGAAAAGGCAGGGATGCAGAGTGACTCTTTCACCCCGCACACTGCTCCCGAACGGTGCTACTTCTCCCATCATACAGGGGAAGCATTGTGAGACATCCCTTGTTAGGAGGGAAGCGTCCTATTGCGCTTCCACTTCAGCTGCGGGCAGGGCTTCAACAGGAAGTCCAGCAACATTGTGTGGTTGGCAGTGTGCCCATCCATTACTGGACTGTCCCTTTAGTATCCTAGGATGCTAAAAAAGTAAATGTGATGAGGTCCCTATATAAACTCATTTCGTAGAGAGCTGTCTTTCATTCTTACTTCCTATGATTGTCAGCCAAAATTTCTGGCCCTTGACAAATACAGTTTCACAGCAAGTTTTTTTTTTCATGTCAAGAGCGACTTGAGGACTGCAAGTCACTTCTGGTGTGAGAGAATTGGCCATCTGCAAGGACGTTGCCCGCCTGGATGTTTTGATGTTTTTACCATTCGTATGGGAGGCTTCTCTCATGTCCCTGCATGTGGAGCTGGAGCTGATTGAGGGAGCTCATCTGCACTCTACCTGGATTCGAACCTGCGACTTGTCAGTCTTCAGTCCTGCTGGCAAAAGGGTTTAACCCACTGTGCCACTGGGGGCTCCTACTGCAAGCTATGATACCTGGAATGAAAAATCAGTAGTGAAAGACAACTGTTCTCAGGCAATACACATAAATGGTCTTCTTCTTTTAGAGAAGCATGTTATAAACCCAGTAAATAGCCAAAGACCCTTCTCAAATTCCCTAAAATGCAGAACAATTCCCAGAGACAAAATTATAATTCTGGAAGTTAATTATAATCTCCTCTTGTAAGCCTTTGTTAAAACACTGGCTGCGGAAGCCTGAACCATTATTTGAGAAGCTAGTGCAAAGGGAACAGCACATTAAAAAAGGCATCCTCTTCAATTTATTACACACAGCCTTGGTACACATGTATATGCAGTCTCAATCAGTAGTCAAATGGTAAGTAGGCATAAAAAATGGAGGTCAGTGACATTAAAATAAAGATTTAATCAGCATTTGAAGGATGTAAACACCACAAACAAGAGTCCGATATAAATCTTTACATGACGACTAGCGCTTGTTCAGAGAAAGCCATTATCACTTCTCTCCATGCGTTCATGTCCATTGCCCTTGAGAGGTACAGCAATGCATCTGATAATGTTATTTGTCAAGAGCACTGCAGTATGTCAAAGGCACATAAGTACTCTAATTTCCATCAGAGTTTGAAAATGCCAATGGAACATTCATGGGTTATTTTTTTTCCTTACAGGAAATGAAATAAAGCACTGCAATCACTGACCAGTGCCTATAACAACAGCAACAAGAAACTGCTCTCTAATCCTACCCTTTTTTTTTTTGCTTTCTCTTGAAGAGTGCAATAAAGATGTGCTGATTGACATTCTAACACAGCGCTGCAATGCACAAAGACTCATGATTGCTGAGGCTTACAGGAATATGTATGGCAAGGTAGGTTATTATGTGTTGTCGAAGGCTTTCATGGTCAGAATCACTGGGTTGCTGTGAGTTTTCTGGGCTGTATGGACATGTTCCAGAAGCATTCTCTCCTGACATTTCACCCTCTTGTCCTTTGCTGAACGTAGTATTCTTAGTGGGTCTGTAGATAGTTTGTAGGTTGTGTTTCCTCATCAGCTTCCCTATGCGGTCAGTGGTTCCCTTGATGTATGGTAATAACACTTTTCCTCTGGGTAGATCTTTGTCCTTACTCTCATGGCTTGTTCTTGGCCTTGCAGCTCTTTAGATAGTATCAATTGGCCTATAGAGCCCAGTTTAGGTGGTTCAGTTCACCCTGGAGGAGGTGGTGTTCGCAGATCCAACAAATGCTACATTCAGCAAAGGACGAGGCATCCTCTCACCTCTGCAGGAGTCTACCAGATACCATGCAGCTGTGGACAAGTCTACATAGGGACTACCAAACGCAGCATTGCCCAAACACGAATCAAGGAACATGAAAGGCACTACAGACTACTTCAACCTGAGAAGTCAGCCATAGCAGAGCACCTGATGAACCAATCTGGACACAGCATATTTTTTTGAGAACACAGAAATGCTGGACCACTCTAACAACCACCATGTCAGACTATACACAAAACCACTGAAATCCAAAAGCATGTAGACAATTTCAACAGAAAGGAGGAAACCATTAAAACGAACAAAATCGGGCTACCAGTATTTAAAAACTCTAAGATTAGGACAGTAAATAAAGAACAACACGCTGAAAACAGGGGAATTCCAGACACGAAACTATCAGAGCCAACTAACACTTCCCAACAAAGGATTCCACCAGACAGGCTAATCAAGCTGGCCAATGGCAACATTCACACTTGCTTCAAACAGACAAGAGTTCTTTCTTTCACCCTGGACCTTCCACAGATATATAAACCTCCTTTGCTTAGTTTCCAGAGTTTCACAAACTCTGAGGATGCCTGCCATAGATGTGGGTGAAATGTCAGTAGAGAATGCTTCTGGAACATGGCCATACAGCCAAGAAAACTCACAGCAATCTAGGTTTTTATGATTTCACCCTTGCTCATCCTAACCCTTTTAGCCACAGATTCACCATCTATGCTTTCAATTACCCAGACCCCCCAAAACATTTCCTCCTGGAAGTGTTTCCAGGCATCTCTTGGCCCTCCATTGGTATGCTTCTGGCCCAAGAACAGTAAAAATATAGAGTTCACTATATTTTTTTTGTCGTGTCAGGAGCGACTTGAGAAACTGTAAGTCACTTCTGGTGTGAGAGAATTGGCCGTCTGCAAGGACGTTGCCCAGGGGACGCCCGGATGATTTGATGTTTTTATCATCCTTGTGGGAGGCTTCTCTCATGTCCCCGCATGAGGAGCTGGAGCTGATAGAGGGAGCTCATCGCCTCTCCCCGGATTTTAACCTGCGACCATCAAAAGTTATAGGTTCTCCATCTGTGCTCCAATATGTGATTAATATTGTTACCTTAGTAGGAGCAAAAACCACAGGATGATTGATGATATTTTGATTAAAATATAGGCTTCTGATTTGTTTCCCCCTGATAAAGCTCTCTAAGCTATCTTCTTACATTTCATTATGTTGATTTCTCATCACCAAAACCACAAGAAAATTTTAGCAATGACAACTCAGAGTTATCTTCTGTCTTTTTTTTTCCACTTCTCTTCTCCATTACTCTATTTTCAATTGGAAGGGGTAATTTTTAATTAGTCTCCATTTCTATTATTAATCAGTTCTCCTACAGGCATGCTGTCAGCTGCAAATGTCTTAATGGATTAATTTCTATTCCATGTGTGATTTGGTGGCTGTCAAATGTATCTAATGTGCGTTCAGCAAAGATTACATATTGTTTTTTCAACATAAATTCATTTTTAATTTGTATGTCTCTTTCCTCATTGCTGCACTGTCTGCTATGTTAATTATATTCACAAGGCTTGTGGTTACCTTTAATTATTTGCCTTCTGAGAGCAACTTTTGCATTATATGTGCTATATTTCATTTATAGTTTATACTGCCTCTTTATTGCTAGATCCCTTGGTAATGAAAGTAATCATACACAATTCACAAAGAAGCACTTAAATTCAAGTTGCACTGGAGAAAACATCCCCTTGTGTTTGGGTTCAGTCAATCAAAATCCAGGCCTTGAATTGATGATCAAAGCAAAACAAATGCTAGTTAAAAATGGAGAATACAAATCCCTATCCAGTAAAAAAATAATTTCTCTTTGAAAACTGACTCTGAGCGAGAAACCATTTTTTGAAACAGTCAAAAAAGTTACTTTTGGGTACTACAGTCTGCAGTGATGGCTGAGAATATATAGTTTCAAAAAAAGTGATTTTCCAAGCTTTGCAAAACAAAACAAAAAAGAGGCAATATATACAAATGTGGCTCTTCAAATGGTTTTTTGGCTGACAGTTCCCATCATCCCAGGCAAACACAGCCAGTGATGGAAATTATGGAACTTGCGTCAACTGCATATCTCTGATTTAAATGGGGGGGGGGGGGTTAAAAATACCCAGGGCAGTGATTGCAGTGGTTCATGTGAAGTCTTATCTCTTCCTTTTCCTCTCTCTGCTTCATTTCCCCTGTTTTTAGGTTTTCCCAATAGTGTAGATACCCTCCTTTGTATTAGTTTTGCATAGAGCATAAAAACCCCTAGAGGCCAGCCTTAGTTGGTCGCCTCTATAGAGTTCCTTTGCTGGACTCCTCCTTTTTCTGCAGCAGAGCTACAGAGAACAGTGGCTTGGGTATTGTCTGGTAACCCTAGGCCCAAGCAATTCAAATAACAGGCATCCTTAGCACCTGCATTCAGTAGTATTCTTATACCACTAGTCCCAGTGACAACAGAAGCTTTTGACCAGCTTAAGCTTTACAAGAAAGAAGATTGAGACAGCTTATAAGCAACAGCTGGTAAACCATCGCTTTGCACCAGAGACAAAAGACTCCAGAGCATGACTGCAGTCTGCAAAGGCTACTTTTGTAATGTACTGTTTTAAGTTACCTTATAATAGTCCTGGGTGGAGTTAACCTTTTATTCCTCATTTTCAGTAAAACCATTTTGGTTATCTTTTCACCTTGCCTAAAGTGCCTCTGAGTGTTAAGGGTCTCAATCTTAACAGCAGTTATATAGATAGCTCCTGAGTAAAGTCAGACACTATAGTTTTTCCCAAAGGCTCTGGCGTGCCATCACAGTTTGTACCCTTAAGATACCAATGAAGAACCTATAGCTCTTCAAATTTTGGACTCCATCAACCCAACCAACATGGGCTGTCCAGAGTGGATGAGAGTGATAGATTCACCATCAAAAGTGATAGGTTCTCCATCTGTGCTCCAATATGTGATTAATATTGTTACCTTAGTAGGAGCAAAAAGTATATAGGAAGTTCGCCCAAACTTTGATCTATACAGGGCCCCTAACAATTATTTGTATAGTAGTCCCTAATGCCCATAGAAGCCGACAAAAAAAACTCTGAATTAGATTTGAGGAAAACGGGATTTGAGTTCAGATAAGAAAAAAAAACCCTCAAATTCTCATCTTCACATTTTGGGTTCTATCATAAACAGACTACACGAAACCTAACATTTATGATTCTCATTGTTTTCATGGTGAAAGCTAGATAGAGACTTGAGATGTATATTGTGAGTATTTGAAAATTAAATCAAAACCTCAGAGCTGAAAATTCTATCTATGTATTGATCATTTTGCTTCCTCTCTCACGCACACACAAAATATATGCATACAGGCAGCCCTCAAGTTACAAACATCCGACTTACAGATGACTCACACTTAAGTATGGGAGTGAGACAACAGTACATATTCCGACTTACAAACAAATTCATCTTAGGAACATACAGAACCTATCTTGTTCGTAACTTGGGGACTGCCTGTATATGTATATTTTTCACATAAAGGCAGGGTGGTATAGTTTTTTGAGGATTGGACACTTAAGTCTGGAGACAAGGATTCGAGTCCCTGCTCAGCCATAGAAATCCACTGTAGACTTTCAGCTTCAGAAGACAAAGACAAAACCACATCTGAACAAATCTGCCAAGAAAATCCCACAATAGGGTGACCACATGTTGGAAACAAGGGCATACAACAACAATGTATTTTTCACATTTATTTTTCCCATGTCAGGAGCGACTTGAGAAACTGCAAGTCACTTCTGGTGTGAGAGAATTGGCAATCTGCAAGGACGTTGCCCAGGGGACACCTGGATGTTTTGATGTTTTACCATCCTTGTGGGAGGCTTCTCTCATGTCCCCACATGCGGAGCTGGAGCTGACAGAGAGAGCTCATCTGCACTCACCCCGGATTCGAACCTGCGACCTGTTGGTCTTCAATACCTGTTGGCACAAGGCTTTAACCCATTGCGCCACCGGAGGCTCCGATTTTTCACATGATCATAATGTATTATTCACGTTTATAGTCCCCACATTGATTCCCCTCAGTCGCCTCTTCCTTTTCTTTCAGCTCTATTTTTGGTACATTAATTTTATGCAAGACTTTTGAATCTATAGCAATGTATGAAACAATGTACTTAACAAGCGTACACAACAAATGAGATCAACATCACTGAAATTAGCAAGATTACTAGAGCTACAGTCATGATTAAGAAGAGGTCACAGAGGCCAATGCTATAGCTTCCAGTTCTCATTATCTGTGGTCCCCTGTCCATCTCTATACTATTTTTAATTATGCTTCCTTGCTAAATGTAGAGTATTATAAATATTTTACATCAGCTAGAGACATTTGAAATTGATTGCAAATCCTGCTCAAAAGCAATCATGGTTAGCATTGGTATAACCACAATAGCATATGATGATTTATGGTTGGAAGAGATACAATATGCATGTGGGAAGAGAGTCTGTGATCCCATAACCTGCTTCAAATCACTTAAGCACCAGAATCTTAAAATCAATTAAGAAGTCAAATACAGATAAATTTAATTTGATCACCATGCTCAATATATCCCATATGCATGGGGGTATTGGGGTAACAATACAAAAGATTTGCTAGGGTAGACCCTCTTTCACTCAGACTCAGCCCCCCCCCCCAATCAAACTCAGCTCCCCCCGAAACAAAATCCTGGCTACGGGCCTGGTTACAGGTAAATCACTTGTATTATTTTTAAAAAATAATACTGTGTATACCGAATCATGTGGGTAAATATGTTAGTTACATATTCTTAAGGGGCTATGGGTGGCACCCTGTGCATTTTGGGAGTTCTGGGAGTATTATGTAATAGTCTTTCACTCAGTGTAATAATACAACGCTTACATTCTCTGCCTTTTGTTTTTTTTATTTATTGCATTATTATTATTCAAGAAAGTGATATACTTGTAATAAATGCTTTTTACCCTAATATCAAAATAATAAATTTATTTTAGAGAGACAGGGGCTAACCCAAGATTTCATAGCTAAGTTGGATTTTGAACCCTAATCCCTCTAGTCCGGTGGTTCTCAACCTGTGGGCCCCCAGATGTTTTGGTCTTCAGCTCCCAGAAATCTTAACAGCTGGTAAACTGGCTGGGATTTCTGTGAGTTGTCGGCCAAAACACCTGGGGACCCACAGGTTGAGAACCACTGCTCTAGTCATAAGCTTGGCCACTTTGGTACCTTTTGGTGATGATGTAGTAGAAAAGACCATTTGATAACTTCAGGATGACTATATTTTCTTGGGAACATTCCCCAGAGATTAGTATGATGTGTGTTGAATTCAAGCATTTTGTGAGAATTGTGTTCAATATATTTGCCTTCAGAGGTCAGCAATACTGTGTACAAGTTGATTGCAGCCATAATGCTAACTTTCTCATTCCAAGGATTTGCTTATGGACCTGAAAGAGAGTCTCTCACATCACTTCAAAGAAGTCATGGTTGGTCTGATGTATCCACCTGCCACTTACGACGCTCATGAGCTCTGGCATGCTATGAAGGTATTTGTTGAACCATTAAACTGTAGCATTACACTTTTTTCAGCACACTACAATATTTTCAATGGGAATAAAATGAATTTTATAATCAATAATCTCACAAAATGCAACAGGCGCAATCAAATCAAAGTATGGCATTGCAATTTTAACCATGGGATAGGAAATATATGTCCTATTTGTCATATATTTTGAAGCATCTATTGTTCCATTTGCCACAACCATCCATCAGTGCTGCTATTGTGGGTCAAAGAATAGTCAAATTTTTTGGCAGCACCATAAACACCACTAATTTCTCCATTTGCTTCAGGATTTAAATGAAAAATTTTAAAGCCATTATTTTGGTGGTCTTTATTAAACTACAGAAAAATGATGCCTTTTTCATTAATTTACTGAGGTGTTGGCTTCAGTCCAAATACTGGGCAGATCTATACTACTGAAATTTGAATGGTATTGGGAAAAAATCATATCCATATTAAGTAAATCATAAAATGTACTGATAATTGGTGAATGTAGACATTATGTGTCATCTCAGATTTGACACATGTACTATAACATAGTACACATAGTACACTATAGTACACTATAACTCTAGTACACACATCAATACTGAAATTAATTCTAAACGTACTACAATTTTATATTATTAATAAATTTCCTAATATTTTCATCTCATCTCATCTTTAATTACTTATTAATCACCCTCCATCCGAGATGCTCCAGGTGATTTACACTGCAGATATTACACAGGATAAAACACATACATACAAATATTAAAATTAACATGAGTCAAATGCTCCAGTAAAAAGCCAGGTCTTAAGCGCCAGGACAAAACGCCCCAAGTCGCGCATGGCTCTCAAATAGGGAGGCAAGGAATTCCACAAGGCAGGGGCAGAAATAGAGAAGGCCCTGCGCCTGGTGCTTTCCAAGTGCACTTCCCTAGGACCCGGTATATAGAGCAGATCGCGTTGGGATGGTCGTGGCGACCTCCGATGATGGTAGAAGGAGAGATGGTCTCTAAGATACAATGGACCCTGGCCATATAAAGTTTTAAAGGTCAGGACCAGCATCTTATACAAACCACAATACTCAATTGGGAGCCAGTGTAGATGCCACAGCACTGGTGTTATATGGCATTTCATGGGTGTTTTTGTGAGTAACCTGGCTGCAGCATTCTGGACAAGAGCTTTCGGGTCGTAGACATAGGAAGGCCAACATACAGGGCGTTGCAATAGTCCAGCCTAGATGTGACCGTGGCATGGATGACTGTTGCCAGAGCCTCATTCGACAGGTAAGGTGCCAGTTGCCTCGCTTGTCGTAGATGGAAAAAGGCCTGTTCGCTGGCAACAGCGACCTGAGCCTCCATCGTCAGCTTTAGAGGTTATGTTGTGTAGTCCTATGCATATTTGCTCAGAAAGCATACTTGTTTCTGTGAGGTAGATTATCTTAAAACATGGAAATCTCCATAACCTTTTGGATACTGTATGATCTTTGGAAAGGCATGATTTTGTTAGAGGTCACAACCTTTTGAAAAATGATGGCATAACCTCTTAGTAAAAGCATGACCTATTAAAGTCATAACCTTTTGGGAAAATGGCATTCATGCAAGGCAATTAGGTTTCTCAGCTGTTAAACCGATTTACCTATGTATGTCTTTGAACTGTTAGGGACAAAGATATGCCAATGCACAAAACACACACACATATAGCAGAGTTTCAGAAGTGTTTCAGTTGCCCAAAAACATCTACTCCCTTAAAATATATTTTCCTTTGAATCGTGCTCTCAAGAGACAAAAAAGCAGAATTCTTTAAAAGTTACATTGTTGGTTTACTCACAAACTTCATGTATTCAACATACAGGTGCTTTGCATATTAATCCAGTTACAAATAGATTTGAAGTAGTTTCTCTTAAAATCAGCAATTCAAAGTCCAAAGCATCTCTCTGTTCTGAGAGTCTAACAGAGTCTCTGTGTAGTCTGAAATCCAATTGGCTCTTTAGGCATACTGTTCCTACTGAAGTCTAAAGCATACTGTTCCTGCTGGCGGCTGAAAGCAAACAGTTTCTAGAAATGTAGTCTGGGTCCTGAACAATCCCAGTTCTGATCACATGGTCTGCAGCCCCTCCCACAACAAAGAGTTAAGGTAAAATTGCATGCCAATACAGATATACAATATGGTAAGCAATCCGAATTAATAACTAGTGGAGGCTTGAGAAGGTTGCGATTTCCAAGTTATTCTCAAGTAAAGGTGTATGGAATTGCAATATTAACATAGTAGCACAGTTATGAATCATATGTACATAACAGTGATTTGTTGTTATTTTACTTCTTTCTAGAGATCCAATTAATATTAGCTAAGAGGCTGCATTATTTTCTATCTTGTTTCATCAAAAGAAGTACTTGTATGCTTAAATGTAAACATGCTGATAAGCTGTCATAGGCTTAGGCAGCCTGATACGCAGTGATCAATGCAGTCCTAAAGCAAAAGAGATAAAATCGCTACTTCCCAGAAAATAAAAAAAACTTGAAAAGCTACTGCTATGAAATGGTTTTATAAGCTCTAGTTTACTCTGCTTATTCTAAATATGAATTAATTGCATTTGAAACCACTGTCTATATCAGCAATCTTTTTCTCCTCCACTCTAGGGAGCAGGCACAGATGAAAACTGCCTAATTGACATATTAGCCTCAAGATCAAATGGAGAGATCTTCCAGATGAAAGAGGCCTACCTCATGCGTAACTATAATTATTTTTCTCCACAAAGTACACATTAGCAACTATAATCTAGAACAGGCTGTAAAAACATATTTATACCTTTAATGTTTTGTATATTAGACCAGAAATTTCTTTTTTGGAGAACATGCACAATTGCCAACCACTGTAGCCCAATTTTTTTTGTTTTAGATCATTTATTAGGGTTGCTTCTGTTGAATCCTAGGAATCGCTGCCTGATGAGATATTGGCATAGGACTTTTACCTAGTCCCTCTACAGTGCTCATAATTACTTGAGAAGGAGTAGTTATTACTAAAGCTGTAAGCCTCTATACACTCATCAGAGAGCATGCTCTATTGAACACAGTTGGTCTTACTTTTAAACATTCAAAGCATTGTGCTGTAAGTCTATCGTGTGCATACACTCCCAAATGTGTCTGTACTCTGAGAGAATTTAGAGGTCTATTTCAGAGGAATAGGTTGGGAAAAAATATTGGATTCCTTGAGCTGCAAAGAGTAGTAACACCCCTAATAGACTTCTTAAGGAAAGTGTGTTCTACAAAAATGATCAAGACAATGATGTCTGTCTGTCAATTAAACAACCATTGACAATGGAATGGATTGCCCCTTCCTCTCCTGTGTGCTCCAGAGTAGATTTAGAGGAAAGAAAATGCTGCAAATGAACAAAAAAAAGTATTGGCTACCCGACCCTGCAATGCATAATGGGATTTTATTTCATCTAATACCTCTGCAAACTAATGGAACCATGGCAGTAAATAATAATAATGATAATAATAATAATAATAATTTATTTATATTCCACACTATCTCCCCGAGGAGGCTCAGAGCAAATTACAGAATAAATTTATGGCAAACATTCAATGTCATTATATAAATTAACAAAGACAAACAGTACCTAGACAGAGGCAAGGCTTCCCTCTTTTATTCATTTATGGCATCTGGAGGCTGTACTCGACTCAGCCATGGGGAGGTGCTGTTGTTTCATTTTCCACGTCTGAGGATACTGTTGTCCATGGATGCCTTGCTGGCATGTCTTCAGAGGCACCTTTTACCTCCCTGCAAAAGTGGTGCCTATTTATCGACTTACATTCTGTTTTTGAACTGCTAGGTAAGCAGAAGAGCTAAGGTTGATGGCGGGAGCTCACCCCACCCGCAGCTTGAACTGCTGACCATCTTGTCAGCAGGATTTTCTGTAGCTGACGTTTTAACCCGCTGTACTAATAAGGGTCCACTAAATGTGGCTTTTCAATATCCTGAGTAAGAAACAAATCCTAATGTGGAATGGAACACAAATTGACCACTGAATCTTCTTTCTAAGCTTCGTGGGAGACATAGGTGATCAGCAAATGGAATGACACAAGAGGTCCACCCTTGCATTCTTCAACAGTTGACTTAATTATATATGTTGTTCCCCCTAAAAAATAACTCATTTGTGTTAGAAAAGATTCTACTACATATTATAGAATACACAGTCATTTCACAATAGTTGCAGCTGATGCATTAAATTATATTAATAACTGCTATTGTGTATTTTCCTAGAATACCAAAATGACCTTCTTCAAGACATTTATTCCGAGACCTCTGGGCATTTTAGAGATACACTTATGAACCTTGCTCAGGTATTTTGTTTTAAATATAAACATTTCTGTTGTAATTTTGGGCTCTTTTGCTCTTTAAATTGACCAGCGTTAATACGTTAATTCTGGAAGACAGAATAGGAAATATTGCTCCTGAACTTACAATGCCATTCAAGCATCAATTGGAAACCATAGCTTAAGACTGGTTTCTAATTCTGAGCCGATAGAGAAACACTAACTATAGTCTGATTATTAGGATTCAATGATAAATCATTGAGAGGTGAGAATAAGGAAGTCAAGCAAAAAATGGAGGACTTGTGTTTAGGAGGAAAATGAAGATTGCAAGCCCAAATATTGCTGAACCACAATCTAGCAGTATAGATATATTGATCCTTTATACTCACCACTTCTCCTCCAATATGTGAGACTATAGAATTGTGATTAATCAGCAAAGCTTAGAATTTAAGTGGATTTTCCCAGGCTAAGCTGGATAAGTCTCCATGTGCTGTATATCAATCAACCTGTGAGCTGATCCACCATCATACTGACCTAAGCGGTCAGTGAGATGATGCCTAAGTACATGTGTAATAGGAGGACAGGAGTATCCGTGGTCTAACTTCAGAAGGCATTAGCAATATTAAAGAGTAGCTGTGTTCATGTGGGTTGCACTGTTCATTCAGCTGGATAGCTATGAGAAGCTACCATGGATGTGAATTTAGATAGATGGGGTTCCATGGAAAACGTGATATATTTGTGTGACAATAATCACAGACTCTTACTTTGCACCATATGCATTCACGTCTTTCAGGGAACCAGACAAGAAGGATATGCAGATCCTGCTATGGCTGCTCAGGATGCAATGGTATGAGCAAATTTAAAATCTCTTTGAAAACTTGTTTGCTGGAGTACCATCTCACACATCATTATCCTTCTAATGATCTAGGTCTTATGGGAAGCATGCCAGCAAAAGACTGGAGAACACAAAAACATGCTGCAGATGATTTTGTGCAACAAAAGCTACCAGCAGTTGTGGATGGGTAACTTATTTTCATAACTTCATTCCAGACTTAACTAAATGAGCATGTAACGGGAAGAGATGATACAGTGCTCGCCTAAGAACAAAATACTACATGTGTGAATGCTAATGGTACAAGAACTCAAGGGCTGCTCACGGTAACTTAGTTTAACATTGAGATCTCATTTTGACCAAATTGGATCTCAGTTGTCTACGTATTGCTTATAGAAACAACCGGTACAACAACTAATACTGTGATCCAGTTGCATACTATAAGTACAATCCTATACCCGGTGTAATTAATATTCTTTGATTAGTTTAGTAAATTTTGATAGCCAAATGCTATGCTTTGACAATATGGATTTTGTAGCCAGTGGATATTGTGCTGTATCTCAAATGTAAAATTATACTTGGAACAGTAACATTTATATTAATTCAATGTGTTCAAATTAATTGACAAAAAAGCTGCCTGCTCATCAACCACAGATATGTTTTCTTAAGTTTTTCAGGAATTTCAGAATATCTCTGGACAAGACATAGTAGATGCCATCAATGAATGTTATGATGGATACTTTCAGGAATTACTGCTAGCAATAGGTAACAAAATATTCATAATTAGAATACATTATACTGTTGCATGTTTATTAATATAACATTGTCATACATAGAAAAAATTAGAGAAACAGTTTTCTAATTGGAAAAGCTATTTATACTTCTGAAACTGCATTACAAATTGTTTTGTGAACTACAGTTGTATATAACATGGAGATTTTGCTCTTCTGCCTCCTGTTTTATAGCTATCATTGCATAAAGTTCTCGGTGGCCATTTAGATCTGAGCCTTGATCTCTCCTTGAAACTATTGGCAATGTTTTTAGATGCCTAGTTGTTTTCCATCCTCTAGATCAGACATGGACAAACTTTGACCCTCCAGATGTTTTAGACTTCAACTATCACAGCTCCTAACAGCCAGAAGACTGTTAGGAATTGTGGGAGATGAAGTCCAAAACATCTGGACGGCCAAAGTTTGCCCATTCCTGCTCTAGATAGTTTTAAGTATTTTCAGATGTAGTCCTATGTACACTCACCTTTGAATGCTATGGGATTTCATTTTGAGAATGCACTGTTATTCTCTGTATATCATATTTCTTATGTCAGATAATATTGGTTGGACATGCATTAACCATAGGCAAATCATGCTTCTGAGAACTTCCATGCATGTCTAATGTAGTTATGAAACTGAGGTTGAAAATCCAATTCAGTATCAATAGCATTTGGAATTTCTAGTTCTAGCTAAGGAATAATGCTTTTTGATAACCCAATTACTAGATTGGAAAGGAAAACATTACAAGCAGATTCTACCAAGGGTGAAGAAATTCTAGCATCTTACCTTTCACGGTAAAACATGGAATTTAGAATTCTTCAACTAGGGCCCTATTTACACTGCCATATAATCCCATCTGAAACTACATTGCATGGTCAGTGGAGTCTCATATAATGCAGTTCAATGCATTACTAACTGCATTATACGGCGGTGTAGAAGGTGTCTATTCGTATTTTTTTATGCTCTAACAGCTAGAGCAAAGGCTAGAAAGAAGTATAATTACGTACTTGTAATTGTGACAGGAATGTTTTGAAAATTGTAATGTCTTTATCCGATTTCTCCCTTTAGTTCTGTGTGTTAGAGACAAAGCTGCCTATTTTGCTTATAGACTTTACACTGCAATTCATGTGAGTATTTACATAATCTGAAAGTACGTTTTTACTATCCTTTTGTTTGTTAAATGGCCCAGTTCTCCTCTATAAAGGGGTTATAATCCTCATTTTAAAAGTGCTGCTCACTAGCTTTAGGGATTTATATTGTGATTATGTCAATTACGAATCCCAAACAATCTAATTAATATAATGATCCGAGAAAGGCAATGCGACCTATCTTTTTGCAAATTGCTCAGTTTGCCAGATGTACAGAGAGATATTTGCTTACTACCAATTCTGCTTTGGATTGAAGTCTTTTTTACTGTTAAATAGGGTAAGAAAAATATTATTCTTGTTGTTGTTAATAATAATTATAATTCTAATAGGAGGGGGAGGAGAGAAAATGACGGAATGATTAGATATTCTTCCTATCCAATATTTCGAATTTCATATAGTTGATGTTCTATTATAAAGTCCTCTACACTGATAATATCATGGACAGAGGGCCCTTCCAGACAGGTCCTATATCCCAGGATCTGATTCCAGGTTTTCTCTTTATCCCAGATTATCTGACAGTGCGGATTCATATAATCCAGTTTAAAGCAGAAAGCCTGGCATCAGATCCTGGGATATAGGGCCTGTTTGGAAGGGCACTGAGTATCTCTACACCTAACATGAACACAAATATTTAGTATTTCACTGAAAATAACTGTTCTAAATGAGTTCCATAGCACTGAGCATTGAGCCCTCTGGTGTACAAATGTGAAAATTCAAGTTATAGACTATCATGCCATAGAACTGATCTGTAATTCAAAAACACCATAGGCTGGATCTACACTGCCTTTCATCCCTACATCAGTCTTCAGTGTGGAGCTATGTTACTTCCATGATATGCAATCATGCTATTGTTTGCAAAGAGGTAGAACACAGGAAATTTACAGTTCTGCATCTGGGGTTACCTTCGTATGACGTGTTCCAAAACGCAACATATGCAATAGGACTGTTGTGCATCTGCCAGGTCGCTGGCTATATTTGCTAAATGGTCCCAGAACTGTAGTTAAGTCTCTGTTCCCCTCTGGAAAGAAAGAGCTCTTCCACACTGTCCCTATATCCCAGGATATGATCCCAAATTATCTGCTTATCCCAGGTTTTCTGGCAGTGGGGCCTCATATAATCCAGTTTAAAGCAGATAATCTGGTATCAGATCCTGGCATATAGGGGCAGTTTGAAGGGGCCTAAGACATTGCATTTCACCTTTACAGGATAGTAAGCCTAAGTAACAACCTGAGATTTTGTCTGATCTTGGAATCTAAACAAGGTGAATCCTGGTTAATATTTGGATGGGACACCAAAAATACCAGGTGTTAAAGGCTATATTTTAGAGAGAAGAACTGCCAAAACCACCTCTGAGCATGCCTTGTCTAAGAAAACCTTAAAATATTCACTTCTGCATTAGAAAATTCTATAAAATTTGACAACTAAAACACACTAACCAAGGAAGTTCAGCTTTGTCAGTTAGATGGCACAAACATGTTTCTAAGACCAAAGTTTCTTCGAATAGACAGATGTGCCTCTTCTATTTCTGTACATTTATAAATCAGACACCTTAAGGATGGGAAAAATCATACAGAAGAAGGACTTCAAACTTTATCAGTTAACCCACTCACATGATTCTAGTCTGTAAAATCAAGATTTTGTTGTTCATTTTCATGTTTTCCTCTTTTCTGTTGAAATTGTCCACATGCTTGTAGATTTCAATGGCTTCTGTGTATAGTCTGATATGGTAGTTGTTAGAGTGGTCCAGCATTTCTGTGTTCTCAAATCATATGCTGTGTCCAGGTTGGTTCATCAGGTGCGCTGCTATGGCTGACTTCTCAGGTTGAATTAGTCTGCAGTGCTTTTCATGTTTCTTGATTCGTGTTTGGGCGCTGAGTCTTTCCCCAAGGTGACTTGTTTCCAATCTTGAATCCAGGCTGCGCAAAACTTGAAATAGGAACAGAAATGGTTTATCTGGTAGAAAAGATGAAAAGCTTGTAAAACTAGCATTGAGTCACGGCAGTCAAAGCAGTGGAGATAAATCCTTAGTTATAGAGGTGTTTACAATACAACCATGTATGAAGTTACCATATTATTCATTTTTCCTGTAAAAATAGATATTTGGGGAAATTCTAATGCCTGTTGTTATTTCTTGAAGAAAAGTCCCATCAGCAATAGCTGATAAATTCTTGCCATTTTTAGAAGATCACGCAGAAGAGCTATGAAGTGTTTTTATACTATCGTCAATGAAATATTGTTCATAAAATTCTGTCCACTAGATGTCACCATTGTTCCACAGGCAGGCAATGAAATCCAAATTTATATTTAGAATTACTAGTACTAAAATATCTGAAAATCTCACAAAATTCATTGCGTTGACATAGATTGACACAAGTGATTTGAAAGGACATCAATGCAAAATATCCAGCTATACATCATTATTATATAGCTAATTAAATTGTATCTACTAAACCTTTTGCGAGCAGAATTATCATCTTTATTTTAATTACACCCTTCATCCTAGCTGCCATAATCCAATGTTTTATTGATATTCTCTGAAATGAGAATAAGTCATGAGAAGTAAGAAATGCAACAGAGAAAATTGTATTACCTTTGTTTGTAGCCCATCTACATTACCGTATAATTCAGATTATCAAATCAAATAATCCACATTATCTAGTTTGAACTAAGGGCCCTTCCACACAGCCATACAACCCAAAATATCAAGGATGAAAATATCACAATTTCCCCTTTGGTCTGGGTTATTTGAGTCCACACTGCCACATATTCCAGTTCAAAGCAGAAAATGTGGGATTGTATTCAGCTGTGTGGAAGGGGCCTGGATTATACTGCCATATAATCCAGTTCAAAACAGATAATTTGGATTTTATATTGTGGTGTAGAAGGGACCTGTGTTACACCTTCAGCATGGTCTCTAATATACACTGTACATTGTATTGTCGAAGGCTTTCATGGCTGGAATCACTAGGTTGTTGTAGGTTTTTTCGGGCTATATGGCCATGTTCGAGAGGCATTTTCTCCCGACGTTTTGCCTGCATCTTTGGCAAGCATCCTCAGAGGAAGTGAGGTCTGTTGGAACTAGGAAACTGGGTTTATATATCTGTGGAATGACCAGGATGGTGCTCCAACGGACAAGAGTTCTTTGCTCCACCCTGGTCATTCCACAGATATATAAACCCAGTTTCCTAGTTCCAATAGACCTCACTACCTCTGAGGATGCTTGCCAAAGATGCAGGCAAAACGTATATTATTTCTGTGCAGTAAAAAAATAAAATACAACCTGACTCATCATTTATTTTCATGACAGTTATGTAAGGCAAAATGCTATGGAGACAACAGAAATCTACCATGCTTAAGGGTTTTTATCTTTTTCCAGGATTTAGGATTTCATAATAAAACAGTTATAAGGATTCTGGTTGCCAGAAGTGAAATTGACCTGATGACTATCAGACAACGGTATAAAGAGAGATATGGAAAATCGTTGTTCCATGATATCAAAGTAAGTTTTCATAACATGTATAGTTTATAACTGGCTGTGTATAGTTTGTATATTTTGCCGTTCGGAAACAGACAGCAATTATTCTAATCTTAATATTTCGTTTACTTTCAAGAAAACAGGCAACAAAGGATTCTAAAGTGAATATAGACTTCTTTTTTCAAAAAAAAGAAAGAAATCGTTTTGCACTCATAATCTTGGAAAACAAAAGAGGATTGGTGGTTGAAGGGCCTGACACTTTATTGCATCTTGTACCATTTCAATTCAGTAGATAGTATTTCAAAATAAGTTTCTTTAACTGTCATGCCTTCCACTTCAGTGTACGTGGTGCATCTACACCAGTCATGGGCAAACTTTCGAATTTGGGGGCTGCATGGCGGGCCGGAATGGGGTGGGTGGGCCGGTAGGGGGTCCTTCCCAAGTCCACCCCCTGCCTGTTCCTCCCTCTACTTTTCTCTTTTGGAGACAGAAAGTAAGGAAACATAAGAAACTTTTAGATCCCAAAAGCGTTAGCCTTCATCAGCATGAGATGGTGGATGGGAGAGAAAAAGTTAGACCATTAGACCCTGTATTGCCTACTCCTGATATAGAATCCTAGAATCCTAGAGCTGGAAGAGACCTCTAAGGGCCATCCAGTCCAACCCCTTGCCATTCAAGAAGGCACAACCAAAGCACTCCTGGTAGACAGCCTCTGTAGTAAAGCTTCCAGAGAAGGAGACTCCACCACACTCCCAGGCAGCCTATGCCACTCTCCAACAGTTCTAACTCTCAGGAAGTTCTTCCTAATATTTTCAGTTGAATCTCTTTCCCTGTCATGTGAAACCGTTGCTCTCTTGTCTCTAGAGCAGCAGAAAGTCAATTTCACCCTCCTCCTCAATGGGACACCCTTTAAAATATTGAAACATGGCTCTCATGTTCCCTCTCTACCTTTTCTTCTCTCAGCTAAACATCCCCAAGGAGAAAAGGAGGAAGGAAAAAAGGAAGTGAGGGAGGAAGGATGGGTTAATGGAAGGAAGGAAGGGTGGAAGGGAATGGAGAGAGGGAGGAAAGACAAAAGGGAAGGAAAGAAGGAAGGAAGGGAGGGAGGGAGGAGGAAAGAGGGAAGAAGGGTGGGAGAAAGTGGGAGATAAGGAATGGAGAGAAGGAGGAAGGAAAGAGAGAAGGAAGGAAGGATAGGATGGTGAGAGAGGGGCTGAGAAAAGAACCCAAGAGGTCACATCCATCCCCCGGGCCTGGGTTTGCCCATACCTGATCTACACTGTAGAATTAATGCAGTTTGACACCACCTTAGTTGCATAGCTCGACGCTATGGAATATGGAAGTTGTATTTGTTTCATGAGACACATGCATTTTTTGGCAGAGAAGGCTTATAAAACGACAGTCCCTAGGATTCTACAGCATTGGAGCCATTGCAGCTAAAGTGGTGTCGAACTGCATTAATTCTACAGCATAGATTCACCCTAGACCCATGCATGCAAAGTTTGTCCTCTTTGCATGCACACATCACAACCCTAGAAAAATCTTACATGAAATAAAACAAAGTCTTTAAAATGTCTCATTGTTATTTACTTTGTAGCATTTTTCCTCTGGACATTATGAGACAGCCCTACTTGCCATCTGCGGCGGTGACGTTCAAGATTATTAAAGGGAAGATGACAGTGTTGGAAATGAGAAGAAGCCGTTACAGTCTGGAAATATTTTAATTATAGAAATCTAATCTGTGCAAATTATTTCTCTATGGACAAAAAGATTCATCACTCTGATTTGTTCAATTTGCTTTCTTTCTTTAAAGAAAGATACACAGATTCTCACAAGCCACTGCACTTACAAACACACTTTCCATTTTCTGATTAAGGGTTCTTTTTTCATCTCCATTGATAAGACAAGTGAATGATATTATCTGCTGTATTATTTCCAACATCTTTTTTAGCCTGACATATTGTTCCAACATAATTTGACTCATTTCTCAGGTTACAGCATGTCAGCATTTGTATAAGTAGGAACTTTTACAGTTTGATTGATATGAAATACAGAAGTAAAATTGTAAGTATTTTCAACTGGGATACGGCACATTTTTTGATATCATACCATTTGTACAGTCATAAATGGATGTTTAACAGAATAGCTTTCCACTAGAAAAAGTTCATATAATTTGATATACAATTTTAAAATAACATGTTTTTCTATTCCAAAGTGTAGCTACAAATACTCAACACCTAATTTCATCCTCTTTTATAACTTCAGTGTGTACTATTAAAGCGTGATTACATGCTTAACATTATATAGTATTTGATTTTGCCCATAATTGTTGTATTTGGATGTCACAACAAGCAATTATTAATTGCAAGGGTGGAAACTAGAGATTGTTCGACTGTGGTCCCAACTATTCTGCCATGATATGCAGTCCAAAACTGCATTATATGGCCAGTGTGGACTCACATAATGCAAGTCAATACAATTAAATTCCATTATATGAGTCTACTATACTGATCATATAATGCATATTCAAATTGCACTATATGGCAATGTAGATGGGGTCTGTAAATCCCAGGCCCCATCTACATTGGTGATGAAATTAAAACTTCTGGACGGCCATACATTTTGTTAATGAAGTTCACAATATCTATGGTTTGTTGAAACACTCCTACTGCATCAGACTTTGACTGAATCTGACTTTTTTATATCAGATTTACGATTTTCAATCAAGATCATTTGCAGAATGTGTAAAACAGTAAGCTGTGGCTAATTGAAAGGAGACGTAAAGTGTTCAAAATATAATGCACCTATGTCAGAAAATCAGGCTAGATTCAATTCCATGATGTCTAAATACAGTACTCTCTGTTGCCTGCCATCTATGCGGATTGGTAGATGCCTGATAATTAGAAAAATAGAGTTGGAAGGGACCATATGGGCCATCTAGTCCAACCCCCTGCCATGCAGGAAAAGCACAAAGTATCCCTGACAGATGGCCATCCAGCTTCTTTTTAAAAGGTACTAAGTATGGAGCTTCCACCCCTCTCCAAGGCAGAGAGTTCCAATGCTGAACAGCTCTTACAGTCAGGAAGTTCTTCCTCATGTTCAGGTGGCATCTCCTTTCCTGTAATTTCAACCCATTGTTCCTAGACCTAGTTTCAAGGGCAGAAGAAATCAAGTCTGCACAGTCTTCCTTATGACACCCTTTCGCATATTTATACAAGGCTGTTATGTCTCCTCTCAATCTTCTCTTCTGCAGGCTAAACATACCCAGCTCGAAGTGCTTTTCACAGGGCATTTTAGTCGCTCCCCTATGGACACCTTTCAGCTTGTCGATATCTCTTTTGAACCGTAGTGCCCAGAATTGCACATAGTATTCCAGGTGAGGTCTAGCCAAAGCAGAATACAAAGGCACCATAGCTTCCCACGATCTACACCAGGAGTTCTCAACCTTGGGTCCCCAGATGTTTTTGGCCTACAACTCCCAGAAATCCCAGCCAGTTTACCAGCTGTTAGGATTTCTGGGAATTGTAGGCCAAAAACATCTGGGGACCCAAGGTTGAGAACCACTGATCTAGACACTGTACTCCTTTTGATGCAGCCCAAAATCCCACTGGCTTTTTTAGCTGCTGCATCACATTGTTGGCTCATGGTTCAACTTGTCATCCACAAAGACTCCCAAGATCTTTTTCACATGGACTGTTGTCGAGCCAGGCGTCACCCATCCTGTATCTTTGCATATCATTTTTTCTGCCTAAGTGTAGGATATTACATTTGTCCTTGTTGAAATCCATTTCGATAGTTTTAACCCAGCTCTCTAATCTGTTACGGTCATTTTGAATTCTGACCCTGTCCTCTGGAGTATTAAAAGGTAAAGGTTTCCCCTTGACATTAAGTCTAGTCGTGTCCGACTCTAGGGAGGCGAAGCTCATCTCAATTTCTAAGCCAAAGAGCCGGCATTGTCCATAGACGCCTCCAAGGTCACGTGGCCAGCATGACTACATGGAGTGCCCTTACCTTCCTACTGAAGCAGTACCTATCGATCTACTCACATTTGCATGTTTTTGAACTGCTAGGCTGGCAGAAGCTGAGGCTAACAGCGGGAGCTCACCCAACTCACCCAACTCCCCGGATTTGACACCAACCTTTCGGTCAGCAAGTTTAACCAGCCTCCTGTATTTATATTTTGGGGAAGTTGTAACATTACAAGTCTCATGATTTCATAGCTTTGAGCTATAGAAACTAAAGCGACGTCAAACTGCATTCATTCTGCAGTGTTCATGCATCCTCTGTCATTTTCCCAATGGGAAGGAGAGGGGCGAGGAAAGCGTGCCCAAACACTAAGATCCATAATTTGTATTTTTATTGGCAAAGGGCGCTGTCAATCTGGAACGACCCACCAATGCTGAGAAGGGGGCGGGGCGAAGAAAGACTCCCCACACCCTTACATTCATAGCTTGTACTTTATTGGCAAAAGATGCTGCCAATCTGAAACAACCCACCAATGCTGAGAAGAGGGCGGGGCGAAGAAAGACTCCCCGCACCCTTACCTTCATAACTTGTTCTTTATTGGCAAAAGACGCTGCCAATCTGAAACAACCCACCAATGCTGAGAAGAGGGCGGGGCGAAGAAAGCCTCCCCACACGCTTACCTTCATAACTTGCACTTTATTGGCAAAAGATGCTGCCAATCTGAAACAACCCACCAATGATGAGAAGGGGGCGGGGCGAAGGAAGACTCCCCATACCTTTACATTCATAACTTGTTCTTTATTGGCAAAAGACGCTGCCAGTCTGAAACAACCCACCAATGCTGAGAAGAGGGCGGGGCGAAGAAAGCCTCCCCACACGCTTACCTTCATAATTTGTACTTTATTGGCAAAAGATGCTGCCAATCTGAAACAACTCACCAATGCTGAGAAGGGAGCGGGGCAAAGAAAGCTTCCCCACACCCTTACATTCATAGGTTGTACTTTATTGGCAAAAGACGCTGCCAATCTGAAACAACCCACCAATGCTGAGAACGGGGCGGGGTGAAGAAAGACTCCCCACACCCTTTCATCCATAATTTGTATTTTATTGGCAAAGGGCGCTGTCACTCTGGGGTGATCCACCAATGCTGAGAAAGAGGCGGGGCAAAGAAAGCTTTGTTACTCCATGGAATCATCCCGAGTGACAGCAGCAGGAGCGGAAGGGCGTGGTTTGTTTACAAGCGGAAGCAGGAAGTGGGTTTCTTGGCAACGGGTGTCTTAGCCCTCCGGGGCCGTGTTGAGGGGATGGAGGTGAGCTTGACCTGCGCCGTGTGCCTCTCGCTATTCGAGGAGCCCGTCACGCTCCCGCTCTGCTCGCACAACTTCTGCCGCCGCTGCCTGGCCGAGTGCCTCAGCGCCGCCGAGACGACGCCCGCGGCCTCCGGGCGGGCCTCGACTCGAGCCACTCAGACCAGCGACGGAGGCGGAGGAGGCGGCGGGACTTTGTCGGTGCCCTGCCCGCTCTGCCGCAAGCTCTGCCCGCTGCCTCCAGAAGGCGGGGCGGCCTCCTTGCCGGTGAATACCACCCTGGCTGAGGTGGTGAAGCTCTTCCGGGCCAGCCATGGCGCCCAGGCCGAAGCGGGGCCTGCGGAGGCCTCCTCGGCGCTGGCCCCGCAGCTGGCGACGCTGGGCCTGCCCTGCGGGAAGCACCCGGGCCGCCCCCTGCAGCTCTTCTGCCGGATATGCCTCCGCGCCGGGTGCGGGCAGTGCGTCTCCGAGGAGCACCGGGGACTCTTCCACGCCGTCAACCTCATCGACATCGTCTACCAGGAGGAGAAAGTGAGCTATGAGGTTCTGGGAATGGTGGCTTTACAAGGAAGCCTTTGGCCTTCTCTGCTTCACTAAACTACGGCTGCTAGGATTTTGGGGAAATGGCATTCATTATTTTTTATTTATTTACTAGCTGTCCCCTGCCACGCGTTGCTGTGGCCCAGTCTATTGATCTAGAAAATAAAGTAACGAGAAAGTGTTGGTTTCTAATAGTATATGTAATTTCTTTATGCTTGTGGGTAAACAGTATTTTTTGCTGTTTCTTTGTCAGTGTTGATGTGGAGAGTGTCTGGTTTGCCCACCTGGAACATGGAACATGGAACATATAATTGTCCTTCTTTAGGGGTCCCTTTCAGATCTATGATGCTATATCTGTGTGTGAGAGAATCATTATCTATCTATCTATGACTGGATGGCTCTTTGTCAGGAGGACTTTGATTACGTTTTCTTGCCCTGGTGACGGGAGTTGGATTGGATGGCCTTAAGTATTTTCTCTTGGTCATGGGGGTTCTGTGTGGGAAGTTTGCCCCGATTCTGTCATTGGTGGGATTCAGAATTCTCTTTGATTGTAGGTGAACTATAAATCCCAGTTTAATGTATTGTCGAAGGCTTTCATGGCCGGGATCACTGGGTTGTTGTAGGTTTTCCCAGGCTATATGGCCATGTTCTGGAGGCAATTTTTCTCCTGACGTTTCGCCTGCATCTATGGCAAGCATCCTCAGAGGTTAGTGAGGTCTGTTGGAAGTAGGAAAAATTGGTTTATATATCTGTGGAATGACCAGGGTAATGTTTTAGCTGATGCACCTTGATTTGCATTCAATGGTCTGGAAGCGCCTGGGGGGAAATCTCTTGTTGAGAGTGAATTGATGTGCCTGCCTGTTTCCTCTCTGTTGTTTTGCTGTTGTAATTTTTGAGTTTTTTAATACTGGTAGCCAGATTTTGTTCATCTTCATGGTTTCCTCCTTTCTGTTGAAATTGTCCACATGCTTGTGGATTTCAATGGCTTCTTTGTGTAGTCTGACATGGTGGTTGTGAGAGTGGTCCAGCACTTCTGTGTTCTTAAATAATATGCTGTGTCCAGGTTGGTTCATCAGGTGCTCTGCTATGGCTGGTTTCTCTGGTTGGAGTAGTTTGCAGTGCCTGGAGTAGTTTGCAGTGTCTGGTTTGCCCACCTTGAACATGCAACATATCATAGTCCTTCTTTAAGGGTCCCTTTCAGATCTATGATACTATATCTGTGTGTGAGAGAATCATTATCTATCTATCTATGACTGGATGGCTCTTTGTCAGGAGGACTTTGATTACGTTTTCTTGCCCTGATGAAGGGGGTTGGATTGGATGGCCTTAAGTATTTTCTCTTGGTCATGGGGGTTCTGTGTGGGAAGTTTGCCCCGATTCTGTCGTTCGTGGGGTTCAGAATGCTCTTTGATTGTAGGTGAACTGTGAATCCCAGTGACTACAACTCCCAAATGTCAAGGTCTATTTCCCCAAACTCCTTCTGTGTTCATATTTGGGCATATTGAGTGCTTGTGCCAACTTTGGTCCCGATCCATCATAGTTTGAGTCCACAGTGCTCTCTGGATGTAGGTGAACTACAACTCTCAAAGTCAATGCCCACCAAACCCTTCCAATATTTTCTGTTGGTCATGGGAGTTCTGTGTGCCAAGTTTGGTTTAATTCCATTGTTGATGGAGTTCAGAATGCTCTTTGATTGTAGGTGAGCTATAAATCCCAGCAACTACAACTCCCAAATGACAAAATCATAATTTTTGAGTGATGGTCACTCCTTGTGTTTGAGACGTTTTGTTGCCAAATTTGGTGTGATTCGTTCATTGGTTCTTTTGTTTTTAAGGTACTCATTATGCACAGAGCCTTTATATATATATAGATTTATATCCTGTCCTTCTCACCTCCAAAGAGGTGACTCAGGACTGCTTACAACAAGCAACCATTAGATGCCAAACAATACATTAAAACACACAGTTACAATTAAAACAGCAATTAAAACGATTACAAACATTCAGTTTAAATCAGTCCAAAATACTGAGTATTTCTTAAGCAGTAAATGCTCAGTAGTGTTTTTTTGCCAACCATAAGTCAACGTAATGGCAGTTTGTTTATTTATTTGGAACATTTATATCCCATCCTTTCATGACCTCCAAGGAGGGACTCAGGACGGCTGGCAACAATTTGATGCCGAAACAATAAAACACATCATTAAATACAATCAGGTACCTAAAAAATAAATAAATACATTAAAATGGTTCACCAGGTTAAAACGTCATCCAAATCCATCCAAATTGTGGTCCAATAAAATCTCATCATTGCCAGTAAAATCAATCTAATCTGCAAACGCTTGCTCCCATAACCAGGATTTAAGTTTCTTCCGGAAGATCAAGAGAGAGGGGGCAGATCTAACCTCCTTAAGGAGGGAGTTCCACAGCCGAGGGGCTACCATGGAGAAGAACCTGTCTCTTGTCCCCTCCAAAGTCCTTGTTGATTCATAGGGGGAGACATGTTCGGACAGGTAAACCGGGCCGGAACTGTTTAGGGCTTTATAGGTTAAAAACAGCACTTTGAATTGTGCTCGGATGCTAACAGGCAGCCAGTGGAGCTACATGTACCCTGCTCCAATTAATGACAAAAACCTGGCAGTCACCAGAAGCTATGCAGCTGGATGGAAAACAACCATTGTTGTGCAATAATAGTCTATCCTTCTGCTGGATCTATCTTTTTTCCTTGCAGCTTTGTAAATAACCAAGCATTATTGGGCTTTTCTACAAAATGTGTCTTCTTATAATAATCATATTTTTATACCCTGCCTCCACCTCCCCAAAGGGACTCTGGGCGATTTACATGGGGACAAGCCAAAATGGCATAATAAAATAGCACATTAAAATATATAATGGCAACATAAAACAGAATGAAACAACATTATAACAAAATATAAAAGCAAAACATCAACTAACAACCAATGAGCTCTATAATAACAATCAGTTTCTGGGAACGGGTGGGAGGACTGATGCAAGAACAATTGTGAGGATAGGACTGATGAATAAAGTGCATCGATCACATGACAACAATGTGGGCAATATTATGAATTTAAGCACCGAAAAATACTAAAGTTCATGGACAAAATTTTGGATCCTAGTTGGGACAACCATGTCTTTAAATCTTTGCGGAAGATGGACAGGGTGGGTGCTAGCCTAATCTCCTTGGGGACGGAGTTCCCGAGTTGGGGGTCACAACTGAGAAGGCCCCCTCTCATCTCCACCACCCGTGCCTGAGATGGGGATGGGAGAGAGAAGAGCCTCCCTGCGTGATCTTAGAGATTGTATTGGTTTGTAGGGGAAGATGCGGTCATGAAGATAAGCAGGTCCCAAACAGTTTAGGGCTTTATAGGTAATAACCTGCACCTTGTATTGGACCAGAAACTTATTGGTAGCCAGCGGAGCTGTTTAAATGGAGGTTGACCACTCCCTGTAATTTGCTTCTGTTATCAATCTGGCTGCAGACCTTTGTACTAACTGCAGTTTCCTGGCCGTCTTCAAGGGCAGCCCCACATAGAGTGGATTGCAGTAATTCATAGCCTTTTGGAAAACACCATTTGGAGATCATTATTTATTTACTGCACATTTACCCCCGCTTTATCTTCACCCTGAAGGGGACTCAGAGCGGTTTCCACTTCGGCAATGATTCAGTGCCACATAGCGACATAATAGCAAATAAATATATAACACATTTAACTTTAAATTATAATAAACCATATAAATACATTTAAATAACAGATTAAAAGCATAGCATCTAATCCCACAGTCATAGTCCCAAGTTTGTCTTAACTTCATGGTTGCTATTGCACTATGGATGTGTAAATCCCCAAACACTTGATTCCACAGCCAGGTTTTAACTTCCTTTCTGAAAACGAGGAGGGAAGAAGCCAATCTATTTCATAATCTGGCTACCAGTATTTAAAAAACTCAAAAATTACAACAGCAAAACAACAGAGGAAACAAACAAGGACATCTAATCACCTCTCAACAAAAGATTGCCCCAGGCACTGCCAGGCCATCAAATGCTAATCAAGGTGGTCAGTTGAAACATTCACACCTAGCTCCAACAGACAAGAGTCCTTTGTCCCACCCTGGTCATTCCACAGATATATAAACCCCTTTTCCTAGTTCCAACAGACCGCACAATCTCTGAGGATGCTTGCCATAGATGCAGGCGAAACATCAGGAGAGAATGCCTCTAGAACATGGCCATATAGCCCAAAAAAACCTACAACAACCCAGTGATTCCAGCCATGAAAGCCTTCAACAATACAATATTTGAAATGTGGGCCTGCATTTGGCTGATTAGATAGTCAAGTTAATTAGGATTGTTGTTGTGTGCCTCTGTTTCAGACTTAGGATGGCCCTAAGTCTAATGTTTAGAGCAAAAACTGCATAAATGGCCTTGGAAGGCCGTATCCAGCCCTTGGGCCTTAGTTTGGGGACCCCAGGTGTAGAATAAACCTGTACAATCTCTGACCCTCCAGGTGTTTGGGACTCTTACCTCCCAGTAGCCCTAATCCGTTTGCCCAATGGTCAAGAATTCTTTGGACTGAAGCCCAAAACTCCTTGAGAGCCACAGATTGTGCAGGTCTGGTGTAGATGCATCACAAGGAAGGAGATGCTTCCTTCTTTCCTTCTTCCCCTGCAAACCCATAGTCCCTTTTAGGCCCCATCTACACTGACCATAACAACTAGTAAGCAAAGCAAAGTCTGTATTTTTCAGCCTCTGCCCTAGAGCTTTCCAAACATTTCATGCTGGTGACACCTTTTTTCGTAACACAGTGTTTCAGTGTGTTATGAAACCAACAGAATGGAGGTTAAACCAACACTTTATAAGACATACACATACCTAAATTGCAATATCAGAATGTATGGGGCAACAAGTATCTCATGGACACTTTTCATTTAAGTTTTTTTTTAAAATATATGATTTATTGCTTGTTTCATGTTGGCACACATGTTCTGAAAGCTCTGCTCTGTACCCTTTACAAGCAATCCCCAGCTTTTGGACAAGATAGGTTCTGTAGTTTTGTTCTTAAGTTGAATTTGTATGTAGATCAGAAAATGTACATTTTAAGTGCTTTTCAAAAAACGGATAGCATAGGAAAAAGTTAACACCCGTGTGGTATTTGTTTTGCTTTGTGTGCCCCTGTTCAGAAGATTTCACCTCATGTTCTGTCCTTGTGAGAATTGGGTTTTGAAAATGTTGGCTTGTCATGAAAACAAGGATTGGTGATAAGGCTTCAGAGAAGATATCCTTTTCCCCATGATAACTCTACAGGAGTGAATTTCCATTCTTAGATTTCCTTTCACTTCCTATTGTCTCACTCCTGTTTGACAATGAAGCCAGATGTAAGTCAAATATTTGTAATTTGAGACTGCCTGTGTTTCAAATCAGGAGCTGTGGTATTTATAGTACTAACCAGCTCTAATGGAACTTAAAGGTTAATTAACATAGATTAAAATTTCCTATCTTAGTCTTTGTAGAAATTAGTTAATACTTCAACAAATGACAGGGTAAAAGTGAAAAACCTCCTTCCTACTTCTTCCAAAATATGAATCCAGTACAACCCCTCCATCTGTAAGGGTCTCTTCCTGGACTTAACATAGTTAACAAAAACCAAGGATAACAGTGAAACCTATTGAAAGAATTGTGCTGTGGGATCTAAGAAATACCTAGAGAGGACCCGCTTTCTAGGCATCACTAAGGCCACCAGCACTATTTTGTGGTCAACTTCTGGCAGCAGCATTGCATCGAATTTCTCTGGAGGACCTTAAAAGTGTCAAGAGATGACATGTTTTGTGAGATGCAAGTAAATGAAACTGCAGGTACCAGTCCCATGGATATGGGAGTTGTACTGTGCCAGTTTTGAAGTTCTGCTTATGTAGTGATGGTCATGTACAGTCGAAAAAATTAGGTAGTTCGATTATATCATATTGATCTTAAGCAAAAAAGGTATTTGTAATTATATATGTTGTTGAATAAAGTTCAGTCGGTTTCAGAATAACACATTGTTATAAATATCTGTTTTTACAGCTGGCCTTTTATAGCAATCTAAAGAAAATAAGAGAGTTACAAGCAAACCTACTGGAGGAAACAACTTCATCAGCTAATGCAGAGGTAAGCTGAAATTAATGCAATGACAAAGAACTGAAGAGAATATTTAGTTCAAGTAAACTCAGTCTACAACTATTCTGTGCATGTTTAAAAGAGAGCATTATTGTTACCTGGTTTGTCATGCATTTGTTTGCTAGCTGTAATGCCAAGTGTTGCTCAGGAAAATTACGATTGTTCAGTTTCAATTTATGACACTATGTAACACAATTTTTGTTCCTGGGTTATAAATGCCATTTCCTAATCGATTCTATTATAAAAACATGGAAAAAGTTTACTAAACTGCAAAAATGTTTTTGTGGGACATCCTACAGCACATTTTGCTATAGTTTTTCAATGAATATCTCATAGTTTGTTGAAACAATTCAACATAGTTGGTAGTAGCAACAAACATAAAGTTTCTGGCGCATAACTACTTTCAAAGTCAATATTGCACAATTAAACAGGAAATAACATTTTCGAACCAGCAACAGAAAAAAATCAAATTTTGTTACATAGTTCAGTTTCAGCTATTTTAAATTATGCATCTTATCTTTCACGATACTCAAATGTTCCTCTCATTATACATCAGATTCAGTTGACATTGAGAAAGCTGTCTGACATGATCTGATAACAGATAGATAAATTTAATTTTATTCATATAGATTCAGAACTGTCTGTGCACATAGTACTATGTAAAGTAAGAGTGCGGTAATTCATTTTTCCAAGGGACTTACAGGGTTAAGAATACAGAAACACAAGGAAAGAGAGAGCAGGCTAGGTTGGAAAATCAGGATACACTTTGTGATGGTTTCAATTACCTTTACTTTCATTTAGGTACAGTAAGACATTTCTTCCAAATTTTATCCTGGTAAAGGTCTGTATTAAGAAGAAATAGGAGGGCAATAAAGGGTATGGCTGCACAAAAGACCTTTGAGGAATTCTGAGATCAATATATGTTCTTGGGTTGTAATCATGTGCACATTAAGGCATGGGATTCCATTATTGGTTACATGATTTTAAATACTAATTTATTACTATTCATTTGTGTTTAAAGATTTTAAATATAGTGTGAGAGCATAAACTGGACTGAATTTGTTATCCATAAAGAAAAGGCAACAGTATGCCACGGTCTTGCATGTGTAAATTACTTTAGGATTAATGCAGATTCATTTTTAGTAATCTCTAGTGTATGGAATCTGCCTAAGCACTCATGCTGGTGCATTCTCAACAACTATAAATAGAAGTGCACTGTTGTTGTTTTTTCCACATCAGGAGCGACTTGAGAAACTGCAAGTCGGTTCTGGTGTGAGAGAATTGGCCATTTGCAAGGATGTTGCCCAGGGGGTGCCCGGATGTTTTACCATCCTATGGAAGGCTTCTCTCATGTCCCCACATGAGAAGCTGGAGCTGACAAACAGGAGCTCACCCTGCGCCCCTTATTTGAACCACTGACCTTTCGGTCAGCTGTACTGCCAGAACAAGGGTTTAACCAATTGTGACACCAGGGGCACGTAAGAAAATGCTGCAAACTTTGAACTATTGGATACTCTTGTACATATCACAATCTTATTCACTCTTAATTCTTTCAAAAGGAGCAGCATATTATTTTTAAAAATGAACTGTGAATGCCTTCAAAATGTTGAGATTAATGCTAGGAGATATGGGAGTTGCAGTTTAACAACATTGTAAAGACACACACGTGCTTCAAATGTTAATGCCATAATTCTTGAAAAGACTTGGCAAAGCAGCTGGCTGTCAATAAGTATATGCACCTATGTTTATTGTTTATCTTGTATAACTACTGTTTTCAGGTAGAAATGCAGAATGAAGAGGAGATTATTAAAACTGAATTTGAAAAAGTCCGTAATGCTTTGGAAACAAGGATGAAACAAATGCTTGAAGATCTTGAGAGCCGGAAGAAATGGAAAGAAAAGGAGTATCAGATATGGAAACGAATGAAGGACGTTCACCGGAAATCCATTGAAAATGTTCTGAATGATTGTGAGAAGATTTTAGATGAATGCAATCCCCAGCATTTCTTAGAGGTAAAAACATTCATGCTATCTGGGCTGACACCATAAATGAAAGATTCAAAAGTATCAGTAAAAACAACTCCATGAATTGGTCATATGTTATTCTAGACCTGTTTTCTATTCTGTGTTGCACCATTCTTAAAAAGAGTAGTATTTGCTTATACAGGGTGAGGCAGCATACCTTCCTTTTTTCAAAACTTAATAAAATCCATTGTATGAATCAGAAATTTTTAATGTTTTTAATAATGTAGGTGCATACCTAAAGTTTTGTTTTACATAGTTTTGAAGATCAAATTAGGTAGGTGACGTCCCCCATTCTCCATACACTGAGTAAACTGATTTCTGGCATTTGTCATGACTCTTGCCAGCATAGCAGGAGTTAAGTTGGCAATTTCTTCCCAGATCTTGGTCTTCAAATCTTGTAGGGTCCTTGGACGGTTCACATAAACACGAGATTTCAAAAAACCCCATAGAAAAGAATCACAAGGGGCCAAATCTGGAGAGCGGGCCGGCCACTCCAAATCCGCTTGAAAAGTAGGCCTCAATGGCAAAAGCACGCTCCTCACTGTTCCAACTGGTGACTGAACTGTGTGACTGAACTGTGTCAGGACAAAACTTTATACTCCCACCTCTCGAACGAGACCACTAGCACTCCGCTACGTCTTCAACCGACTGAATGGTGTGCATTTAAAAAAAGGAAGTTATGCTGCCTCACCCTGTACTTCCAGTTGGAGTTTGTGTCCGTGAAGACCAAGGCCTGAGTTCATTTGAATGATGGCAAAATCACACAGAAGGCAGTAAGGCTGATGTTTATTTTTAATCATAAAGTAAGGCACATTACACATTTCATAAGATCCTAATTATTACAATCAGTATAAAATTCAGTATAAAACAGAAAGGTCTACACTAAAAGGTGAGCAAAATGAAAATAGCTTAGTGTCTTTTCTGAATATTAAAAGTGGGCGAACTTACCAAGCCTCTCAAACCTGGTGCAGCAATAGAAAAAGATTGTGTCCATACAACTTTTTGGACCCCCCCCCCCAAAAAAGTTGTATGGACACTTTTTGGGGGTGTCCCCTCCCCCAAATGTTGAAAAAAATGTAGCAAGAATGTATGGAATATACATAATGTATTGTGGCTGAAATGCTGATACATGACAGCCGTATAGATGTTGATTCAGTTATCTTTAAGGATATACCTTAATTTCCATCTTCCAAACAAAAACAGAAAGCAGGGCTAATACGAATGGAATGTCCAGGATGGCCCATATCAGTCAAAACAGCATCTAAAATTAAGTACTCAAATAATCAACACAACATTTTCTGAACAACATTGTCCTCTTTTTGGGAGGAACTCTCAGGCATGCAGTTTTGAAAAGCTGCATATTGTGTTATCCTGCTTTGCTTTTTGGTTCTGTTCAGTGCAGGGAATTAGTATTTTGGCAGGTAAAATTTTCTCTTGCAAGTATATCTAGGGTGCCTGACTGTTAAAATAAGGGTTCTCAAAAGAAATCCTAGTGCTTCCACTCTGAAACAACACAAAAAAGTAAAGCGAATTTTCCTTCCCAACCTACTTTATTCATAGAATCACAGGGCTGGAAGAGATCACAAGGGCCATTCTGTCCAACCCCCTGCCATGTAAGAAAATACAATCAAAGCACTCTCAACAGATAGTTGTTTAGCCTCTGCTTAAAAAACCTCCAGAGGAGACTTGTCTGCAATGACATAATAATTAGCATAAATGGTTAAATATCTGATTTGTGGTATGCATTCTGATAAAGTAGTAGGCTTTCAAAAGAAGTATTTTATTTTTTTCTATTATGTTTAATTGACAGGTTGCGTGCAGCTTGAATCAAAGGTGAGCATGTTATTCTTTATTCATGAAATGGAAAAGGGTACAGGAAGTGAAATTAAATCTAACAATTTAATGATACACTCAGCAGTGAAAAATCTCACAGTGGCTCTAACCCCACACAACACTAACAAAAGCAAAAAATACAACTTAACAGGTGATTTTCTTCACATATTTATTTTTACCTGTGTGTATAAATGCTTCAAAATTTTCAAACATTGCAAAAGAACCGGTGTACACTGCTGCCTGGTGTACACATGTCCAGGTCCACCAAGTACTGCCACCCCCACATTTGTAACTGAGAATCACATGTTTGTAACGTGGGGACTGACTGTGGTTCTTGATTCAACAAATAGCCTCACCTGAGTCATACTTATTCCAGGAGAAATAAAACCATGGGCAGAATGCCGCTCAAGCCCCTGGAAGGCATTTAGGAACAGGAACACTGACCCCTGGGACTTCAAAAACATCCTCCAAAGCAGTATTTCTCAACCTGTGGGTCCCCAGATTTTTTGGCCTTCAGCTCCCAGGAATCCTAACAGCTGGTAAACTGACTGGGATCACTGGGAGTTTACCTGGAGACCCACAGGTTGAGGACCACTGCTGTAAAGCCACTTCCCCAATGTCCGGTTTAAGTACCGTATATACCCGAGTATAAGCAGAGTTTTCCAGCCCTTTTTTAGGCTGAAAAAGGCCCCCTCAGCTTATACTTGAGTCAAAGTTATTTATTATTTTACTCTGTTAGTGTTATTTTTAATTACATTTTTATTTTACTCTATTATTATATTTACATTATTTTACTCTTATTATTTTATTACATTTATTATTTTACTCCATTTATTTTTATCATTACATTATTTTACTCTATGATTACATTTACTAATTTACTCTCTTTGCTATTATTACATTTATTATTTTACTCTATTTTTACTATTATTACATTTTCATTATTTTACTATATTATTATTGAAAGGATACATAAGCACATTTACATTGAAGAAGATTAAAATAATTGTTTAATAAAAGTTGTACAATCTTACCTAAAATTACAGTTTTATGTAAATATTCAAAAACATTTCACCTAATTAATGCCTCAATTAATATCATTTATTAGTTTCTATTTTTATTGTGAAATTTACCATTAACTGCTGCATTTCCCACCCTTGGCTTATACTTGAGTCAATACGTTTTCCCAGTTTTTGTGATAAAATTAAGTGTCCCGGCTTATATTCAGGTTGACTTATACTCGAGTATATATGGTACAAATAAATAGGAATTTCCTATGCTACCAGAGAAATACAGTTGGAGCTGAAGCAGTGATTTATATATTTTGTCACAGATTTTGTGAATGTTGTAATTACAGAGTGTTGTATGTTCTCATGTTTGTTGAGCAATTTAGAAATTCTTGATGTTATTGATTCTTCAGCAGCAGTTATAGAAAAGTTACTGAATCTTCTAATTTCAATACAGAATGGAAACTCAGCTGGACTTAATGCAAATGGCATCCAAACATGAAAATCAGTCAGAACACAGAGAAAGGCAAATGGATACCACATCTGTAATTAATGATATCTTAGCCCTAAATCTCACTGCAGTTAATTTGGATACTGACACAGGTAGGATGCTGTCACTATTGCTCAAATGTGATGTAGTCTCTCTATAATACAAAATCCTTACTTCTGAGATTCTGTATTTTTCAACTTTTAAAAACTTTTCTTCCTGCAGCATTAAATTCTTAAAATAAACAAATGTCCCGTAAGTTGATTAGTATACAAATATAGCTGTAATTACTTAATTTTGATATTTTCAGAAAATGAATGTTTGCATAAAAATAAGTAAAGTGCTTTCCATGGTGTGTTTCATAACATTGGTTTTGCTGTCTCTCTTGAAAAGCAGATATTCCTCTCAGTGTTAGTGTATGTCCCACATCTGCAAACTATGGAATTAAGTGGGAAGATAAGAAAAACAGAAAGGATGCCTTCTGCGTAAGTTTCCATGTGTAATGAATATAAATGGAATATAATTTATAGATCAATTCATCAATATGGTGTTTCATTTCAATATTTTTCTAGCCAGTGGCAGGAGAAGACACTGATTTGTTTGGTATCCGAATTCCTACTCGGTATATGTCAATATCTGCAGGAATTGAATTTGGAGACATGAGTCATGAGGTAGGCTGCTTATTTAATATTTCTATAGATTAATGTTCAGAAATGTTTGTGGTGAAAACCTTTCAGTGTCCCTTTATGCATAATTATATTCATTTTCATATCTACCTCTACAGTGTGGAAAACATTACATGTCAGCTGTATGGCTTGAGTGTTCTTATGGGCTATGAATAGTAGAGTCATGAAAGAGACCACATGGGCCATCTAGTATTTCTGCCATGTAGAAAAAGGACAATTAAAGCACACACACCCCCCAAAAGGCCATAAAGCCTCTATTTAAAAGCCTCCAAAGAAGGATCTCCCACCACACTCTGAGGCTGAGAGTTCCACCGCTGAACAGTGCAACGGTCAGGAAGTTCTTCCTAATGCTTAGGTGGAATCTCCTTCCCTGTTATTTGAATCCATTGTTCTGAGTCCTAGTCGCCAGAGCAACAGAAAACAAGTCTGCTCCCTCTTCCTTGTGATATCTTTTTCAAATGTTTAAACATGACAATCATGTCTCCTCTTAACCCCCTCTGCTACATGCTAAACCTACCCAGATGAGAATCTTTTTATATTTTTAAGAACACTTGCCCATCCTAGTATAGATATAGTACCAAGACATGAAGAGATAGGGCTGAGACCCAGTCGAGTATCACCACATCCTTTGACTGTGCATGATCTATTATGCCTTGGTCTGACCACACCTGGAATACTGTGTCCAGTTCAGGGCACCGCAATTGAAGGGAGAGGTTGAAAAGCTGGAATGTGTCCAGAGGAGGGTGACTAAAATGATCAAGGGTCTAGAGAACAAGCTCTATGAGGAGTGGCTTAAAGAGCTGGGCATGTTTACCCTGAAGAAGAGAAGGCTGAGAGGAGACATGATGGCCATGTATAAATATGTGAGGGAAAATCATAGGGAGGAGAGAGCAAGCTTGTTTTCTGCTGCCCTGGAGACTAGGATGCGGAACAGTGGTTTCAAACTACAGGAAAGGAGATTCCATCTGAACAGTTAGAACATTCTAACTGTGAGAGCTGTTCAGCAGTGGAACTCTCTGCCCTGAAGTGCGGTGGAGGCTCCTTCTTTGGAGGCTTTTAATTAGAGGCTGGATGACCATCTGTGAGGGGTGATTTGAATGCAGTTTTCCTTCTTCTTGGCAGGGGGTTGGACTGGATGGTCCATGAGGTCTCTTCCAACTCTATGATTCTATCATTTATAAGTCTAGGAGTGTTAGTAAAAAAAAATCAATTTAAAAACTTTAGTTGAGTCTTATGCACAGTTCATTATAAGCACTGTACTTTAACTCTTACAAAAAAAAAAATCCTCTGCTCTGAGTCGAATGGTGAAAAGTGTAAGAGCTTAATCCATCCCAGGAGAACCTCTGAATTATCCTCTACCCATTGACAGGTCATATCAGAATTTATAATTTTAGCCCCCAGACCTGTCCTCAGTTTATACTTGAGGTTGGATTATAAGGTAAAACCTTTCCCATGACATTAAGTCTAGTCATGCCCTACTCTGGGGGGATGATGCTCATCTCAGTTTCTAAGCTGAAGGGCCGACGTTGTCTATAGATCCCCCCAAGGTCATGTGGCCGGAATGACCGCATGGAGTGCTATTACCTTCCCACTGAAATGGTACCTATTGATCTACTTACATTTGCATGTTTTCAAACTGCTATGTTGGCAGAATCTGGGGCTAACAGCAGGAGCTCACCCCGCTCCCCAGATTCGAACCACTGACCTTTCGGTCAGCAAATTCAGCAGCACAGTGGTTTAACCCGTGCACTACCAGAGGCTCCTTTTTTAATATATGGGTATATATGGTAGATAATTTTAGGGGAAGTCTGTAAAATACTCCATATCCTCAACCTGCATCTTACTGAATACACACTACCGTTGTGTACAAGGATGGACCACACTTTTGATAAATCTGAACATATTCATTGAAGACGTTTATTTCAGAATCAGTTTGTGGTTGGGGAAACTATTAGACTAAATTTGGTATCCTCTTTAATTTCAGGAAATGCGCTATAACTATTACAGGAGACGTCAAATACATCCAAGTACCTTGCAGACACAGGCCACTCCTGTAAATGAAAACCATGCATTGCCAAAGTTTCTGTTTTCCGAAAGCACTTCATTTGCTCCCATTTGCCTTACTGCCGAAGCAGAACATCAAAAGAAACAGAGGATGCAAGCGTTGGAAAGACAAAGTAACAAGGGAACTGGTTGGTCTGATCCAGTTGGTTTTACATTCGAGACACAAGCTGTGAACTTGAATTTCTCTGGCTCCAACAATAATTTGCCTCAGTTCAATGTGAAAGAACCTCAGAATAATAGCAATGAGAGCTCACTGTCAAAAAATAGCAAGAACTGTATGAATGCAGCAACAAATCCCGTGCTTCCTGCAGTAACAGTTCCTTCAGAAACGCATGTCCCCTCAACTTTGTTTTCAAAAGTGCCCGTGACAGCAGCAACATCTGCACCTACTTTAAGCCAGTGTCCTTTAGGTGGTGCTGCAGAACAGCCAACTGCACCTCTAGATTCCAATTCAAGTGGCACCTTCACAACACCTAAGGGGTCAGGCTTCTTCTTCGGAAAAAAAATGGAAGTATTCCCCACGCTTTTCCTTGGAAAATCTGTAAGCCAAGATTGTGACACTGGTAATATAAATGGGTATAACTCCTCAGATTCTGTAGCTACTACCACTAGTACCGTCACAGGTTCTAAGCCAGTCACGTCAGTTAGTGAGAATGCTTCCTTCTCAGCTTTTTCTACTAGTTCCAAAAGTGATTGTTTTCAGAAAACTAAACTAAGCAGTTCAGGTCAAACTTCCTTTACTCTTCCTTTTGAGAATATACAGCAAGAGAACAAAGCAGCTTGTTTCAGTATGGAGACCAATAAGGGGCACAATTGTCTTGTTGCCTCATCTGCAGTATCTTCTAAGGACTTGGTTTGTACCTCTAGCTTCACTTCTAACTTGATATCTGGTTCAGCTTTGGATCAGAGAGGTGCTTCCAAAAAGCAGGCTGTTCCTACTAAGCTGTCTTCTACTTGTTTTTGGACTAGCGAAGAGGCATGTCTGTTTTCTTTCAAAGGAACCATGGACAATCATTGTGACATTCTAGCCACGCAACCTTTCAGCAGAATTAAATACGTAAATGTTAAATCAAAAATGAAGTCAAATGAAAAATACTCAGCTGCAACAACCCCTGTGCCCACTCAAGGACCTGAAAATCAGGTGGCCTGCTCTTCCTCCATTGCCAATGGTTCAAAACCAGAAACTGCTGATAAGCTTGTTCCTCAGAAAAATGTCTGTGATTCTGCAAATAGTACTTTAACTTCAACTAAACTTACTGAAACAACAAATACATTAGGAAACCATGTACTGGTTGTGGAAGATCAGAAGTCTTCCTCAGTATCCAATGGACCAAGTTGCATAGTAAATTCAGATTCTGATGGGGAAGATGTAAGCCAAGTATCTAATGCTAGTAAATCTAGCACCGTTTCTGAATATTTTTCTCTGGCTGAAGATAACACATTCTCCATTTGAGAACTGCAGTATCCAATAAAAGTAAACAGATTTTATTGAGGACTATTAACCTTGCATTATTTGTACTTCAAGGTAGCAGTGTGATCAAATTTAATACTGGTCTCAACTCTATTTATAGAATCTAATACTGTATTCTGATGCATTTATGACTCGTGAGATTTTCCGAGTTTGATCTCAAACAATTAAGCGTGAATGTCATTTAAATTAATGAAATTGTGACTATATAACAGCTGTTTTATAATGAATGGGAACAATGGCATTTTTTTTTTTACATCACTGGCTCCAATACACTAAACATGTTTTTCATAACTAACTATAGGTCGGTTCATTCAGTATCCTTTGGAGCCATGTTTTGTGAAGCCATAAAAAAATCACTGCCTGCGATTCCTTCTACCCCTTTTCTCATTTCTTCATGCACTACGTAGCTTCCATTTAACAACCAAAATAAAGAGTACTGCCTTGAATATTGATATACTAAACAAGATCTGGCATAATTGGTTATAAGTCTTAGTAACCAAACCTTAAGTAGATATTTTCTGTTTCTGATAAAGCAGTGTGCATTGGCCTTAAAAGGTTTAAGTTGATGGTCAAGTAGGAGACAGGATTATCCTAGAAAAGGTGTGGAAAATTGGCTAATTCTTACCTTCATGAATGTCAACAGGCAGTGCTCCTTAAAGTAGTGTAGATTGTTGTTTTTAACAAATATACAGCATAATACTATGCCTTTGAGTGTTTATACACTTCCCTTTGAAATCTCTTAAATATTTTCTTCTATGTATTTATATTTTAGTTACACTCAGCCTGCCAAATTTCTTATTTCCTGTGAGCATACACATTGTGGAATTCAGATCTGTTGAATCTGAATAACTATGCCTGCCTTATTCAGTGAAAGAGGTTGGATCTAGTCCACAAGTTATGAAAGAAGCTTAATGAAGCTTGAAGATGTGGCACAAATAAGCTGCTTTGCACAGAGCATTACACTATGGGCTTCTTTTGTAGCTCCAAGCAACATATGTAATTAATACTAACTTAATTTTGCACAATAAATTTTGAAACAAAAACTGTTGTTGTCCTTGCAAGCTTGAGGAAAATGAATGTTATCTTTCAGGAACAGTTGTATCAAGAGGTTTATATAAGGGTGGTCTTTTATCAGAGCGTTTTGCTTTCCCGGGGAGGAGAAAAACATTTATTCACTTTCTTTTTGGTGATGTGTTTCCAGGTTAAACCACATTTCCGCCATTTTTATAATAGCAATCTTCTTTTTCTGTCACATAGATTGTGAGTGATTTCCTCTGTGTTTTCAGCTCAATAAGGATTCCAGAATATAGACTAGGAATTTCCTAGCTGGGATTGGAGTGTTCTTTCTCTCTTGCATTGGATCAATGTCAGCTTACTTCAGTTCTGTCCTGACCTTGTGCTGTGCTGCTGCCAGTATCATAATGGTAGATAAATAGTTTTTTGGAACAGATAAGCAGACACGCAGTATTACTCTTTTGAGCCAGTTGCAAATAAATATGTTCCACCGGATGGTCTTCTGAACCCTTACATTCCAGTCATAAAAGGGTTATTAATAACATATTTCAAAATGTTGGCTGCTCCACTTCAATGTTTATTTCTCTTTTCCCCATTATTTTTCCAAATTCTTTGTCTATATTTGTATCCTAATTGATTGCACGTTCATTTCTTCCAGGAAGAGGGTTATATTACTAGAGTTCTAATTTCTGTTCAGAAATGTGTAACAAGTGATGTGTAGCATTGCTATTCTGGATAGAATTTTGAAATTCTAGTTGTATTTTAAATATTCATCTGCCTCCATATTCTGACAGCTTGTCTCCAGTGATAATAGATGCTTTCCTGGAAAACTGCCTTTCTCCTTATCCTGAGCCAGCTCTTAAACCTTCCATGTGCTTTTCGATTGGCAGCTATGCATTTGTCTGTTAAGTTGCTCATTTGAAGCATTTTATGTCCCTCTGTTTGCTGAGAGAACTTCTAAAGTACCTTAAGATTAATAAAAATGTGGGCCTTTCCACGATGCCCCTTTATCCCAGGATCTGATCCCAGATTACCTGTTTATCCCAGGTTATCTGGCAGTGGGGATGCATATATTCCAGTTTAAAGCAGATAATCTGGGATCAGATCCTGGGATAAAGGACATTGTGGAAGGGCCCCAAGACAACCCTATACATTAAGGCCCTCCAGTTGTGTTCAGCAAAAGTAAAATCACCTGGAGCTGATAAGCAATGATTTTGACATTCCAGAAAAAGGTTTGAATTCAGCAGGGTGCAACTATGTGTCCTTTACACATGTAGATGTCTTGGAGGGCATTAGGGAGATTGGTATTGTCCTTTGTGCCCTCTCCTTACCTACTTCAAAGCCCCAAAGCAGGATGTACAGATATTTTGTGCCTAAAAGTGAGCCAGCAGGTTCAGCAAAGCATCTGACATTTCCCCAACTGACTAAGCTGGATTCACATAATTACAGAAGTACACAGACCTCCGGAGGGCCCCAAAAGTTCTCAGCGTTGATGTCATTGTTTGTCTGCTTATGAGTGCAAGCTAGACCTCCAATCCATACTGCTCACATTAAAGCATAGAATCCTTGTGTAAAGGTGTTACCCCCAATCTCTTCAAAGGTGCAGCTTTAGAGACACAGCTAGAAAAGTGAGCAGCAATTTCTTGCTCTCAGAAAGAAAGTTTTATTTTTCAAGGGTAAAAAGAGGTAGAAAAAAGGTACAGAGTACTGGAGCTCCAGTGGCACCCCCAAAATGGAGAAACCCTGAGTGATGTTGCTACATTTGTTTGACACCCTTTGGGGGTGTCACTCAATCATTAATTGGTTAAAAGACAAACAGGTGAATTCTCATCACAGTCTATGTCACATACTCTGTATCCTCCCTTTGTCTGGCTCTTATCAGCAAGAACATTTCATCGCAGCCCACCTTGTAAAAAGTTGGTGCTGATGCAAATGAAGGCAGGGGAGGGTCCAGCAAGCCTTTGGCTTATCAAGGCCATCTGTGTCCAGCAGAATGGTTTACAAGGTGCTTGCAGTGGGGCTTTGGAGCTTCAAAGCAAGTTTAGGACTAGTGTAAGATCCACCTGTGGATTTTTATGCTACCCTGAGATACTATTAAATTGAGGCCGAAGTTGATCCAGTGACAAACTTTCTCCCCTATAAATCAAGGATGAGAAGACTTTTCACCCTTAAAGAGGATCAACCCAGTTAGCATTTGAATGGGAGTGTACCCACAAATAGCAAATGCTGTAGGCTATATTTCAAAATCACCTCCGAGTATCCCTCACTCCCCCAAACTCCCCAATGATATTCTTGGAGTTGTCATAAGTCAACAGGTGACTTGAGGGCACATACAAAAAGAGACATGAAATATATACCACAACAGCTGATTTTGGCCTGGATTTTTAGGGTAAACCTGGAGGATGAAGTAGTTTTTGGAAGAGAAGTGTAACAGACTTGCATTTTTTGGGAAACCACCCAAGAATAAACACCAGAAGAAACTGAAGTAAAGGAGAGCTGTGTGGAAGAACACAAAAGGACAGGAAGGTTTGATGGAGAACAACTGGGAAATTTGGAAAGGGTGGAGAAGAACTCTCCATAAAGGAAGACACCGAGAACATCTGGGAAGGAGTTGTGTGACATGAGGAATTGAAACAGAGAAGTTTGGTAACGGGGTAGGACTGCAAGGAAATTCCTGAGGCCTGCTTGCCGTTTGCACTTTCTGAGTATGTAGATGCTTTATGTTGAGCTGCATAGAATAAAATGGTTGTTACATTCTCAAAAATATTCTGCACATTCTGAAGATGCAAGGTGGCTTCCAGGTTCTCCTTCCTAGAGAAGAGGCCCACAGTGCAACAAGAGGAAATCAAATGTTCTTATTTGTGAAGACATAACAGAAGTGGAATTCAGAGGGTGTAAAAAGGAGGTCGAGGACTACATTTTTCCTACCCTTGTTCTAGAACACTATTCACAGAGGAAGGGGAACTGCTGTGATTTACCCTCTGAGAACCCCAGAGTAGGTGCTACCACCAGCAAAATACATATTTCACTGCTTTTTACTTTGTGTTACTAGCAATCACAGCCAGTCAGCTAGCCACAGCTTAGGAGCCCTTTAGGATCCCTTTTGATTTGAAAAGCGAATAATTCTTTCTCTTGCAAATGAAACCCCCTTGATTGGAAGGGCATTTTTCATGTTAGTTGCTGATTTGCAACACCTTATTCAATGAGGCTGAATCAATGTGTTTTTAAGGATAATGTGTTTTAAATGTCTCTCAGGTCTGTGGGAAGAAACTTGCAAAAATGGAGACCACAATTTTCTTAGGAATCAAAGATTTATTTACTTTTCTCTACTCAGTCAAAAATTAACACAAAAATGCACAATATTTTGTGCAGTTGACTTTGATTGCAGTTCAATTCAAAATGAAGCATTTGACAAAACAATATTTTCTAGGACAAGTGTCTTCACAGGACTAAAATGGTTGTTTCTTTTCTTTTTTAAATTTTTGACATTTTATTATTGCTCACTTTACAAAATAGAAAGGTACAGGAATACTATTGAATATTTATACCTCAGTATGATCAAGTATGTAATCATTTCCCCCTGATTTCTACAGCTGTTCTATAGGTTAAACACAATACAAGTAAATTGACTGGAACTAAAAGTCTTGTTAACTTACACATAACAATCTGCCTAAGGTTCTCAAAAGTAGATAAAATAAAAGGATATGCATTTCCCTTTAATGGTCATTTCTTTTTTCCTTTTTTTGTAACTGATTTTTATTGATAATAAAAGATTCTAGAAAAGAGAGAGTACCGGTACTTGTTTTTCTTTACAAAAAAGTGGGTGAACAATATGGCTAAGAAAAGTAGGAAAAAGTAGGAGAAAAAGGGGGGGGAGGAAGGGTGGAGGGAGGCTGTACTTCCAGGTCTCTCTGGCTGGGGAGTCTTATTTCGTTTAACGTATTACTTTGTTCTCATAGTGTCAGCTTCTTTTTAATCCTGATTTTTGCCTTTCTTTTAGGTCACTTTTACATATATTTTTATATTTTCACTTTTTAAAAATTCCCTAAATTTTCCCCAATCCATTCTTTGTGATTGTATATTGTTCTGGGCTAGTTTTGTGTAGTAAATCCATATTCATGATATCCATTACTTTTAGAATCCATTGTTTCATAGTGGGTATGTCTTGTGTTTTCCATAGTTGGGTCAAACTGATCCTTGCTGCTGTTACCAAATAAATAACTTATTCGTGTTTTTCTCCATCTCAAAACCCATCATTCCTAGTAGGAAATATTTGGGTTTGAACTCAAATTTTAGGTGAAGAATTGTCTCTATTTTTATATACTTGATGCCAGTACCTTTTAACTTTTTTGCACTTCCACAACATGTGCATAAAATTTCCCTTGTTTTTTCTACACTTCCAACATTTCTCATCCTTTCCTCCTTTGTTATATTTTGCCAACATGAGATACCACATATAGAACATTTTATACCAATTCTCTTTTATTTCTGTTGAATAAGTGTGTTTTAGCTTCTTTGTCCACAATGGTCATTTCTTGATGTGTCCTTACACTTTTTTGAATTTATGATCGTAGTCCTTGCTTAATTGCTCAAATGCCAGAACAACATTATCATCTTTATTGTCACAAAGTTCACGCAAAGAAACACTAAAGGTGGGAAAAAGGAGAAAAGAAAGCGGCAATTAAATACCTCTATAGAAGACATTGAATCCAGGCATTCCAGGAATCAAAGATCTTTTGCTAGAAATTATCTTCTCTGGTCTCAAACAGGTAAAGCATTCTGAATTCTTTTTGTCATGTCAGATTAAAATGCAAAAGATAGAGCTAGAGATTTTCCACTTTACCAGTCCTCAAGAGCTAACCAGGAGTATTCCTTCAGGGAGATCTACTCAGTCAGTTTTAGTTTTAATCGTGAATTTCAAACTTACATCTTGTGTTCACTATATTTTAATCTTAGTTCTGTGCATTTTAATATATGTATTTTGTAGAAATACATTGTAATATGTGTATTTTATATAATGTTTATAGTGATTATGTGTTTATAGCAATGTTGTAACCTGCTTGGATCCACAAGGAGAGGTGGATAAGAAATGAATTTGTTGTTGTTAGTAAGCACAACTTTCTGGTATGGTCGTCTATTATTCATATCAGGCCCAAGAAGCATTACCCAGCTAGGGTTGAGACTAGAACTGTGCAAAAATTCAAACGAGGATTGTAAGTACATGTTTCAGCAAATTTGTACTTATGATGCAACTTACGAACCCCCTCCCCCAAACACAGACAAATCAAGACATCCATCTTCAAAATCCTAATACAGAAAAAAGAGGTATTTGGAAAGCCATGTGAACTAGCTATGGAAGCCACACTCAACACTCTTAACACAATGGCATTAGAAAATATCCACAGATGTAAAGTTGGAGGTTTGATGCCCCTTGAAATGATGAATTGCAGCTTCCATCATCTCTCAGGCATTGACTATGGGTGCTGCAATCCAATAATATCTAGGGAAGGAAAAGTTCTCCATCCCTGAGGGAAATAAAATGAAGAATGTATTGACCGCTACTGGAGGTGATCTCTACTCTCATTGACCATATAGCATACCTAGAAACAACTAGCATAAAAACATCTCAAGGCCACAAGAGGAACTGAACCATTGGCATTTCCCAATAAGCAAGACTCATTATAAATAGGCAAGAATCATAAATCCAAAACCATTATATATGTTTTGCATACCTGATTGCTTTAAGAGCAAGGGAAAAGTCCTTCAGCAAATGATAAGCTTCTCCTGCATGTATACTAAAGGAAAAAAGTTTACAAAGTTATATTCTTTGCATTGTTAATCAATCAAGACACTGTAGACCCAAGAATCAAATCTTCAAGTGGGAATACATAAGGGTTTTTTAAAAAATGAAGGCAAAGGAAATTATGGTAGATAATTGATTCAAAAGTTTCAGCCAGCTATAGACAGTACTGATGGAATGGCAGAATCCAGTAAAACTAGCTGAAGATTGTGACTTAGATCCATGCACATGTAAGTAAAGGAACTTAACCAGATATGCTGTCTACAGGTTTGAGTGAAAACTCCTGAAAAGGGGGGGGGGTGTTAGTTGGGGAAAAGAAAGGATCCTACAAACTGAATCCAAGACATATTCCCTGAGAAGAGCTTCAAAAAAGTACACATGCCCAATTTTTGAAGATGTTTTCCCTTTGCAACAGAGCCTCATCTGATCCAGAACTATTGATATCAAAGCTTCCTAAACTTGGGATTGTGACTACAAATGGGGTCACATAAGTGAATGGTTGGGGTCATGAAAAATTTGGCCAAAAGACTGAAAGAATCACAGCCACAACTGCAAATTCATACAACCTTTGGTGCAGTCCTGCCTTTGGGTAAAGAAACCGATTACCCAACCATAAATGCCACCCCCCCCCCAAAAAAAACCCCATCTGCTATGCAGGATTGGGGGGCGAAGACAGAGGAGGAATTAGGCAAAATGGGGAAAACCAAAAAGTGGTTTAGGTAAAATTGAAGGAGGGATTGGGTTGCAGGTTGGGGAAAAGTTTTAAAAAGTGTGTTTTGGAGAAGACCCTGCAGCCCAAACAAACCACTTTTTCCCTTTCTCAGCTTGAAGCCTCTGCCTTCTATTTTATATATCTGGGGTTGCATAAAAATGCTTGGGCAAAAAGAGGTCTCAAGTGGAAGGTTTTTAAGAAGCATTGATCTATTTAACATTTCCAGGAGTTCAAGCAGCTGATGTTAGGTGGAAGGGTAGGAAATTCTACTTCTGTATCCCTTGTTGCACATGTTTACACTTAATCCAAATCAATTATTAGTGTTCCTTGGGGGGGGGGGGTGTCCTAGTTGTTTTTATTTAAATTGACAAGGAGATAAATTATATCATACATACCCGTTGTCCTGTTCTATTGCTACCAAAGATCCATGTTTGTAGAAATCAAGAACATAGGCATTCAGTGGCATAATTCTTCCCTGCGTGTCATATTTCTTTGAACTGAAGATAGGAATGTTGGCAGCTTTAATGCCGATTGTGCGCAAAATGACCTGTAGAAACAATGCAAGAGGTTTCCCTGTTCCCATTGTCTGGTTGCTATGCCTGTCCCTTTGTCGCATTATAACAAAATTGTCTTGAAAGAATGAACATCCTGGATGAGATCCGAACCAAAAGGTCCATCCACGTGTTTGAAGGAAGGGAGAGGTTAATTTCTCAAACAAAGCCACCCTAAAATCTTTATCATGCCTTGAAAATGGTGGTATGTTATATTGTTTCTTTCTCCAAGGAAATATGTTTGTTAACAAAAGACTGTTTCAATACATTTTCCTTTCCATACCAGTTATAAATCCTATTGTTCATGTTTTAGTTTTTTATCGGTCTGTTTTATTACACACTTATATAGAAATCAATCCCATGTATAAATCAAGGGTAAGTTTGGGGTCATAGAATAAATTTCTATAGCTGAGTGATGGTTTGAATCATAAAAACCAGCATGATCTCATGGTCCGAGGGATGGACTAGAATTTTGGGAGCATTTTCACACTACACAATTATAACACTCTAAGTGCCATAGTTTAGTCCCTGAGAAACCTGGGATTTGAAGTTTAGGGATTTAGAATTCTCAGCCAAAGAGCACTAGAGTTTCACCAAACTACAAACTCCAGGATTCCACTGGATGCAATCTGGATGTTAATTTGGAATCATAGCTCTATAAAGGTGCAATGTAAAAAAAAAAACACATTTTATTTATTTATTTATTTATTTGCCATATTTACACTCCACCTTTCTCTACCCCTGCAGGGGGACTCAAGGCAGCTTACAATGGCAGATAGACAGTACCTCAAAAAATCACCTAAAATAGTTTAAAATCACAACATATTAGACATGATTAAAATACATTCAAAGTTAAAAACATGCCATCCAGAGTTCAAGGTCTAAGGCCATTCCAAGGTCAAATTGCACATAATTCTATATTCGGAATACTGCATTGCCCTAATTTTTGAAAGCCTGCTCCCAGAGCCAGGTTTTGAATCTCTCTCTGAATGCTAGTAGGGAGGGGGCTGATCTGATCGATGGGGAGGGAGTTCCACAACTGAGGGACCACCAATGAGAAGGCCCTGTCTCTTGTCCCCGCCAGCCTCCCCAGATGATTTTAGTCTCTGAGCTGGTTTGTAAAGGAAGATACATTCGTACAGGTAGCCTGGGCCGGAACCATTCAGGGCTTTATAGGCTAAAGTCAGCAATTTTAATTGTGCTGGCTTTAGCCTGTATTGCTAGTGCTAATGTTTCAATACATATAATAACAAGCACAAAAGAAAAGGGTAGGTAACTCTTTTCACATGCTTCTGGATAAAAAGAAATATATTCTCTTGTTTCGAAGTATGTGGTCTTTATCCATAGTTCTAACTTTTCCCAATTTTGAAATCTCCCGGTATTTTTAAAACATAAGGTCACTCTTCAAGGCCTTCTCAGCATCTATAAATCATAACACTCTTCTTGAAGTGCAAGGTGTATCTAAATTTTATACCTCACATTAATTTACTTGCTGTTGTTGCATTGAATTTTTGCTGCTATTGTTTTTAACCACTGTGAGTTGCCTAAGGGCTGAGAACAGCGGTATACAAATAAAGTAAATAAATAAATAAATACTTATACCTGTCAACATCCATAAGAATTTGATAATAGAATTTATCATCCTTGGTTTAGATACTTTTACAGTATCAAGTGGGTATATGTCTTACTAGATAATTTGGATAATTTGGTTTATATAATTTGAATAATTTGGTTTATATATAGATACACACACACACAAAGGCAAAGTAATCTTTACCCAACATTATCATCTATTAACTATGATGTGTTTTTTCATGTTTTTTCAAAATACTTTTACACATTAAAACTTTAGCAATAATCCATAAATTGTTCCCACTTACACTGTTGACAGTCTCTGCACGGAACAAATCAATTTCTGTATTTCCTGAAAGGCACACAAATGGTGAAACTGCTGTCCTTCCCTCATCACAACTCATTAAGTGAGATGCAAGCGGAGAGTCAGGTTGCTTCTTACTTGAAAAATCTGATAAAACACATTAACAATATGAATTACGTAATGGGCACACAACCTTACTGTAATTTGATAATAGAGATGTGATACTTCCTTCATGTTTATGTAATAAATGATTTACATATGAATATTTACATTTACAATAACTATATAACAGGTACATTTTTTTACAGACATATTCTTTTATGTCTTCTAATATCCCCTGATATTTCTGTTTTTGTTCTTCCTTTCCTTTCTTTCACTCTTAGTTAAAAGAATAGACCAAAGATAACCTAATACAGAAGCAGTTGAGCCTTTTTAAAGTCTTAATTCAAACCTGTTTTTGTCTACTTTCCAGCCTGACCAGATTCAAAAGTGGATAGAGCTACAGCTATAACAATACCTTTCAGGCAGATGGATCATTATAATTAGTGTGATATCATGTCCACAGACTAGTATTTCTGTTTAGGTTTCAATCTGAATTCCCAAATAGAAATACTGCACAGAACTCTTAGCTCCAAACTTCCATGTTTTATTGCAACGAAATACACAAAATGCCTTCTTACCAAGTTTTGAAAGTGGCAGTTTGTATTCTTGCTCCATATCAGCCAAAGAAGACACTATCTGCAGAAATTGTCTAAAATTCTCTTCAATTTTGCAATTGTATTCATGCAAAGCATCAGCAAAATCTTCTGGGAGATCTTTAAGAAACACCTAAAAGTCAAATTTATCAATCCATTTTAATTGATTAGCCCTTAGGCCATATCACAATATCAAACCAAATAACAACAAGGCTTGATATGACTTGATTTCACTCTATGTAGCAAGTTAAAACAAGACACTTATAACAATAGAGTAAATAAAAAATAGAGTAAATAAATATGACAAAACTGAACATATACATCATATTTCCTTATCACCCCTACAATTTACAATTTAAAGCAAAATTGTTTTCTTAGAAGAGATTGAAATGAATATGGAATTTTCAACCATTATACTCAGTAGATTTTGATTTTTCTTAAAAGACAATAAAACATGACAGTTGACAGTTGACCTATGCCCTCTACTTTTTATTGTTTTAAGATATATAGTCACCGTTCCTTATTCAGGATTTTAGGGAGAAACAAGATCAAAGGCAAGGAGAACCAAGGTAGACAACACACAAAGAACCAGGTGAAAGGTGTGTGTCCCCAACTCTGAGATTGGACAGGCTGCAACAGACCTTTTATTTCAATCACATAGAAGTAGCTTACCACAGTCACACCTTATTACAAGTATCTCTTATTTAAGAAGTCAGAAGAAAATCCAAGCTTATATAGCCTAGACATACGGGAAAGAATAAACTCCTTTCATAGTTTTTTCTTCCAAAAAACAAAAACAAACCACCAGTGTATTCATGCTGCATTTGACCAAACAATGAAGATGCACTCTCAGACTAGGGAAAAGAGCTAAACCAACTCTAAATTTAAATTGAGTGCATTTTCTGATTACATTATTCAAACAGAAAAGACAAACGATTTCAAAATTACATGCGAAATTACATGCAATAAAAGATGAGCTAACTAGAACTTACATAACTTGCTAAAGTCAAGTGTAGATGGGGAATATATACAAGTAACATTGGTGGCTAATGTTGTTTCCCAGTTTTTCAATAAAAAGAACAAGATATAGTTCTAACCTTTGACTGGTAAAACTTCCTTCCAGAATTAACAGCAGGAAGAGATCTTCTTCCAAAAAGATGTGCCAACACTAGCACCAATGTTTCCATCACATCACAAGAGAAAACCTTTGATCCTGTTTTGGTTCAGAAATCCACAGTGCATCAAATTATACTTTAATGAGAATGTACAGACCTTAGTGAATACTAAAACCAACATGTTAACACGTTTTTTGTCCCAATTTTTCCCCTCTAAAATTCTAAATCAAAATTGGATGAAGTGCGGTTCATGGGTCATATTGGCCCTTAGGATCGCTAAGTGTAGCCCCAAATGTTCCCCCAAACCCCCAGGCCTCCCAAAATAAACTCAAACGGTTGACTTTCAAGGCAATTTTTAGCCTCCAAACCAGCCAAATGCTCCCAAAGCTGTCTGCAAATGCAGTAGTTTGCCTCCACAACCTCCCAAGTCCTCCAGCCTCCCAAGTTAGAGCTCCTTTCCCTCTGATAGCTATGAATAGCAGATAGCATATGTAAATAGCAATAGAAATAAAAACAAAGTTGTGATTATGGTGACAAAGAGATAAGTACGGTTTTAACTACATTAACTGGGGGGAGGCAAAAACAAGTTGTTGCCTAAAGTCAATGAGAAAGGAGATATATAGGTTGCTTACCTGAAAATGTATTTCTTCGAGTGTCAGTCTGTGAAATTCGCACTAAATGGGGTTTCTCTGTGCATGCGCAGTGATTTTGGAACATTCTAGCTATAAAGAGTTTTGGCAAACACCCCGCCCATCCTCCCAAGTGCAATTAAGGTAGAAGGTGGAGCTTCACCTCAGTTCCTTGCCGCCAGACAGCAGCCAAGAAAGAGGCATGACATAAGAGGGGAGGACGGGGGGGATGTGCGAATTTCACAGACTGGCACTTGAAGAAATACGTTTACAGATAAGCGATCTATATTTATTCCTCGTGTAGTCTGTGAAATACGCACTAAATGGGTGACTGTAAAGCTACCAACCTGGAGGCGGGTCATGCCACACATGAGAAGAGAACTGCTCTGCCGAAGGCTGCATCTCTCTTGGCGAGGATATCGAACTTCTAGTGAGAGGCAAACGTAGAGGGTGTTTTCCACTTTGCTGCTTTGCAGATGTCATGAACAGGGACACTCCAGAGGAAAGCTTGAGATGTCGAAAGGGATGTCGTGGAGTGAGCATGGAGTGTTGGCGGAGGTTGTTTGTCTGCCAACTGGTAGGCTAGGCAAATTGTGGATATTATCCAGGATGATAGCCTTTGGGATGATATTGGAGAGCCCAAAGCATCTTTCCTGTATTTGAGAAAAAGCCTCAGAGATTTTCTATAGGAGGCAGTTTTGGATATGTAGAAGGAGAGAGCTCTCTTGACATCCAGAGAATGGAGAGCAACCTCTAGGTGAGTGGAGGGTTTGAGAAAGAAGGCAGGTAGGGTAATGTCTTGTGACATGTGGAACTTGGAAACAACTTTAGGTAGGAAAGTGACATCAGTACGAAGGATCACTTTATCTTCGTGGAACCTGATCAAGGGAGGATCCGCACCAAGTGCGGTGAGTTCACTAGCCCTCCTTGCAAAAGTGATGGCTACTAGAAATGCCATTTTCCAGGAAATATGGGAGATGTCACAGGAGGACATGGGCTCGAAGGGGGGCTTGGAAAGTTGGGATAACACCAGTTCAAGGCTCCAGGCCGGTGAAGGGGGAGAAACTGGGGGATGAACATTTTTTTATCCTTTAACAAATAGTTGTATCAAGGGGTTTTGAAAGAGGGACAGTAGTCCCGACTTCTTCCTATACCAGGAAAGTACTGCAAGATAGCAGTTAATTGATAATGAGAATCCTATAGAGGAAAGGTAGACAAAAAAGTCCTAAACAACATGTATTGGTGCTGAGACGGGATCAAAGCCTAGGAGTTGGGTAAAGGCTTTGAATCTAGACCATTTATAGGTATAGGCTTTTTAAGTGGAGGATTACTGTGCTGCTTGGATTATTAAATGTGCAGCATCAGAAATATGGTTCATGGTTTGATCCTTCAGGCCGTTAGGTGAAGGGTTAGGAGATCTGGGTGACAGATCAGACCGTCCTGTAGGGTGAGGAGGTCTGGGTTGGGTCGAAGGCGGAGAAAGGTCTTGCGTGATGCTTGAAGGAGAGGAGCGAACCACAGTTGTCTGGGCCACCATGGGTGATCAGGATGCAGTTGGCCCTGTCGTTTATGACCTTCGCTATTACTCTGGAGAGTAGAGGGAGGGAGGAACATGTATAAGAGGCCCTTGGTCCACTGAAAAAGAAAGGTGTCTCCTAGACAACCTGGGGATGCACGAGGGTGGAGCCTCATACAAAAGTGAGGGCACTGTGTGTTTTCTGGAGAGGTGAACATGTCCACCTGTGGGCGGCCCCAGTGACATGCCCCAGTTTCCACTTGGAGATCTTGTTGAGGGGTGGAAGGGTCAGGATGTGGTGACACCTGGTGGTGAGAAGGGGAATGTTCAGGAGGAGGTTTGGAAACTGTAGCTGTGGGAGGAGGATGGGGAGGAATTTGAATTCCCTGGGGTGTAGGCACCACTTGTGGATTGTGGTAGGCGTTCTGCTTAGACAATCCACTAGGGTGTTGTCTTTGCCGGGGAGATGTTCCTTTGAATGCACCATTCCCAGATCTCGGTTGAGATGGAGAGGAGGGTTGCAGAGTGGGTTCCTCCTTGTTTGTTGAGGTAGAATTTCAGGCGTGTTGTCTGTGACTATTTGAATTGTGCAGTTGGAGATTAGGTGGGCAAAGGCATGGAGGGCTTAGCCTACCGCAAGTAGCTCCAATGCATTGATATGGAGTTGTTGTTCTGAGAGGGACCAGCAGCTGCTGATCATTAGGTCTTGGAGATGTGCACCCCAGCCCAGGGAGGAGGCATCTGTTGTCAATGAGAGGGATGGTCGCGGGGGGGGGGGGGGGGAGTGAATGGGAATCCTGAGCATGCATTGGATTTCTTTGTCCACCATAAGAGGGACAGAAGGACTGGGGGAGGAGGGTGGAGAATCATAGTTTGGGAGTCTTTGAGGAACCAAGATTGGAGAGGGCGGAGGCAGAGGCGGGTGAAAGGAGTCGCATTTGTGGTGGAGGCTATATGGCCAAGTATAGACTGGATGGCCCAAGCAGAGGATTGGCCTGAAGAGTAGAGGCTGTTGATGGCTTGGCAGATGTTGGAGACAGAGGAACGTCCAGAGGAACGTTTGATATACACTCATATAAACTCCATAGTGTGCCATGCGAACAAACAAGGAGGTAGATGAATAAAACTTTTTTGCCATGGCATCCAGCTTCTTTCCTTCTTTATCAGAAGGAGAAGATTGATTTCTTTGTACCGGCTTTGGTTGAGCATCTGTCACAACTGAGTTTGCCTTAGGCAATTTGGCAAGCCAAGAGGCTGCCATAAGGTCAATACGGTAAAGGTTTTCAGCTCACTCACTTTGGAGTTGCTGGAGCGACGCCTGTTGTCTTTAAAATCTGTAAGAGGTATGGTAAAGTGGGCAACACAGTTGACATAGGAGGTTGTTGTTCTGATGAAGTAAAGCATGGGTCCTGCACAACATTGGTAGGTTGAGGGGTTGCAAGGTTCATCGCCCTGGAGAGTCTAATAAGTAAAACAGAGAAGTTTTTTAACTCCTCTGCTTGAAGTGGGTCTGCATCAGCCTCAGGTTGAGGAGCAAGAGTGGGGGGGAGAATAACAAGAGGATTCAAGATCTACAGTTTCTGTTTCCACTTAGAGATCTTGTTGAGGGGTGGAAGGGTTAGGATGTGGTGACACCTGGTGGTGAGAAGGGGAAGGTTCAGGAGGAGGTTTGGAAACTGTAGCTGTGGGAGGAGGATGGGGAGGTGGGTAGTGATAAGCAGGAGGCCCCTGTTGTTTAGTATAATCTCCGTGATAGAAGGGAGGGTATATAGGAAAAGGGGGAAGGGGGTAAAGGGGAAAAGGATAGTCATAGGGATAGTAGAAGTGAGGGTCGGATCCACGAGGGCGTTTAGAGGAAGAGGAGAGACTGCGAGATCGGGACTGAGAGTTAGAGGAAAAGGAGTGGCTCCGACGCCTGGAGGAGTGCCTTGGACGAGAGCGGCTGTGTTCCTCTTGGAGATTGAAAGGCGTTGGTACTGACGAGGGAGGCTGATCTCTGGAGGGGGGAGGTTGAGCAGGCTGAACAAAAGGAGGAGAATCTGTGAGGTTGGGGTCAAGCTGAGTGCTAAGGAATTCAATTGGGAAAAGCTGAGACGGCTCCTGTAGCTCTAAAAAGGAAGCTGTAGTTGCATGCTCCGAGTGAGAGAGTTCTAGGAGCTGAGCTGGCAGTACCGGAGGGGGAGGACTCAGGGGCTGCGAGCCAGAGAGTTGCCGTCCCTTCTTCTTAGTTTGTTTATTATTTGGTTTGCTCTTTTGAGCATTTTGTTTGGATATTTTGGGTCTCTTTTGGGGCGGCTCTTTCGAAGCAGGAGGAGCTGAATCCACAGTTTTCTTCCGCATTTAGGAAGGAGGGGCCTGGCCACTTTCTGGAGAGAGGGGAAGGCGGCAGTTGTTGGGAGGAGGTTTGCGCGGGCTGGCGCAACTCCTCTGGTGCCAATGCTTGCTCATATAAGAGAGCTTTTAGTCGGGAATCCCTGCTCTTTTGAGCTCAAGAGGTGAACGCTCAGTAAATCTCGCATGCTGAACAGTTGTGGGATTCCCCAAGGCATAAAAGGCACTTTGTATATCTATCAGCTTCGGGAAGATTAGCTCCGCAAGCTGTACACTTTTTAAAAGATAAAGTAGCCATAATCTTAGCCTGTCCATTGCCGTTCCGTGGTTGAGGGATGGAGAAGGGAGATAGCCGATAGTCCAAGTCAGTAAGTAATTGAGAGAGTCTGAAATGCTGCTGCTGCTGTTGCGCAGAAAGAAGAACTGAGACGAAGCTCCGCCTTCTACCTTATATGCACTTGGGAGGATGGACGGGACATCCGCCAAAACTCTTTATAGGTAGAATGTTCTGAAATCACTGCGCATGCACAGAGAAATCCCATTTAGTGCGTATTTCACAGACTACCTAAGGAAGAAATAGGAATGTAGTGTGATGCTGGCTGAGAATGAAAAAGGAGATATGATAAACTGGCCAAGAGAATTCCCACAAGGCTAGGATGTTAAGAAGTGTTATAATGCTGTATATAGAGTGTGTCAGGAACCTAGTCTCTGTTCAACCCATTCTCAAACTCATTCTAAACAGATGTACACACTGACAAAGCACAAGGTTCTTCATTCCCACTTTTCTTGAGTAGACATGGATTCCACCACAGGATTATGGGTTGATAAATCATTCACCTCTCATTCTTCTCAAGGCAAGACAGAAAGGAAAGCAGGAAGAAATTCATACTCTTTTAAACTTACCATCTATTTCACTGGGTTCACATAATTTGTGGAACAGCCCTTTCACGAGAAATGCAACTAGAACAATATTGGAAGGTTCATGGTAATGTAGATGAGTTACAAGTCCAGAAAATCCAGTTGCATTACCTTCTCGATCTACATATCCCTAAAATATAAAAATGCTGTAAAGCATAGACAGTATCTGGATTACAGAAAAAATTCTATAGGTTTGTTCTTAAATTGAATGTGTAAGTAAATCAGAACAGATACATTTTAAAGTGTAACTACAGCCACACACACACACACACACATGTGCATATGTATATATGTATATTTTGGATAGCGTAGGGTTTGTTTTGCTGTCCAAGCCCTGCTTCAGAAGATATCACCTCACTTTATGTCCCTGTGGAATTTGGATTTTGAAAAATCTAGCTTGTTGTGAGAACAAGAATTGATGACAAAGCTTCAGTGGAGACACCTTTTCTCCATGATAACTCTTACAGGAGTAATTTCCCTTCCTAGGAGTAGATTTAGTCTACTTCCTGTTGTGTCACTCCCATTTTGAACTAAGAGTCATATGTAAATCAGATGTTTGTAACTCAGGGACTGTCTGTATTCCCTCATTCTAACTCAGGAAGCAAGCTGTAAACTGCCCATTCCTCTTTTGTGTCAGTAAACCCGTAAGCTGGATGGTGGTGGCAAAGGAAGTAATCTCATGATTATGAAAGATATCTGTAAAGTTTATGAATATTCTATGAAAATGATACAAATCTCATTAAAAAGATAGTATTTATTTATTTAGGACATTTATATGCCACCCTTCTCACCCCGAAGGGGACTCAGAGCGGCTTACAAGTAAAAAGTAAATACAATATATTATATTATTACTATAGCACAATATTAGTATTATATATTATATTGTACTATAACATTATACTGTAATATTATTAGTAATATTACATTTAATATAAAATATATAATTATAATATCATACTATTATTAGTAGTATTAGTATTATATATATATACAATATATATTATATTATATTATATTATATTATATTAATATATTATATTATATTATATTATATTATATTATATTATATTATATTATAAGCACAGTGCAGGAGACTAGATGGAACTGCCTTCCTGGCCCCTCTCTTCACTCTGATCTCAGTAGTCATAGAAGATTAACTGAAACAAAAAGTCCCAGTTTGCTCTATGTCAATGGTATAAAATCTGAAGTGCCGCTTTGAGTACTGCTCCGAGTCACCTCTGGCTGAGAAGGGCGGTATATAAATATGGTAAATAAATAAATATTAGGTGCCTTATCATTATTCATTATTACTAGGGGCCTGGCATAGCAGTGAAAGGAGAGGGGCAGTTGTTGGCCTCTGCCAAAAACCTATTGTGTTTTTTTGTGAAAAAAAAATCCAGCATTTGTAGTGAATGTTTCATTGAAAGGTCCACAAGTGCAATGAATAAAATTGTGAAATACTTCAGAAAATACTTTCATAATCTCATCCAGTAAGGCAAAAATGTTCGAAATTTTGCATAAATATGTGCATGAACTAAATGACGAAAGTGCACAATTCAATCAATATAGACCAGGCATGGGCAAACTTCAGTTCTCCAGGTGTTTTGGTCTTCAATTTCCACAATTCCTAACAGCTTGGCTGTTAGGAATTGTGGGAGTTGAAGTCCAAAACACCTGGAGAGCTGAAGTTTGCTCAAGCTTGATATGGACACACACACACCCATAATAAAATTGTTCCCAACCCAAAATTCGCCATCTGTATAGGCTGGCAAATATGAGGGACGTCTTTCCATGTCCAAGACTAAGCCCACATTGCTAGATTTCAGAAGTTAACAATTTACCTCTTTCACAAGAAATTGTAAGGAAAACAAGAAATAGAGTTTCAACATTTTCAGAACCCTGGGTTGCTTGAAGGATAGAAGTGAATGCTTCAATACTGATAAAGCCTGTCAAAGAGAGAAAACAATATTAACACAATGTCATCATCTTATCTGATAAATGATTCAGAGAGTATGTGGAAGTTTTATCCCTTAAACTCAATATCTGAGCCCGTACCTCCCCTACCCAAGAACTGAGGGGCTTTCTCTGTCTTTTGCTGGTAGGGATCATCTGTTGTGGGTTTGTGCCAGGAGATTTCTCAGCTACACATACATAACTAAGTAGCTCATATAGAATGAGCTACTTGGCTTTTTAGTAAAGCAACCAGCCTTGGCTTTTTAGTAAAGCAATTTAGCCTTTTAGTAAATCCTTTCGGCCCCGATTTATTTAATATGAATTTGCATATGTGCTATGGATTAAATTTTAATATTTTAAAACTATTTTAACTTGTTTGAAATTGTTTGAAGTGTTAACTGGTTTATCATATTGTTAGCTTTTAATAACTATTTTAATGGTTTTAATCTCATATTGCCATATACTGCCCTGATATCCTTGGATATAGGGAAGGATATAAATATTGAAATAAATGAATAGATCCTTCTTCAGTGTTTATTCATTCTGTTTGATTAGGTATTGATTTTGTGTTGTGATTCTGTTCACAAGAAAAGATATATATCTAATAAAAAGAGCTCATAACATGCATAAAAGACAAACATTCCACTGAGTAATGTTCATCTTATTTATACACCCTACATATTTGCTTACTGGTTGAAAAATAATAATGGCAAAGAAACAAGAATGTCACCAATTGCTTTTCTCTTCCCAATGCAAGGAGCATAGGTAGTGCAGGGAGACAACCCATTGCAGTTCTGATTTGAATCCCCCATTTCCGAAGCTTTAAAAATGAATAGAGTAGGTTTACCTTTTTTGGATTTGATCATAAGCTGATTTGATTCATATGGTTTCTCTAAGAATCTCTAGATTTTCCAGTGAAACCCTATGATCAATATCTGTTGGATGCTGACTATAGACTTGTGCTGGAGGACTCAGTGATTTCTACAGAACACTCTTCTAGGAACATCTAGGTCCTCCAGCACAACTTCCAGCAGAAGTTGTTTGCATGGGGGACCTAAAGGTTCCTAGATAGGTATTCTCCCAGGTAAAGTAAAGTAAAGTTTTTAATCCACATTTTTGCCACTTTCATGGGAATCCTGCAACCTTTTGGTCGTGTCAGGAGCGACTTGAGAAACTGCAAGTCACTTCTGGTGTGAGAGGATTGGCCATCTGCAAGGACGTTGCCCAGGGGACGCCCAGATGATTTGATTTTTTTTATCATCCTTGTGGGAGGCTTCTCTCATGTCCCCGCATGAGGACCTGGAGCTGATAGAGGGAGCTCATCCACCTCTCCCCGGATTTGAACCTGCGACCTGTTGGTCTTCAGTCCTGCCGGCACAAGGGTTTTACCCACTGCGCCACCGGGGGCTCCTCCCATCCTGCAACCTAATCCCAGTAAACATGGATAACTGGCTATAGTAACACATTCAATGTCACAAAATGTTCATCCTGGAAACCTCCAGTCATTAAGAAATGAGGAAGACCTCAAAATATTATGATTGCTAGTGAATTTTCCATTCAACCTATAAAATGTATTTGCTTCCACTAGAAAAACTGTATTAGCATTATTTTAACTTAATGGAATAAATATTGAAGGTTTTTAACAAAATACATTGATTTGAAAATTCTATTAAAGAATTAAAGATAAATGACTTTATTTAGACTACGAAAACTTCACACACTATCTTGATCCAATCTTGTTTTCAGCTGTTTTAAGATCACCTTTGCTTCTGCATCCTTCTTGTCATCTGCCTTTGAAGCCAATAGCATGAGTCTCAATATTAGAGAAATGCTCAGAGGAAACTGTCCTCGAAGTTCAGGAACATTTGATTTTATGAGTTTCTTTATTTTGGGCAAAGGAATGTCAAAAAAATAGACATTTCCCAACAAATCTTGGCCACGTCGCCCAGCCCGTCCAGACATCTGGAGAAGAAATGAAAAAGTAATCAAGTAACATTTAAAATTAAAGAATTTATATCTTTTAAAATGTTTCTAACTGTTTTCCTTATTGACATCACTCCCCTTAGGTAAAGAGGAACAGATTAGACATACTGGTCAAAATCCAATATTCTCGTAATCTTATATCTTTGGTTAGCCTGACTATTGGTCAACAATATTAAATAATATAGAGGCTAATTAAAAAGAAACAATATAATTAACAAGCTACAGTAAGACCCTCTGTATCCATGGGGGATATGCCCCTGCACTTTGTATGAATTTGCAAAATCATAAATAGCAGCAAATTCTGGGACAAGAGTATGATAGAGTTGCATGTAGGGGAAACACTGAGGAAGGCCATTGTGTATCGAGGAGATAGGTCTGGTGTGCCACAATTGTCCTGTCCATTCTTATGTCCCATAAAAGATCTCTAGAGTTAAGTCTTCTTTAAAGACTATTTTTCTGAATATTTTCAAGGTCAGAATTAATTATAAGGATATTGCCATGGAGTGTAAGGGGATACCTCAATTAGCAAGTCTGGATGCCATTCACTCACTTGACTATTGGGCTGTTGTCGGCTTGCTCGGCTTATCAATCATGTTTTGATTTAACCAATTGAATGGAATAAAAAGGTTTACAATTCACAAACCTCAATGATAAGAACCTGAGGAAAACCAAATGGTGAATTAATGGGCCATTTTTTAAAATTTCTCACATTTCAGCTCATAATTGAACCTCCCTGCAAGCTGATACCTGGAGGTGCTGCAGATTGGCAAAGGCTGGGGTATACTTTGTCCTTGTTCCAGAGGTTCTCAATGAACAGTTAAGGAAGGATACTTACAGGATACATTTTTTTTCTTTGATGCTTTTGTCTTCAATGCTTTGCCTACCTGCTTCTTAATAAAATCCTGCAGTCTTAACTACTTGTGTGTTTATTTCCTTTGAATCCAAAAAGAATGTTTGCCTTTGGGAAAAAATCATGCTGGATAACCCAGAAAATGCCTAAAGATGCCATATTTTGTTGATGTGGATAAATGAAACTGTCCGTATTGTCCCCATGGTAACTGGAGTCTTATTGAACACTTTTTAAAAAAATGAATGTCTCTGTCTCTTAAGTATACATGCATGTATGATTAAAACCTTTGAGCTGTGATTTTTTAATAAATCTGCATATTTCATTACCTGCCTGTAGTTCAGAGCATCCAAATATACAGAATTTTCTACAAAAACAACAGATTTACATGGCATGTTGATTCCCAAAGCCAAGGTTCCCGTGGCTGTCACCACCTAAAAAATGTAAACCAATAGTCAAAATGAGCTACTCAGTTTAGAAATAGTTTGAAGGAAGAACAAGAATAAATGATGCTTTAAAAACATTGGCATTGTCTGGAAGTTTGGGACCTGCTATTTATTTAGTTACAAGGAAAAGAAGCATACTAAGTCCAAATTCAGATATAACATGTTAAAAATACATGTTAAAAATATAACGTTAAAATACATGTTAAAAATGACATGTTAAAAAATCATTGCAACACCAAGTTCCATTCCAATACGAAGTGGTAAACAGCACTGTTGTAGTAATCTGTGTCTCAATTGAAATGTGACTCCAGCTGCATGAAAAGCTACATGGACATTTAAAAAAAACACTTTTAAATGTTACCTGAACAGTACAGTACAGCTAGAGGAAGGACCAGTCATGACAGTCAATTTCCCTTTCCTTGAATATCACTCTCTCACTACTCACTGCTTCTCTTCTAACTAACAATTTACTCTAATACAGCCTTTCTCAACCTTTTCATCTTGGAAGAAGCCTTGAAATAATATTTAGGTTGCAGAACATTCCAGCATAAAAATACTGTATCTACTCACCCAACTCAAAATGCTTATTTATTACAATCACAATCTCTAACAGAATCCACAATGGCTGAGAAACCCTGTTCAAATATGTAGCTATAGTATCTAATTTGAAAACAGAAGGGGTTGGCTCTCACCACCACAAAAATCCTAACCTATTCACCTGATTTTAATAACCATTAAATTGTTAAAAGAAATCATAACTAGAATTCACACAGAGACTGGAATTCACACACAAGTTTATTTAGGCGAAAGAAAAGAGAAAAATAAAGAAAAATAAAATTAGTATACCTGAACAAATCCTTTCCTGAAAAGCATCTCCACCAGCTGCTTCCCTTTCCTTTCCACAGAAGTATGGTGATATCCAATGCCCTTTAGGGCCAGTGTTTTCAGTACTCTGTGCCTTCTCAGGAATCTTGCCTCATAAAACACTTTGTCTAAAAACTACAAGAAACATAACTTTTAAAATATGTTCGCATTGATAAGACAATTTTAACTCACTATAAAATCTCTGTTCTTGGAAACTCTGGGGCAGAACACTCTGAAAACTTCGTAGAAAGATGAAAGAGAGAAGGAAAATTGAGAGTGCAAATTTTGCTAAGTTGGGTGTATTATGATGCCTGCAATTTAAGAGATAAAAGCCAACTCCTGTTTTATTAACATCTCCTCTCAGCAGCCTTGTTCAAAATAGGAAAAAGAAGTACTGGTGTTATTTCCTTATTGATATTATTTCCTTAACCAGTGACCTTGCCTGCTCTCCAGTAAAAGGCTCTTCTTCAAATCTAAATTGCCCCAGGACCTCAGAGAACAGAAAATTATTTTAGCCAGAGTGTGAACAAAATGGAACTATGGTAAACAAAATTTGCAAGCAACTTCTTAAAGTTTCTCGCTCCAAAACACATAGAGAGAGACACACAATTTTAGCAGAGATATTCAATACACATAAAGTCTTTCCTTGGCTTTACATTCCTAAATTGAGGGAGTTTAAAACATGTGTTATTAATATTAAATTAGACACAGCCTGAATGTATACATACTAACTTGGAAATATGTCCTAGTGAGTTAAATGAGAGCAATGTCCAATCTCGATAAAATAGTGAAGAGTAGAGACATCACAATGGCAATGAAGATCCTGATAGTTAAAGCAATGGTATTCCCCATAATCATCTACAGATGTGAGAGCTGGACCATAGGGAAGGCTGAGTGAAGGAAGATAGATGCTTTTGAATTGTGGTGCTGGAGGAAAGTTCTGAGAGTGCCTTGGACTGCGAGAAGATTCAACCAGTCCATTTTTCAGGAAATAAAGCCTGACTGCTCATTGGAGGGAAGGATAGTAGAGGCAAAGATGAAGAACTTTGGCCACATCATGAGAAGAAAGGAAAGCTTAGAGAAGAAGATTATGCTGGGGAAAATGGAAGGAAAAAGGAAGAAGGCCCGACCAAGGGCAGGATGGATGGATGGGATCCTTAAAGTGACTGGATTGACCTAACCTCATTAGATGCACTTTAAACTAGGTCCACCGGGGGAAGGGGGCAACAGCCCTGCAAACAGTACCCAAACAATTACTGCCCGGTCAGCCTCATGTCAAGACCAGGCAAGATTCTGGAAAAGATTGTTAAGGAAGTGGTCTGCAAACACTTAGAAACAAATGCGGTCATCGCTAATAGTCAACATGGATTTATCAAAAACAAGTCATGCCAGACTAATCTGATCTCTTTTTTCGATAGAGTTACAAGCTGGATATATGCAGGGAATGCCGTGGATGTAGCATACCTGCTCACCAATGCTTCCTCTTCATCCTGGAAAGAAGTGACAAGTGGAGTGCCGCAGGGTTCCGTCCTGGGCCCGGTCCTGTTCAACATCTTTATTAATGACTTAGATGAAGGGTTAGAAGGCAGGATCATCAAGTTTGCAGACGACACCAAATTGGGAGGGATAGCCAATACTCCAGAGGACAGGAGCAGGATTCAAAACAATCTTGACAGATTAAAGAGATGGGCCAAAACTAACAAAATGAAGTTCAACAGTGACAAATGCAAGATAGTCCACTCAGGCAGAAAAAAACGAAATGCAAAGATACAGAATGGGGGATGCCTGGCTCAAGAGCAGTACGTGTGAAAAAGATCTTGGAATCCTCGTGGACAACAAGTTAAACATGAGCCAACAATGTGATGTGGCGGCAAAAAAGAAGCCAATGGAATTTTGGCCTGCATCAATAGGAGCATAGTGTCTAGATCTAGGGAAGTAATGCTACCCCTTTATTCCGCCTTGGTTAGACCACACCTGGAATATTGTGTCCAGTTCTGGGCACAATTGAAGAGAGATATTGAAGAGAGGTATTGACAAGTTGGAATGTGTCCAGAGGAGGGCAACTAAAATGATCAAGGGTCTGGAGAACAAGCTCTATGAGGAGTGGCTTACAGAGCTGGGCATGTTTACCCTGAAGAAGAGAAGGCTGAGAAGAGACATGATGGTCATGTATAAATATGTGAGAGGAAGTCACAGGGAGGAGGGAGCAAGCTTGTTTTCTGCTTCCCTGGAGACTAGGACACGGAACAATGGCTTCAAACTACAAGAAAGAAGATTCCATCCGAACATTAGGAAGAACTTCCTGACTGTGAGAGCCGTTCAGCAGTGGAACCCTCTGCCCCGGAGTGTAGTGGAGGCTCCTTCTTTGGAAGCTTTTAAACAGAGGCTGGGTGGCCATCTGTCAGGGATGCTTTGAATGCAATATTCCTGCTTCTTGGCAGGGGGTTGGACTGGATGGCCCATGAGGTCTCTTCTAACTCTATGATTCTGTGATTCTATGATTCTATGAAGGAGCTGGGGGTGGTGACGGCCCACAGGGAACTCTGGCGTGGGCTGGTCCATAATGTCACAAAGAGTCGGAAACGGCTGAACGAATGAACAACAACAACAAACTCATGTCTAGTTAATATTTCCATACCAATATGGATAGGGAAGTGCATTGTGCATCCAATCCCAGCTCATAAGGATTAAATTTAACATACATGAACTTGGGAATATGCCTTATTTAGCTACATAAATGGAAAGAGGCTTTAAAATGTAATAGATTTTTCAACAATATCTTTTGACAGTATTAATTAATTTCATGCATGGCAATTGAATAATTCACAAACTTAAAAACACAGTAAACCTAGCACAAACTCTTCAGTGAAGAACATGGAAACATGTTATTTGCCAGCTACCATTTAAGTACTGGAAAAAGCTCACCTCAGTATCAACAGCTTGCGGATTTGCATATGTGCACTCAGGAGGAACTTTTAAAATTTTCTGCACATACTTTCTTATGTCATCAAACTCAGCTTTCATAACAAAAAGTTTTTCAACTTCACTGATAGATTTCGTATGGCTGCAGAGAAATATCAACTGATTTCCAAAGGTTTCAAAATCTTTTTTATTCTTTTTTTGCATACTAAACACACAACTTTTTAAAATTTATTCAGCATTTCATTTACAACTTACCCTTATTCCAATACAGGACCTCCCAAAATGACAATAGTTGGAAAGAAAATTCAGCTGATTTTTGTATTACCAAAGTAAAATAACCCAAAGTAATTAAACAAGGAATTTTGTTTTAAGAGGACAGGGTCAGAACAATGTAAAACATATTTAAAAGGATAAAAGATTTCTAAAGTCTTATAACTTTCAAACAAAAAAAACCCTGCCTACATAAAAAGGTATTTGTTTCCTGATGAAAATGGAGTGGAGAGGAGTCCAAATAAACTTTCAATAGTCGGGGAGCAACCATTGATTCAATTATTTTCCATCTCCTCACCAAATGTACTAGAATGGTGGTGGGACCGAGTTTAATTTGGTCCCACCAACTTTTCACTGTAGTGACATGATCTTTCAGTGTGGACCCAAGCTTTGTGGGCTTTCAATGTCATAAATAGGACTTTGATTTCTGTCCACAAACAAACCAATAGTGGTGAAACGATTTCAACAAGGGATTCCTGTAACCATTCCTAGTCAGCAGCTTGGCCATAGCATTTCAGACCTGCTAAAATTTCTGAACTTTTTTTTCAAATGTAGCGCGATGTAGAGTGCATTATACGGTAGAGTCTTGCTTATCCAACATAAACGGGTCGGCAGAACATTAGATAAGCAAAAATGTTGGATAATAAGGAGGAATTAAGAAAAAAAATATGATTTTACATTATGATTTTACAAATTAAGCACCAAAAGTTCATGTTTTACAACAAATCAACAGAAAAAGCAGTTCAATACACGGTAATGTTATGCATTTACGAATTTAGCACCAAAACATTGCAATGTATTAAACAGCTGTGGATCTGAAAGGGAGGCAAACTGCATTGGATAATACAGAACGTTGGATGAGCGAAGGTTGGATAAGTGAGACTCTACTGTAGTAATCCAAACAAGATGTAACCATAATATGATATTCCTTGTGTTCTGTTTTGCAGTTTGTATTCAAAATGTTTTATTTCATCATAATTATATACAAAGGGATATTAATGTATGAGAGAAAATCCTAAAACTCTGTTTATGTATCACAATTAAGGTACAAAAGACCATAAACATCTAAATCGCTTATGCCTACACCTTCAGAAATAATGGTGGATGGATATGCATGTGTATGTGTAAGCATTTATAAAAGAGACTGAAAATTCTTTTAAGACATGTACCAAACATAATTCAGCTCAATTGAGCACGGATTCGTTCATACTACATAATTATGGGAATATGATTTCACTTCAGCTGCTATGGCAACTGCACCCTTTGCAGTTTAGCAAGGGTGATATTAGATACTCAGCCACAGAGTTTGCGCACTCACCAAACAAAACATCCAAGGATTCATAGGATACAGCCATAGCTGTCAAAGTAGAATATAGCACTATAATTTGTTGAAAGAGTCCCCAAAATCACAAGGCAATTATGCTGTACCACTCTTACATAAAAGTTAGAAATAATTTGCATTAAATAAATAAATACATGAACAACAGGGACAAGATTCCAGATTTAACTAGCATCTCCTGGCCCAAGCTTCCCAATCCTGGCAGCAGAATTTTGAGCAGTAAGGATCTGTTCGCCTTAAAGTGACAGGGACACATTCTCCTATTAATTGGGGCACAGCAATCTGATATTTTCGACATCTCTGACCAGCAATCTTCAATGTAAAAAAGCAGAAGGAGGATCCAAGTCACACCAGAGATAGCTAATGAGGGACGATGGAAGCATCAATTTGCTCTGTCTAAGTTAAAGAGATCTCATCACTTGGAACAGTTTATTCCCAGTAAGTTAGGAAAGGAGGTCTTTTACAATCCCTCCATTTTCCCTATACAGTGATACCTTGACAACCCAATTTAATTTGTTCTGTATGAGACTGACCTTGAAGAGGTTTCTTTCTAAATTGAATAGTAAAAGGCTGCATAAATCAATCTGCATAGTATACAATAATTATTTCAGGCACTTACTTAGATGGCAATTTCTCTAGAGCTTTGTGAAACTTTTTTGTTTTTTTAAATATTTTCTTTAGATTCTTTGAATTTGAGCTCTGCTTATCTACATGATTGTCTTCTTTGGAACTGCATTGTCCTTCAGCACATTGTTCATTTCTCCTGAATGTAAAAATTGTCAGTTAGTGGTATCATGAAACATGACCCAATAAAGAAAACAGAGGGCCCTTCCATACTACCCCTTCATCCCAAGATCTGATCCCAGGTTATCTGTTTATCTCTTGTTATCTGGCAGTGAGGACTCACATATCCCAGTTTAAAGCAGATAATCTGGGATCGGATCTTCAGATAAAGGATAGCGTGGAAGGGCCCAAAATAGTATGAAATTGTGAGAATATAGAAACAGAAGATAATAATGTAGGAACTGGCACGAGTACAATTCAGCTTGCACTGAAGATGCATGCCATGCTTAAGGAGGTGGAGAGAGCAACAGTAGGGACCTTGTCAAACAGGGCAATTTTAGCATCCTAAGATGCTTCTGCCCTGTCTTGGTGACAGAGTCCCATGCCAGATATTACACGACATTGTGTGACTTCCAACAGAGGCCCCACCCCCAAACAATATTGGGTTGGAAGTATCCTTGGTAACTTCTCTCCTAACATGGGAGTGCTGTGCTGGCTCCAATTGATCTGTTTCAACTGAGAAATGAAGAGATATAACAGATAGAACAAAAACACAGGTCACACAGGAAGAAGAGGAGGAACTGGTCTCACACATATCCAGAATATCACTTACCCAGCAGATACAGTTTGTCTTATTCTTCCTATGTACCATGTTTTCCTACTACCCCAGTACCTCCCTTCCTATGCCCAGGCAAAACAGACATTCATGAAACAGAAGGAGAAGCCAGATCTGCGGAGTAAGTGAAATGGTGCACAGAGCTATCTCCTTCTGTTCCTGAGTGTTGTCTCCTCTTGTTTTGCCCTGGTAGAGGAAAGCCAGGTGCAGGTTTAAACGAATAAGCAGAAAATCTACTGCTCAAACAGCTCCTCTTTCCTCTCCTGAAGACAGTGATGTTGTGCAAATGTTCACATGGGAGTCTCAACTTCAGGAGGTGGGGGCAGCATTTCAAACATATGAATAATCAAAACCATAAGTGTAAAAAGTACAAACATGGAAAGATGATTGTTTCCTACTTCTCTCTCTCCCTGAAAAGTTTTCCTGCTTTCCTGCATGTATAGTCTGTATCTTTCACAGCAAAGAGTGCTCCTCCAAAGTCTTGTGGTATTTCAGTTAACTTAATCCACTTAACACAGCTGCAAACTCACTCTCATTGTTCCTTCTCTTTGCTTACCTTGTTTGTCTTTTAAAGGGATTTGAGGAGCAAGAAGACATAAAAACTTGAAGCTAAATTGAAAACTACAAGTTCTCATTATACCATTTATAATAAAGGGCCATCTACACAGCCACATAGCATGGCATAGCAATCACAGTAGCATGTGCTGTCGAAATGATGTCCCAGGCTAATGCATTTTTAAACCTGGAATAAATCTATTCATCTTTTGCAAATAAGGGGCTTGTGGGGACTGCCACCTGGGGTCACCATCCATAATTCCAGGAAGTGTTCCCACAGCCGTCCTGCACTCCCCTGGTTTAGGCAGCCTGGGGAGGTGGGATGGAAGTGCCCCCTCCTCTCCCTGCCTCTTGTTTTTGCTGTCAAATGTCATGAAAAAGCTTGCTTCCCAAGGCACAAAGTTTGCAATCAGAAATGAAGCTACAAAACTTTTGAGAAGGAATTCTTCCCTCCCCTCTCCAAAGCTTTCTGGCATCATTTCTCAGTACCATGGAGCTAAGGTGTATTGACAAGGATGCCATTATCTTCTATTTCAGGAGTGAAACAGGGAGCAGGGAAGAAAGGTGTCACTGCCCTTGCCCACCCATGTCAATCTCATGTTGGCCAAAGTGGTTGTATGACCACTCCCAGCCAAAAAGGCAGGTTTTCTTCCGAAGTGTGTCCTCAAATTGCTTTTTAAATGTCAGTTTGTGTTACATTTTGGCCTGTATAGAAGGACCTAACTTTGAAAATCCAGCCAAACATACCAAACTAAAAAGATTACTAGTTTAAAATAACTGGCCCTTTTGTTTTATACAAATGAATGTACTCTTGTCAATTTAGATTCATTGCAATTGAGTACTTGACTTGAAATGCCTAATATATTTATTTATTTATTTACTTACTGCACTTGTAGACCGCCGTTCTCAGCCCTAGGGCGACTCACGGCGGTGTACAACATATAAAAACAATTTACAATAAAGGCAATATCACAAACAACAATAACAACATCACTATCAATAATACAATTACACTAAATCATTCGCGACGTCTCATCATAGAATCACAATCCAATCTCGTTATCCATGTTCCGTTCCAATCATCATTGCCAATTGTTGTAGCACTTAGTCAAACGCCTTCTCAAACAACCACGTCTTTAGTCTCTTGCGGAATGTCATAAGGGAGGGCGCCTGTCTGATGTCTACAGGGAGGGTGTTCCACAGCCGGGGGCCACCACCGAGAAGGCCCTATCCCTCGTCCCCGCCAGGCGTGCCTGTGAGGCAGGCGGGATCGAGAGAAGGGCCTCCCCAGACGATCTCAAAGTCCTCGTGGGCTCATAGGCCGAGATGCGGTCAGACAGGTATTTTGGGCCGGAACCGTTTAGGGCTTTGTAGGCCAACACCAGCACCTTGAATTGGGCCCGGTAGCAGATCGGCAGCCAGTGGAGCTGGAACAACAAGGGCGTTGTATGCTCCCTGCGTCCTGCTCCTGTTAGTAACATGGCTGCCGCGCGCTGGACTAGCTGAAGCTTCCGGGCCGTCTTCAAGGGCAGCCCCACGTCTTCAAGGGCAGCCCCTGTTGCTCCTGACTACTTATTATTTATTTATTTATAATTTTATGTGATAAAAATAAATTAAAGAAATAAATGCTTACTGTTTGTTCTGTCACATTTTTTACATTTTTAAAGATTTTCTTCTTAACTGTTGATTTTCAGAAACATGTATTTACCTTTGCTTCTTCTTTAAGAAACTGTAGACTTTTTCAGCCAAATATTCCACTTTTTTGATGTTAAATCTAAAGTGGGGGATACAAAAACCATTACATACTTCTGATTAGATTCCTTATAGCAGGGGTTCTCAAACTAAGGCCCACGGGATGGATGCAACCCTCCAAGGTCATTTACTCAGCCCCTGGTCTAAACTTTAGACTTAGGATCACCCTAAATCTGAAACAACTTCAAGTCACATAACAACAACAATCTGAATTAAGCTTATAGTTTGCATTAAGTCAAAATTTGGAAACCCCTATGTAGACTATGAATCTCAGGATTCCATAAGTTATTGCCATGGCAGTTAAGTCAGTCCTGTAGCTGGGGGAGGGGCATTAAGGGTTCAATCCCCCTCCCAAAATGTTTCAGGTTAAAAAAACCTGGTTTACTCATGAATTGGTTAACCAGTTAAAATTCACAGGGGGGGGGGTTAACCTGTAACATTTCAGGGGGGTTGATGCTTAACCCATACCGCCACTCCTGACTCCAGGCCTGTCTAAAGTATAATAGTAGAGCTTTGTTGGGCTCTGCTGCAAGAGGGACCCTGGGGCCTGAGTGTTGCCATCCAGAATTGCTGCCTGCTCAGCCCTGGGCTTACCCATGAGGAGACCTGCAGCCACACCCTCATTCCAGCCAGCTGACCCAGCAGCCTCTAAGGAGAGAACATAAAAGGTCTGACCTAGAGGCCTGGAAGAGCTTTCTTGGGCTCTGCTGCAAGAGGGACCCTGGGGCCCGAGTGTTGCCATCCAGGTTTGCTGCCTGCTCAGCCTTGGGCTTACCCACGTGGAGACCTGCAGCCACACCCTCATTCTGGCTAGCTGACCCAGCAGCCTCCAAGGAGAGAACATAAAATGTCTGACCTAGAGGCCTGGAAGAGCTTTGTTGGACTCTACTGAAAGAGGGACCCTGGGGCCTGAATGTTGCCATCCAGCTTCACTGCCTGTTCAGCGAGACCTACAGTCACACCCTCATTCCAGCCAGCTGACCCAGCACGGAGAGAACATGGCCCCCACAACCTCGCCGCGCTGCTACTTTAATGGCTGCGCCACCCATTGCCCGGCTGCTGGAACACCTGCAAGGGGGGGGCTCCATGGCCACGCTGCCCATCATTTGGACATTGGAACACCTGTGCGGGTGCTTGTTTTCAGGGTTCCCCTGCCTCTCCTGTTGCTCCTGACTACTTATTATTTATTTATTTATTTCACAGTTTTCTATACCGAGCTTCTCAACCTCATTGAGGGACTCAGCCCGGTTTCCAGCCATAAAAAACATATACACTTTTTAAAATATCATATATCACAATTACAAAAACAACTTTAAAAACACTATATATAAAACTACAGTGGTCAGTCGTCCTATTAAGATGAATCTACATCAACTTCCATCCAGGGTCCTATGGTGTTTTCTCATTCATCGAAGGCCCGACTCCACAGCCACATCTTCACCCGTTTCCTAAATGTTAGGATGGATGGGGTGGTTCTGGCCTCCAGAGGGAGAGAGTTCCAGAGTCGCGGGGCCACCACCGAGAAGGCCCTGTCCCTCGTCCCCACCAGGCGCGTTTGCGAGGCCTTATTCCATCAGCCCACTTTGGTTGGGATTGAATGTTTACTTTTAAACTTTTTTTGTATTTATATTTGAATTATTGTATGTTTCCTTTTAAGCTTTCTATTGTATTTGTATTTGAATTACTTCTAAGCTTTTTATTGTGTTTATATTCGAATTATTATGTCATGTTATTATTGTATGTTTGAATTAATATGTTAATTGTTTAAACTGATATGTTATGTTTATTATTATATGTGTAATATGGCATTGTTTGCCATGGATTGTAAGCCACCCTGAGTCCCCCACTGGGGTGAGAAGGGCGGGGTATAAATGTAGTATAATAATAATAATAATAATAATAATAATAATAATATAGCTGTTCAATGTAAAAGACCAGTTCTCACCTTATCAACCAATGGACACTGAGAAAGTATTTTCTAACAGGAAGGGAAGGGCAAAAGGATGGTATCTGGGAGATGAAAGACTCCAAGTGAGCCTAGGAAAACATCCTAAGGGAGTACTATGAGATTTTTAGTTCATCTAGGTTAGTTTCATCCATTTTTGATCATTTTTATGCAATTTTAATTTTAATTCATTAATTTTAAAGGATTCATCAAGTAACATTTGTTGTCTCACTAAAAATGTCAGTTCTCGAGTGTTGATTTAAGTGAAAGGAAACATTTTGGATTTCTTTGGATGTCCCACCCACCCAATTTGCCCATATCTATTATCTTTGGGGTAATTGGGTTGCTTCACCTGCATAAGTGAAGTTAGGATATCAGACTTGTAAATGCTAGATAACTGCTACTCACTATTAACAACACCACTTGATGTCACTAGTTTGTTTCCCTTACTTACAGGAAAAACAGTGCAGGCAATTTATTCATCTGATGTAGTTTTTCAACAAATTGAGGGAAGTATGTTGTCATCTCTCTTTCAGAAGAAGAGGTAGGCTTAGGCTTGAGGAATTCCAGTACTTCTTTTGCCTAGACAAAATATTTATTTATTTATTTATTTATTTATTTATTGAAAGCATTTATATTCTGGCCTTCTCACCACAAAGGGAACTCAGGACAGAACACAATATATATACAGCAAAAATTCAATGCTGGAACATAAACTATAAATATCCATAAACACTAAAATTAATTATCTCCACTAAAAAAATCAATTGTTTAAAACCATCTCAAATCAGCTATACTGAATCCAGTCAGCAAAGTAAAGATTCCTATTGTTGCCTTATTGCACTGTCCCAAAGGCTTGGTCCCACACCCAAGTTTTTACCAACTTTCTGAAGGACAAGAGGGAAAGGGCTGATCTAATCTTGCCAGGGAGGTACTTCTAGAGCTGAGGAGTGATCACTGAGAAGCCCCCCTACTTTTTTGTCCCCTCCAATCATGCCTGTGACGGTGGTGGGACAGAGAGCAAGGCCTCCCTAGAAGATCTTAATCTCTGTGGTGGTTCATAGAGGGAGATGCGTTTGAAGAGGGAAATTGGGCTGGGGCCATTTAGGGCTCGGTAGCAAACTAGCAACCAGTAGAGCTGCCACAACATGGAAGTTTTGTGCTCCCTATATGCCGCCCCAGTTATTAACCTGGCTGCCTCTCATTGGACTATTTGAAGCTTCTGAATAGTCTTCTAAAGCAATCCTATGTACAGCGTGTTGCAGTAGTCTATCCTAGATGTAATGAGAGCGTGGGTCACTGTGGCCAAGTCTGATTTCCTAAAGTACGGGCGCAACTGGCGCATAAGTTTTAATTGTGTGAAAGCCCCCCTTAGCAACCGCCAAAACCTGAGGTTCCAGGCTCAGCAATGAGTCCAGGAGGGCTCCCAAGTAATGGTTTAGGAGTGAATGACACTTAGGGGATAATCAATAATAATGCTGAATAAGGATGCTGGAAACCTAAATCCAAATACCTATCCCAATAAGAGTAGATCCACTGAAAAAGTGGGAAACAACAATTGATTCAGTGTTGGGCCTAGCAATTAGATTTCAGCTACTTTCCCTCTACATGCCATGTAGAGTTTCCATGAAAATTCCATCCTTCATCGTAACAGTTAATTGGGGGGGGGGATGCAATAGTATTTCAAGTACCTGCAGTTTTTAAAAAACCTTTAAAGTATCAGCTGCTCATTTCCAAAAAGAGCCTCCATCTATATAAATAAATTACTTTAGGTACCCAGCAATGCTTGGATTGGATATCTTGCAAGAATAAACATTATAAGTAGTCACTTACAAGGAGTACATGGCCATAAATATTTGGGAGAGAGGAAAAAAGGAGAGGGCTCTGATAGCCCCACCTGCTCTCTGAGTTCCAAAACATCTTTGGCAGGGCTCCAATCATGAAAATAAAATTAGATGTTGTACAGGAGTTGATTATAAATTGTATGATTTTAACTGTATTTGTGTTTAGATTGGCTGCAGTAATGCTGGAGCGGCCTAAGTCAGAGGAGTCCTCCATGTGCGTTGCCATGGAGACCGATGCAGGAGAGAGGGAAGTGGGAGGAGCTTAGAGGGGAGAGTTTGAAAAAACGACAGTTAAAAATTAGTTAGGGTTTCTATTATTCTTTTTTTTTTTTTTTTTTTTTTTTTTTTTTTTTTTTTTTTTTTTTTTTTTTTTTTTTTTTTTTTGTTTTTTTTTTTTTTTTTTTTTTTTTTTTTTTTTTTTTTTTTTTTTTTTTTTTTTTTTTTAGAGGGGAGAGTTTGAAAAAATGACAGTTAAAAATCAGTTAGGGTTTAGGTTTAGAGGAGTGAGCAGTCCGGGTTTAGGTTCAGGGGAGTCAGGAGTTAGGTTCAGAGGAGTGAGGAGTTAGGAGTTGGGAGAGAAGGAAAGGAAAGGTGGCGGAGTGACTTGTGAAGCAAAGCTTTGAGGCTTTGAAAAGCTGGGTTTGGCTATTGGAAGTTTCTCAGACTAGTGCAGCTGAATGGTGAAACAGAGCTGGTATTCTTTTAGTCTAAGGAGAGGCTAAAGAATAGTTTACTTAGTATTTGATCTAGGGGGGATCAAACAAGGGAAACATCCCTGTATTGAAACTTTGTCTGAAACAAGTGCTCTACGTCAGAAAGATACTGTGTTACTTGAAAGAATGAACTGTTAAAGTTACAAGTATTATTCCAAGTGCAACAAGGAAAAGTTACGTCTTGCAACCACACGCTGTGTACTTAATAAAATTGTTAACTTTTATTTGAAGATTGCCTCAGCTCCATCTATTCTGGGGTGCTGCAATAGCGACATAGCCCACCAGGTAGAAGCAAAAGGGATGGAGCTAACTGCCACTGGTGGAGAGAGCAGAGTTTGAAAAGTCAGTCTTGAACCAGCCAGCTAAACGGAAAGACTCGTCCTAGCTATGTGTCTCATTATTAAAGAGAAGATTTTCCACAAAAGAGAAGGCTGAAGATCTTGTGGAACTGAAAACTCAGGTGTTCATTGTAACCAGTTTGATCTTCAGCCTTGTGTTTTAAGAGTAGAAATATTTAACTTTGAGGTATAATCTAGACGGACTGCTAGAGGAAAGAGATTACCAAAAGTTTTATTGTAATTTCAGTGTCAAGTCTGAAGCAATTTGTATTCAAGGTCAGTCAGAAAGACTGAGGTGGAAATTGCTCGTCAAGGAGTAAATATTCAGTTGAATTATAAATAAAGTGAAGAAACTATAAGGTTAAAGTGACTCTGTCGAGGGACTGAGAGAAGAGAAACTAAGTTTTAAAAGAAAGGAAACCGCAAATATTAAGTTGACAGAAGATAAGCCATTATTAAAAGTTTAATAGTAACAGTTACATGTTTTCATTAGAACAAAGGGTTAACTATAGCAACAATAAGAAGATATTGTGTAACCGTCCAGCTTGTGTGAACCTGAGAAATCTTTAAATAAATGTTTTTCTGTCCAGTTCAAATATTGAGAATTTGTGTCTCATTATTAAAGAGAAGATTCTCCACAAAAGAGAAGGCTGAAGATCTTGTGGAACTGAAGACAGTTTTGTGGCATTGGGTTACACATAGTAAAGTGGCACAAGCAGGTGTTTTAAAAGTCATCTCTCTCTCATACAATTCTCAGCCAAGCCTCTAACCATGTTTACAATTAGTGGCAGCGGTGGGATAGAAAAATAAGATGCAACAGTAGTGATGGCTCTACTTGTTTACACCTAGCAATGGGTATTTCTAATAAATAACATTAAAAATGCATACCCAGTAGTAGCATAACTCCAAAATCAGAACTGAAAAAAAGATCAACAACATAAAATGAATGATAAGAGAAACTTTAAAGTAAGACCCAATGATGAAAGTGAGAACATATAGCCAGGAGAATACCAAAACAAGTGAGTAACTCAACTACCTCTAAAAGCCAAATGAAATAAAAAGTCCCTCATAAGTAAAAAGTAAATACCTCCTTTTTGTTACCAAGTTTAATCCACATTTCAAGTTCTTCTTTCACCTTTGTTTCATAACATCTTGCATCTTTCTTTGTGATTACAATTTGGTTGTTAAAAAATACCTCAGGATCCAGTTCCTTGGCATGGAAAGTTTAGAAAAAAATATTACATGTTTGTGTATCTTAAATATCTCCAGATACTTATTCGTTGAAAGTAATTGTTCTAAAATAATTGCTCCTAAAATACTTATGTATGCAAACAATATGTACTTACATTGGCCTTCGGCCAATCCCTCCTAGCTTTTGCCATAGCATCATACAATATCATAGTTTCACGAGGAGACAGAGACATATCCCATGGAAAACCATATCTCTCAAGCTGTAATGTCAAACAAAGAATATCTATCATTTTAAATTATGACAGATATGTTACATTCACATACACACAGAGAGAAAGCTCAGATCAATATTAACTGAAACTTGTTTGCATTCAAAAGATAATTTCATCTGGAATTCCCAGTTCACTTTTCATGAGACCTTCATGAGAGAATCTCCTCAGGAGCAACTTTTCACAAATTATAATTTTTCAACATGATTAACAATTAGTTTTTTCATTTCTGTCTAACCTGATAATAAACTTACATGTCCCACAGTCAGTGTAGCACAGGGATGATAGTGATGGATTGTGAAGTCACCATGATTAAAGGAGCATATGTGTTTTTCTAAATCATTATATCTCTCTCCATACATCACTGAAAAAAAAAAATATGAAATACGTTATTTTGAAATGATAGGCTCATAAATTCTGTTTCCTTCAAAATTAATTGCTTTACCATAATTTACAGTAAGCCCACATATTACATAGGGGGTCCATTTCTAAGCCCTTCTAATAGAATGATGTTCATGTATAATATCAAACCCTGATTATCTTTTTTTCTTTTTTCTTTTGTAAATAAAATGTTATTGTGAAAAAGGTGGTATACAGAATGTAATAGAAAGAGATAAATGAATCAAGTACACATAATAGAAATACATCTGTCCACTAGATCCCCCCCCCCCATGAACTACCACCCATGACACCGCAGCACTCAATATGAAACTAATATTTCATTAAAACCTACCCTTATCTTTATATTAATAACTTCTCCTTGTGGCTATTTTGAAGTCTACCTTTGTCTTCCTTTTCTAAATATTCAAATGCAAGCCTCCATATTCTAACAAAGTCTTCATTATTTCCTCCCTAATGCCATTATACAGCTTGGCCATTTGAATATAGTCTAAAAATTTTCCTCTTCAGTCCTTGTATAAATAACTGTTTTTCCCCCTTCTATTATTTTGCTATTATTAAATTTGCAGCAACAAAACTATATTGATAAATCTCTATGTCTTATAGGATAAATCTCTATGTCTTATTAGGTTTATTTCACCAAATAAACCTAAAAGGCACATTTCTGATTTTTTAACCTTTTTAGTAATTATTGTGATTGTTTCTTTGATTACCTTTTTCCAGAAAGTTTGTACCAGCCTACAAGTTCACCAAACATGGAAAAAGGTACCTTTCTGTATTTTACATCTCCAACATCCTCCCATCCCCCCACCCCACCCCCGCATGGGATTTATCTATTTTGCTATCACCTCAGGAGTTATGTAACTTCTATATAACATTTTGTACATATTTTCTCTGATGGACCCAACTATCAAAAATTTAAAACCTCTTTTTCAGAAATATTCCCATTTTTCCAAATAAATATTTTCCCTAAGTCTTTGGCCCATGAAATCATCAGTTTTTTATTGAGTTATCTTCTAAGTTGTAACCTAAAATGTATTTGTATAATCTGAAAATTAGTCTTTTATCCCTCTTCTCCAAAATATTCTTCAATTCTGATTTTCTTTGGGGAAATCCTACCTTATTATATTTCATAAATCTATCATGTAGTTGGAAGTAATGAAACCAGTAATTTATCCCTAATTCTTCTATGTCAGCAATCAGGAAGGATTCCCAGCACTGCATTATGTCCATTACTAAACATCACAACTTCTATACCACCACAGTCTCTTCACCAATGTAATCTCTTTGCTAGTGCAACTAATAGGCTGGTAGTACACAACTGATCAAAACTAAGCACAAGCAGCACAAGCTAACATAAGGGCATAAGCTAGTGCAAAGAGGTCTTTGTGTATAATGGAGAACATGCAACTTGAACTAATGTAAAACATGAGTTTACTGTATTCAGAAGAAAAAATAAATTTACTCAAGACACTGGATGATAAACATGAAAAAGTATCTGCTGTTACAAGTCGATATTACATACATACCTAATTTAATCTTGTATGACATATTTTGCACTCTGGGGCCTTTCTTTTCTTTGACTCCTTTTGTAACAGGTGCATAAGAACCAGGATTTTGTGGTAGCACAGTTTCAGCATCCTGCCAGTATATTTTTACTGATTGCAGCCACCTTAAAAAAACAGAAAAGAATTAATTTCTAGTATATATATACTTTATTTTTTCAAAATAAGCCTTTTGACACTGCTATCCACTATCCTTCAGAAAAAAAAATTGTCCTGATCTTATAATTTTCCCCATATAGGAGATGACAATGACAAGCCACCTCTGAGCATTCGTTGCCTACATAAGCCTCATGAAATCCAAGAGGTTTCGGTAAGTTTACTGGTGATGTCAAAGTGTATACTTTGCTTTGCGACTTACTTGTATAAATTTAGTTCATGGTAATTTATATAGTATAGTGGCTAAGATAGTGAGTTGGGATCCTGATACTGTAAAGTAAACATGGACAATGAGGCATAGGCCCAGGGCTTTGCAGTGAGGGGAGAGAGCAGAAGACTTTACAGTTAGCCACAAAAAAAGCAGTCATGGAAAGTACTACACTAGCAGCTTGATTCTCCTGTACCTTCTTACACTTAATTATTTTGTGACAGTAGAAGTGAGCTGAACCAATCAGTTGACTGTCTTTGGGGGCATGGACCTAATAAATCTATAGAAATGGCAAAAGGCCTGCTCTCTCACCAATCCAATGACATGATTCATTGCACTCTTCCAATAGAAGTCTCCTGGGGGACCTACAAATAACTAAAGTGGTGTTCCCAGTAGGAATCTCTAGAGCCTCCACCACAACTTATACTGTAGCAAACCTCTGTTAAACATTGTCCATAGAGGACCCATGGAGAACCTAGAAATTTCTATGGAGAGCATGTTAATCAAATTTGCAAATGTGGAGGGCTGACTATCATCTGCTAACTGATGACATTTTCACAAATGAAACTCCAGTCTCACTCTCTCCAATATCTCAGTTGCACACCACTAGTTCTGGCTCCAGCTATCAGCAGTATGTTTAAAAATGTGAACACATCATTCAAAGTCTGCACACATCTTACTCGACAAGTTGCTCGGGATTGCTTATGGTTGCAGAGAGTGCCAAAAAAGGGCATCGCATCATAACCAGAAGATGCTCCCAAACTTCTGCTCCAATTTCACCTCCAAGACAATGGACCTGGGTGGAGGGGAAGGGGAAAATAGAGAGAATGTAATATGATGTGGATATACATGTACTTTTCCTTCTTTAGCAAACTCCCCAATTTTACATAGAACACATTCTCGTCTTACATCTGTCTTTGGGCTTATTGCTATGAATATATATCAAATATTTCATTTTACTTTATTATTTATTTATTTATTATATTTGTATACCGTCCTTCTCAGCCCTTAGGCAACTCAGGACGGTTTACAGAGGCAGCAATTCAGTGCTCAACAACATCATAAAACATTTTAAAAACATTAACATATAATATAAAGTCATAATAAGATTAATAAAACATAGATCCTTTATGTCTCCTAGTTAATAGCATTGTCCAGCCTCACCATCCAGTCATTCCAATTCCTATGTCTGTTACACTGCATTTTCAAACACCTACTCAAATAGCCAAGTCTGAACCTTTTTCCGGAATGTTAAAAGGGAGGGGGCCGATCTGGGAGGGTGTTCCATAGCCAAGGGCCACCACTGAGAAGGCCCTGTCTCTCATCTCCACCAAATGTATTTGCGACAAAGGTGGAATTGAGAGCAGGGCCTCCCCAGATGATCTTAAAGTCCTGGATGGTTCATAAGGGGAGATGCGTTCGGACAGGTAAGTTGGGCCAGAATCATATTTATCCATATTTGTGTTTCCAGATGACACAGAAATGAAAAGGATTTACATGTTGATTCAAAAAGAACATGAGAACACTACATTTAGAGACAAAGCTGCAATAGGGGCCAAGTTATCTTTTCCCCTTGATGTCCAACTGGTCCCTCCTCACATTGCACTCCACCCACTTAATATACTTCAGCATGGTCCCATTGGAACAGGTATGCCTCCTCATCTGCTGAAGAGCACAGCCCCATTTTGGTTCTGAGTCATGTGAAGGTTTGAAATAACAGACTTTTAAGTAGAAAAAATAGTATGTAACAATATTGTATTAATAATAAATAAATAACAATAATACTATACCTCATCAAATATAACATATCTTATCCTTTTGGCCCACTTTTGGCGATGAGGAGATAGTAGTAAGATTTCTAAACACTGTGGCACCGTTACCAGTATCTGAAACAAAATATTGGTGGATATTTAGGAAAAATACGGCTAATAAAAATCATGAGGTGGCCAGTAGTTCCAACAGGGAGAGGTATCAATTTTCCCCAACATGACATGGAATTTAAAGAATTCTTTGACCTACCCCACAAAGAATTTTAGGCCAGAATGTTCCTTTAACTGGTTACTTGAACAGCAACAATTCTTTATTGATTAGTCAATTTTGACCATATCAAAAGATGCAAATCATACAAAACATACACACTTGCCCATACATACAGAAAAACCATACATAAATGCAAGGCATCCTGGCCTACTGGCCTGTCAACCCACTCCTAAATGATTGTGCAACTACAAGATAAAAAAAATCAAAAGATTAAAAATTGATTCATTCCTTAAAGTAGGGTTTGGGCCGGGGCGCGGGTAGAAAAAACTAGTGGTTACTTGTTAACATGGTATCCCTTTGGGAAAACTTACATTAGTGTGATTTTGACTGAGATTGTGAGATGCACAGAATAATCCTTGAGACTGTGCAAATCCATCTGCACTTCATTTGACAATCATATTTTATTTCTGAAAGTAAAGCCAGCTCATGACTTAGCTGTGTAGCTTCTACATAGTGAGACTTGGTGCTTTGTATTTTCTGCATAATTAGTGGAATAAATGGTGTTGGCAAACCTGCCTTTGATCAAGCTGGCATTTCCATGGAACACCCAAAACCACCTGCGCCCATATTATTCCTGGCAAGTATGAAATGCTATGCCACTGCCATAGATTAAAAGTATTTTTCCCCTGTCAATAATGAAAAATATTAGGAACATTATAGAATGTAATGTGACATACTGAGGATTTCAACTTCCTATAAATGTTCCAAGTTGTAAGCTACAAGAGTGTAGTCAATGGTTGCAATCCTTTATATATTAAATACCATCCATATTTTTCTTTCATCTTACCTGAGAATTCAAGGCATCATAGCGATAATCTCGTGTAAAAACACCAAATACTGTAAGACCAGCTGGCAGTACTTTATTAAATCGATTGTAAATGGTCGCACTCACTTGATTTACAAGAGCCTACACATTCAGAACAAATAACATATTAGCAAGTTAAAATGTTGGGTATTAAAAAAAGATGTACATAACCTTCTCTTTTATGAAAATATTCAAAACAGTTGAGTCAGTCAAAATTTCTCCTAAACCACAGACTATCAAATTAACTTTGAATATCTCAAAAGGAATTTTTTAATATAAATCCTTGAAAATAAAAAAACCCCAAATATTCACTATGTAATACGTACCAAAGACATCTTTAAACAATTAATGCACAAAGATGTAAATTAACACAAACTATCTTAGTTGCATTTATCTTTTTAGGAAGATGACCAGGGATGTAATTCTTCATTACTTTCTTGAACAAAGCAATGAATAATTTTTGCAATTTTCTACATGCTGCAAAAAAACTCGATGAAAATGTGACATTTTGAAAAATTGTTCACAGTTTGAGACTTTGTGCCAAATATGCACATGACATTTTTTGCTTAGAAAACAGCATTATTTGCACAATAACCCATCATTGTTTCTGTTTATTGTGCAGAAAATGCTATTTCTTTCACCAAAACAATGTGAATTTTGCACTGTATGTCTTGTACTGTGAAGGCACTCATTACTCTAAAATTTTCTTTGAAAAGGTTTCCTGACACACAAGAAGCACTGGGGGATTTTTTGTCATTTCTTGAATATTTTCTAATATTTTTACATCTGTTGTGAACCATAGCAAAACTACAGGTATACACTTTATTTGGTTCATTTTTTTAACTTCAAAGCAAATTAATATCAGAATCAGTCCTCATCTTAACTGACCATTCAATGCAGTTTGAAGATAGCTTCAAATTGGTAGCTAGACAACAAACTCTCACAAAAGCACGTGAAATGAGCATTAGTGCTTTACAGTTTGTGTAACTATCCAGGCATCAAACTAGTTCAGGGGTTTTTGATGTAATAATCTGCACAGCAAAACCACTTTCTTCAATACCAGTTTGTAACTGACTTCAGTGATCAGTATGTACCCATAGTCACATTTTGAAAACTTAATTCAAAATTTTCCTTAGTTTTTATTACGTAAAAATTCAACATTTTGTCCTTCTTGGTCTATTGCAATGCACTCTACGTGGGGCTGCCCTTGAAGACGGCCCAGAAATGTCAACTGGTCCAGCGATTGGCTGCCAGACTTCTAACTGGAGCGAATTACAGAGGGCAGTCTACCCCCGTTTAAAGAGCTCCACTGGCTGCCATTCATTTTATGGTCCCAATTCAAGGTGCAGGTTATCACCTACAAAGCCCTCAACAGTTTGGGACCCGCCTACATTCATGACTGTATTTCCTTCTATGAGCCTGCATGATTCCTCCAATCGTTTAAGGAGGCCCTCCTCTCGCTCCCACCTCTGCCGCGAGCACGACTTGTGGGGACAAGGGAGAGAGCCTTCTCTGTGTTGGGCCCCCGACTTTGGAACTCATTGCCTAGAGAGATTAGGCAAGTGCCCACCTTGGCAGCCTTCAGGAAGAGCCTAAAAACCTGGCTGTTCAGGTGTGCCTTCAAGGAATGAACAACAAATCCCCTTATCTTGACCAACTCAGTATAAAATGCCCTTTGATGCACTTTACTTCACCCTTCATTTGAAATTAAACCCCATTGGTCGCCCCGTCCAAACCTCCCACCACACACATTGCCCTATTTATCCACCTCACCCAGGGCTTTAAAATCCTATCCATTTGCACTTGGCCTTGCACACTCAGTTTAATGTCCTCATTATTTTGTTGTACCCTGTGTTTATTTTGTATTATTTTCTTTTCATATATTTTATTGTATTTCATTTTATGTATGATTTTATGATTATAGGTTGTATTGGTTTTGCTTTGTTGTAATTGTTGGGCTCGGCCCCATGTTAGCCACCCCGAGTCCCCTTGGGGAGATGGAAGCGGGGTATAAATAAATAAATAAATAAATAAATATTATTATTATTATTATTATTTTACCAAAGACATGGAATATGACACATAATTACTTCAAGAAATGTTTAAATGTTACAAATTAAAAGTTGTTTCTAACCTTTGTAGGTGCAACATACACAATCACACCTTCATTGCTATCTCTCAGGACTTTTTCCATACAGTAGTAAGAAGCATATGTTTTGCCTGAAGATGTAGGAGCAACAATTACAGCAGACTCATTATTATCCACAATGTCAAGAAGATCTCTCTAGAGATAAACAATGACATGAATACAGATCAAATCAAGAATATCACAAGTATCCCTCCATCCTTGAAAAATAAAATAGTTTCATGTTCTTCTTAGCACAGCTGCCATGAGAGTATTTGCTACAAGTGAATATATACAGAGCAGTACTTTTTTGCCACCAGCAGTGTTGTACAAAACACAGGCTAACATCTTTTTGGAAGTGACGTGATGCTGAACTAGAGGCACAATTGATACAGTGAGCATGTTCTATTAGAGTTCAGATTTCCAACAAAAGAATGTTAGCATCTGTGGTGAGAACTATTCGTGAAAAGCCTTGTAATTCCTAGAAAAAGGTTGTGTGTGTTCATCTGTCACTGGAGACAAAATCTGACTACCTCAGTTAGGTGAATCATAGTGTTCTGACCTTTGGCTATGGGTGTTCAAAACCATTGGAGGAGCCACTGCAAGGGCTGACAGTAGAACCTTGCCCAAGGGAATAGATGAATGCAAAATATCATCAGCCCTGATCTGGTTAATGGGGGTAAGTGGCAGGTTTCTTAGGTGGGAATGACTATGCTCTTCTATAGCAGTGGTTCTCAACCTGTGGGTCCCCAGATGTTTTGGCCTTCAACTCCCAGAAATCCTAATAGCTAGTAAACTGGCTGGGATTTCTGGGAGTTGTAGGCCAAAACACTTGGGGACCCACAGGTTGAAAACCACTGTTCTATATATTGTCGAAGGCTTTCATGGCCGGAATCACTGGGTTGTTGTAGGTTTTTTCGGGCTATATGGCCATGTTTTAGAGGCATTCTCTCCTGACGTTTTGCCTGCATCTATGGCAAGCATCCTCAGAGGTAGTGAGGTCTGTTGGAACTAGGAAAAGGGGTTTATATATCTGTGGAATGACCAGGGTGGGACAAAGGACTCTTGTCTGCTGGAGCTAGGTGTGAGTGTTTCAACTGACCATCTTGATTATCATTTGATTGCCTGGCAGTGCCTGGAGCAATCTTTTGTTGAGAGGTGATTAGATGTCCCTGCTTGTTTCCTTTCTGTTGTTTTGCTGTTGTAATTTTAGAGTTTTTTAATACTTGTAGCCAGATTTTGTTCATTTTCATGGTTTCCTCCTTTCTGTTGAAACTGTCCACATGCTTGTGGATTTCAATGGCTTCTCTGTGTAGTCTGACATGGTGGCTGTTAGAGCGGTCCAGCATTTCTGTGTTCTCAAATAATATGCTGTGTCCAGGTTGGTTCATCAGGTGCTCTGCTATGGGTGACTTCTCTGGTTGAAGGAGTCTGCAGTGCCTTTCATGTTCCTTGATCCGTGTTTGGGCGCTGCGTTTGGTGGTCCCTATATAGACTTGTCCAAGACATCTAATCTCTCAACAAAAGATTGCGCCAGGCACTGCCAGGCCATCAAATGCTAATCAAGGTGGTCAGTTGAAACATTCACACCTAGCTCTAGCAGACAAGAGTCCTTTGTCCCACCCTGGTCATTCCACAGATATATAAATCCTTTTTCCTACTTCCAACAGACTTCACTACCTCTGAGGATGCTTGCCATAGATGCAGGTGAAACGTCAGGAGAGAATGCCTCTAGAACATGGCCATATAGCCCGAAAAAACCTACAACAAACCACTGTTCTGTAGTTTGTTACACAGTGGCAAGGGGAAGTCAAGTATGTTAAGCACACATTCTTGATTTTAAGAAAGCAGATTTCAGTAAACTTAGAGAGAAACCAAAATGCAGTTTGAAACCATTTTAACTGCCCTGGCTCAGTGCTATGGAGTTATGGGATTTATAGTTTATTAAGGAACCTGCATTCCTTGGTAGAGAAGGAAAAAATATAGTCAAACTACAGCTCTAAGGATTCTATAGCATTAAAACAATTTCGGACTGTGATGGAGTTTCCTTCTCTGGAGGCTTTTAAACAGAGGCGGGATGAGCATCTGTACTGGATGACACCTGTGGTACTTCCAACTCCATAATTTTATTATTCTAATAAGTGTGCCTATGACATTAATTCTATTGTATTTGCTTTAAAAAGTTTTTTTATTATGTCTGGAGATGGGGGCAATGTCACCCCTTTTCTTTCTATTAAAATATCCAGAAGAACTAGTCTGTGAGTTGGAATAAAGTGACTTTGACCATAAAGTCATGATTTTGCAGAACAGACAGGGTCAATCACTATGGTTTATAGGAATCAGTAGGGTTTCAGAAGGATATCATCCAGGTATGTAAAAACATGGATACTTTGCAGTCTCTTGTTGGTCATAGGAGTTATCGTTACCATACATTAACATCTTACTTCTTAAGTACAAATAAGTAACCATAATATAAATGATGTGATGCTGTATCTGCACAACATCACATTAGAAATAATAAATGCTTTAGCAATCTTTATTCTGTTTTCTTTCTCTCTCTTTTTTTACTTCTATGCTTTTTCATGTCAGGACAAAAAGCAGTATTTGGAGACTAATGAAGAAGGGGAAAAGATGCATCACATGTCACACTCCAAGCCCTCCGGAAATAATTCAGCAACAAAAGAGAATTTGACTGTCAATACCTGCCACGTATCAGGAATAAAATGTTGCACTCTGGGGTCAGGATCTTTTCTTTCTTCCCGTACAAGAAAATGCCCCATACACTGCAGTTGAAATCGGGAAGATCCCATGCTGATGGCATACTTTGAATACTTCTTTTTAAGTTCTTCTGTCTCATCTTCTGATACCTACGGGAATTTAGGTTTTGTTTTAGATCCATTTAAAATGTGTGCTATTTATTGTCCAATGAGTAGGAAGGGAAAACAGATACATAAGGATTCTGCGCTGCCCTGTTCCAAACCCATTTTACACTTCCTTTTACCTGATAGGGAATAATACAGCTAATTACTACTTTAGGGCATACAATCTAAAGTGTTTAAGATAGTTGCTTAGTAGCAGTGAGGCAAACAGGCATTTGGAGTTCATACCACAGAATGCCAAAAATATAAGCTGATTAGAAAAAATGTTAACTGGTGTATATTTTTTTGAAGTTGCATTATCATCATCATCATCATCATCATCATCATTTATTTCTTATCACCCACTACCAAGGCTGTAAGTAGAGTAAAATTGGTTAAATAGAGCAAATGAAATTATTAATCCATTTAAAAAACATGAACATGAGATTAAAGCACATACGATGGCACAATTACCTTCATATATTTTAAAGAAGTTGCCAGATTGTCAAATCCAAGGCCCCAGAGACATTTGCCAATCTGATGGAATTCTGTCTCTTTCAATAAATCCAGATGATCATAATTTACAATCAATGAATGGATCCGTCTCATCACTTCAGCTGCAATATTTAAGTCCCTCTCAGTTTTTCCTGTGGGGAGGGATACAAACATATTCCCAGAATGATACCCAAATCTGTTCAGAATTTCTAAGGACCTTATCACACGCAGCCTTACCAGCATTGTAATTCGCCAGCCTCTGTGGTGAATCGGGACAGTAGCAGGGTGGTAGTGGGGCAATCCCAGTGCCTCGGATTACAGCTGATGATTGCTCATCCAACATGGGGAAGTGTAGCTGCACTGCTGATGCCCAGAGCAGCCCCATTATTCCTTACAGAATACGGAGCTGCGTTCATGTTGGTGGCGGCAGCCTCCTACCATGCTTCTGCCCCAGTTCACCCACAGAGCCCCACCAGAAGTTGCGTATGATAGGCAGCATGGAGTTTCATGGGTGAACTGCGGCAGAAGCATCCTAGGACACATATTCTACCCCATGTGATAAAGCTTCTAGTAAATTTTCCATTCAGTTTATAATTGTGGAAGCTAGTTGTTTATAAGTTACTATATATATACTATATATGTATAAATTGTATAATTTATACATATATAGCTTATATAGTAACGTATATATATAACTCAAGAACAGGTTTTGGGACAAGAATTATGAATGTTGCTACAACCTGAGAATACAAATTAGGGATATGTAACAAACAAATCTCCCCCCCCCCCACACACACACACACACACACACTTTTTAAAAATTCATAGAGGGAACATATTTAGGAAGAGCTAAAGATGATGAGAGCATCTGTTTCTTTGATGGGATGAAGTGTAAATTGCATTGATAATGCTTAAATATACACAGTAGAAGGAGAACTGCAAGGACAGCAGAGTGGAAGAAGAGCAAAAAGGACTTCGGTTAGGGACATAATCTAAAAGCAGAAGTGAGAAGCTTCCATCCTCTCTTGCTCAACCAGAGAAAGGAAGGCAGTCCATCTTCTTTCTCTAATTCCTAACCCTTTCCCCAGCCATTTTAACAGAGGTTTAGTGGAAATCTTCCATTAAAAATTGCCATCACAGTCTTTCCACAGGGCTTTATGCAGCAAGCTTTACTAAAAATGCCCACCTCCATTTCATTCCACCTCAAGATCCAGGGAAGTCATGCTACCCCTCTATTCTGCCTTGGTTAGACCACACCTGGAATACTGTGTCCAATTCTGAGCACCACACTTAAAGAGAGATATTGACAAGCTGGAATGGGTCCAGAGGAGGGTGACTAAAATGATCAAGGGTCTGGAGAACAAGCCCTACGAAGAGCAGATTAAAGAGCTGGGCCCGTTTAGCCTGAAGAAGAGAAGGCTGAGAGGAGACATGATAGCTATGTATACATATGTGAGGGGAAGTCATAGAGAGGAGGGAGCAAGCTTGTTTTCTGCTGCCCTAGAGACTAGGACGTTGAGCAGTGGCTTCAAACCACAGGAAAGGAGATTCCTCCTGAACATTAGGAAGAACTTTCTGACTGTGAGGGCTGTTCAGCAGTGGAACTCTCTACCCCAAAGTGTGGTGGAGGCTCCTTCTATGGAAGCTTTCAAGCAGATGATGGATGGCCATCTTTTGGGGGTACTTTGAACATGATTTTCCAGCTTCTTGGCAAGGGGTCGGACTGGATGGCCCATGAGGTCTCTTCCAACTCTATGATTCTATGATTCTAAGTCCCCAAACTGGAAAAAAAAAACCACACTCGTCAGACTCCCCAACTTTGCTGCCAAATGTTGCTTGCACTGAAAAAGGTGAGGAAGGAGGGAATGCTGCCTTTCTCCATTTTGGGCAAGCAAGAGGTCATGGGGTAGGAGCTTCTCACCTTTGGACTAGGACTAGGTATTTTCCCATTCAAAATCCCCATTCAGCTTTGAAGCTTACAGGGTAATCTTTGATCCATTTCTCATAATGGAATGATTATAAGGCTATCAACTAGGAGAAATACTGTGTATAACATCTTTATGAAAAACACAATTTAGTAGAATATCGAAATATTTCTTAAAGTAAATAATTCTGGAAGTATGTGGAAATATTAAAGCTTGTCATGATACCGAAAAAGCCCTTCTTTAAGAGGTGCATCAACAATGCATAATATTCAAAATGGTGACTTTAAATTGGTCATATTTGGAAACTAGCAGATAAATTCATCAAAATAACATTTGGGGGGGGAAGGTGACATGCCTACAATGGAATGAGAGCAATTACAATTAAGCAGAGTGGTGAATAATTTGTTGACCACAGGCATGAATCTTTGCCACAGGTGCTACCCTTTTTTCAAAGACAAGACTCTAAGCTTTTGATAATTCAGGATCCAGTGGTATCAGAAATTATTCAGAACTTCACAATTACAACACCACTAGAAAAAGACACTTCTGTAACTATAAGAAACCATTCAGTTTAATGAATTCCCATACCTTTATCTTTACTTACCTACTGTGCTGCAGTATTCAGTCCATAGGCGGAAGCAAACATTTAGTGCTGCCAATTCAGCACGACATTTCACAGATGCACTCAAACATTTTTTCAGAAAGTCCTCTAAATACTTTATTCCAGAGGTAATGTCCTGTTTAATTTTTGTTTCAATTGTCACTGAGAGAACAGCCCATTGCCGTTCTTCTCTTTTCTCTTCTTCTAATTTCCTTCTTTTTTGGTTCTCCTCAATAATCATTTCTGCTTTGCTTTTCTGTGAATAAAGGAGCAACAGAATGTCAGTCTTCTCGTTCTTACCATGTGAAAACTCTTTTGAAGCTACGTCTGAAGAGATCCAAGTTTCATATAATGTTGGTGTTGTGAATGAAATGGTTAAGAAAGGGCAGTGAAAGTCATTGGAGAGAACCTAGTCTTGATAGCCAAAAGGGAAGAAATGATTGAAATGGATACTAGATTGAGCATTACTGGGCAGTCCACAGGTTGAACGCAGCTTCAAAATGACATTTTTATGGTCCCCAGGGATCAAAATGCCTCTAAATTAGGTACAGGAAAGTCAATTTTAAAGCAGTAAGTCAATAGGCAGATTAATAGCTCTTCTAGGTTTGAATTATCCCAGGGTGTGGGGCGGGGAAGAGGAGGAATAATTTCAAAATGGCAAAATGATTCAAGCTCTTATAGAGTATTTGGGGAAACTGGGGAATTTTGTTATTGTTGTTGGGGAGTAGTCCCATTTCGAACACCTGATGATTTGAAATCACAAGCCATGGAGAGTAGAGAAAATAGGCTACACACTCCATCTAAGTACATTAACTGTTTAGCAGTGGTCATAGCAGATGAAAAATATCATGCAGACTTTACAACCTGTCTTGATTGGTGAATCTTTTTTTCACAGGAATTTGGAAATAAACAGATAGTTGCATAAGTTGATAGTCCACCCAGGTTTGTATACTATACATAGAGATCTAATTGTTCTATTTTATCATAAGAGACAAAACAGTGGTCCCCAAGCTATGATCTTCCAGATGTTTTAGACTTCAATTTCCAGACTCCCCAATCAGTGGACATGGAGGTTTGGGAGTTCCTTTTTTTTTGGGGGGGGGGGGGGGGGGATGAAACAGGAGTAATGATGGTTCTTCCTGCTGACGATTGCTGTGTGTGTATATTTGTGATTTCAAGTCGCCTGTCAGCTTATGATGTAATGTCATTAGGGTTTTTAAAATTATACCCAGGGGTGGTTTTACCAGTTCCAACCTCTGAAATATAAACTAGCACTGGTATTTGAGCCCCTCCCAATACCTTCAACTGCCATTGCATTGGCCACTGAATGGGAGGGAGGCAGCAAGCAAGATATCACTACATTGTGCCTTATGTAATACATTTTATTTCTCCTATGTAGATTGAATAACGGGGAGATAATTAATATTTTGTACGCCACTCTATGTGTACTTGTGGCTGAAGAGCAGGACAAAACTTAAAGCCTAAATGAGTCTCCTTTGGGGTAAGAGAGACCAGGATATAAATACAGTAAATAAATAAAATAGATTTTAATAAGTCTCCCACCAAAATATTAACCAAGGCCAACTTAACTTGGATGAACCCCAAACACTTGGACCTAATATGTGTGCTGTGTTGTTATGTACATGTAAATAATAATAATAATAATAATAATAATAATAATAATAATAATAATAGCAATAGTAATACTAACAGGAGCAACCCCAGGAGTCAGCACCCTTCTACCATGCAGGAAAAGCATAATCAAAGCACCTCCTGATCGGTGAGAGGGAAATAAGGTTTTGGAAGCAAGCAAGGAAAAGGGGAAAGGAACTGGGCAGTGAAGAAAAAAGGTTTTTGAGTCATGGGTAACAAGGAAAAAGGCTTTTGGAAGCAAGCAAAGTGAGGGGGAAAGGCTTTGGGGGGGGTGAGGGAGGCAGGGGAAAGGTGTTTGGTAGCAAGGGAAAGAGGGAGGAGCAGGAAGGAGAAGGAGAATGGAAAGCTTGGAGAGGGAGGAGGAAAAGGAACTGCAGAGCCTCTAAGTATGCTTCATAGAGTCCCAAGAACTGTGGTGATAACACAATAGAGTACACTCGGTTCTCTAGATGCACAGAGATGACCATCTGTGGATGCCAATAAACCATTGATGGCTGTGGCTCATATTGTTATATGATGGTAAAATGCATGTAGGTGCTTCAGCGCACCTATGTTCATATTGCTATCATTTTAAGCATAGGACCATCTGTGGATGGTTGAAATGGGGCTCCAGATTGGGAGATCTACAGATTGGGAGGGCCCACTTTAAATGATATCAACAAGTCATAGTGGAATTTTTGGGAGAGGGGTGACTAAACAGTAGTCCAGGGGTTCTCCACCATTGAATTAAGAAATATTTATTTATTTGTTTGCTATATTTCTACTCCATTCTTCTCAACTCCAGAGGGGACTCAAAGCAGCTTACAGACTATGGCAAAATTCAATGCCACATTGTACAAACAAATAATAAATATAACATATAAAATTATAAAACAATTAAACCTATAAATGCAATAAAACAGATTAAAAATAAGACTTAAGATAGTTTTCAGGGTGACTCAGAAGGGATTCAATACAGATTCAGAACATTACTAAAATCACTGCATAAACTAAAAGAAGGACACATTCTACTGGACATGTGGTTACAAAGTGGTTGAGAACAGACATATCTTTTACTTTAGGACTGACTCTTTGTCAAAGACTGCACACTGTTAACAGGTCATAGATGTCCTCAATTTAGGAACAGAAACAAATAATTTGTTTTCATCATTATTCATTCCAAGATGCATTTGGAATGAACAATGATATTATGTAAGCTTTCCCAATGACAATCCAAAATGTTGATATATTTCAGGCCAAAATATTGGGAGTACAATAAAGGTAGAAATTGTACCCAGTCTGAAACCTGTGAAAACCACCATATTTCCACAACAGTTTGCCCCAGATGCATTCTCTAGCTGCTGAAAGTATTCTATTAGATTATTCTGTATGTTGAAAATCTTTTACTTATTTATAGAGGATTCTTAGAGTGGTAGTCCAAAAAGTCAAACTTTCAATTGAATGTCTGCTCAGAACTGTCTTCTTAATACATGGGATAGCATGAGAATGGAATAGTGTTGTAGAAATAAATCAACATTAAGATGTCCTTTATTGAATAAAAGAGCAGTCTAAATCAGGATAGGTTTATTAAGAAATGAAAAGATTGTGAGAATTCCTCAACTGCCTAAATAAAAACAAAAGACATTGTGGCTAAATTAATATCAAACAGTGATCTTGAAATCATTTGTGGCTCTTACTTGGGTTTTTTTGCTTTTCTTGCTATTAGTATCAGTCTTCTTTGGAGGATCTGCTTGAGTAGCAATTGTTTTTGATATTTTACCTTCTAGAGATTGCCCATAAAATCGTTGAAAAACTTGCAGTTTTTGTTTCTTTCGTTGATCCCATAGGTTTTTGGGTGTTCGATCTAAACATATTAATAGGTTTATTTATTTATTTATGACATTTATATCCTGCCCTTCTCACCTTGAAGGGGACTCCGAACGGCTTACATGAGTGGCATTATTCCATGCCCGAAGAACAACAATTAAAAGTAAATAAACAACAATGTAAAACAACATTAAAACAATATATGTAAACACTAGACAACTATCATACATAGATCCGAAGCCATATAATCAGCCATATAATCAATCCAAAGTCAATTCCAATTATATTACACAAAATGCTTGCTCCCAAAGCCAAATTTTCACTTGTTTGCAAAATGACAGGAGGGAAGGGGCCAATCTAATCCCACCAGGGAGGAAGTTCAGTGGAAGTTTAATCCCACTAGGGAAGAAGTTCAGCTGAGGAGCCGCCACTGAGAAGGCCCTGTCTCTCATCCCCACCAGTCATGCCTGCAAAGGTATAGAGTTTAGTGATTTCATTAGGAACTAGACTTCAGTGAAGTGCTTGCCTTCTTTGTGGTATCACATCGCCATCAACTGCTTCTACTGTTATCTGCCTCTGAAAGCTCTTCCCCAGACAGGGCCCAATCCTGGGAGGAATTGAGATATTTAATCCCAGTTCCTCCCAGGATTCAGGCCCTACACCAGCTGCAAAACCACGCTTTTTCTGAGGTGGTGGCTACATGCTGTCCCAGAGGTTGACCCGGGAGTGCATCCAGCCAGCTCGCAGCCCCCCATTTTCCCCAAAAAACTTACTTGAGGGGGCTTGCTGCCTGCCCAGACCCCTCCATGAAAGCTCCTGACATGGAAGGTGGGAAAGAAGCCCAGAAGGAAAGGGAGGGAGGGAGAAGAGAGGCAGCAGCTGTTGCCAAACAGGTCCCCATAAAGTGATTTTTTTCCCAATTCCTTAATCTGAAATACAGCCTATACCAACTGGTATTCACTGAGGGTCTCCCAGGATTTCACAACATTGAACCTGGGCAATTAAAGTGGTGTTAAGTTACACTCATTCTACAGCCTAGATTCACCCAAGGAAGCTGAGGCAGGATAAACAGTAGAGGATCCTTTAGGGAAGGGCTACCTATTTCTCTGGTTTTCCTTTCAATTGTTGAAAGATTTGGTGTCTTAACACTTTGGTGCTTTAAAGAAGCAATTCTAAACACGTAGCAACTTTAATACATGGCTTTTTTGGCCAAATTACAAAGAGTGCAGATTTTGCCACTGTGCATTACATTTGCCAGCAAATATTTATTTTATTTTTATTTCAGAGTTTTGAAAACGGAAGTGCACATTACATTTGATGATGCACTAGATTTGAGTGAATACTGTGGTCTTCCTTTAAAGTGAACAGAAAAATAAAGTATACATCTGGAATTTGTTGTAGGAAAACTTTTTGAACCCAGTCATGAAATCTACTTTGCCTCTATGAGCAAGTAAGAATGAGTAAATTTACTGTTATATATTAATAAATGCAATCATGATATAAGTTTTAAAACTGGTGAAAGTCTATAATAGGAGAGGAACAATCTGTGATCATGGAAACTGGTACCACAAATTATACAGTCGATTTTCCCGCATTTAGGGAAATTGCAGGTGTCAGCAAGCAAACCCGGAGTTCAATGGAGGACCTCACCCTGGGAAAACCATTCCTTGACTTATTTAATTTTATTCCTTTATTCTTTTACCTTCACGTGTTCTAGCATAATCATCACTAAGGAGTTTTCCTGAATGCCAGTGATGAAGTTCATCAAAATTCTTCTGTTTTTTAAGTGAGGTAACCATAGGATCATCACTAAAATGTAAGGAATGCACATATATGTTAATGTTAAAAAACTTGAAACAATATATTTTTGAGATATACTGTCCCTACACCCAGGTTACAGTACATGGATTAGTGATCACTGGTATGGTATAAAAATGCAGAAATTGTCAGAGCCTATGCTGGACCTTAGGGAAGGCTGAGCGAAGGAAGATAGATGCTTTTGAACTGTGGTGTTGGAGGAAAGTTCTCAGAGTGCCTTGGACTGCGAGAAGATTCAACCAGTCCATCCTCCAGGAAATAAAGCCCGACTGCTCATTGGAGGGAAGGATACTAGAGACAAAGTTGAAGTACTTTGGCCACATCATGAGGAGACAGCAAAGCCTAGAGAAGACAATTATGCTGGGGAAAGTGGAAGGCAAAAGGAAGAGGGGCCGACCAAGGGCAAGATGGATGGATGGCATCCTTGAAGTGACTGGACTGACCTTGAAGGAGCCGGGGGTGGTGACGGCCGACAGGGAGCTCTGGCGTGGGCTGGTCCATGAGGTCACGAAGAGTCAGAGACGACTGAACGAATGAACAACAACAACAAATGTATAAATTCAGAATCTTGTTCATATAATTATTTAGTGTGGGCTCTGAGTTTGTGTTAAGATTCACAGAAAATTCAACTGACATGAGGCTAAACATTTATGAGAGAAATAATACAGAAACATCTCACAACTTAATGCAATACATCCTTTCATTATTTAGTTGCAAAAGTCTATGTGATGTGGACATCTTACGACCTTGTCACATGGCCACCAGCGTCGGTCCACTTCGGCATGGGGAATCTGATGCCCACATCCCACATTGCCCAGATCCAGGTGAGAGCAATCACATAGGGAAAGCATGGAGTATGTGTGGAACGTGCAGCTTCCCCCATTGATTCTACAGCAACCCAAGAAGCCTCTCATGTTTCCCTAGTGGAGGCATGCACCGGCTCCACCCTCCTTCGCCTATCGAGCCATGCCTGCATCCTCTGATGGAAGATGGCCAGCTCCGTGGGTGACCTGTGCTAAAATCAGTGCATGCCGCTGTTTTTAGCCCCATGTGAAGAGGTCCTTACTAGGACAGTTCCCTGTAACAAAAATTCCATCCCAAGAAATTGAATTTAATAGAGAAGGTCAAACATTCCTAAGAGAAAAATCCTATATTCCCTTTAAGGCAAACTGAGGATCAACTATAAATCTCCAGTTATATCAGCAGAGAGGGGAATTAATTGATGAAGGTTCTTCAAATGAGACAATAGAGGTTTCCTTTGCCAAATTTTCTTGGTTTTTCTTACTCTACTTGCATGGGGTCATGCTGAGTATAGCTCGGTATAGCTTTCTTACCTCAATATGTCCCCAAAGTTCCTTGTCACAGTGGTAAACCATTTTTTAAAAGACTGGCACCTCTGAAAATCTGTTTTGGCTCGGATGATTATGCAGGAATTACAAAATGATGACCGCTCTGCCAGGAACCTCACTCTAAGTCATCAGTAAGACATGTGCTGGCATAAATATAGATAATTTGCAGTGTGCATCTTTACATTAATATTTACTGAAAATAAGATCATTTAAGCATGTAGGGCTAAATTTTGATCAGGTCCATAAGATTTGCCCCATTACCAACAAATCATCAGATCAGCCACTTATTTGGCAGTTAAGAGTTATGACAACTACATCAATGGTGAACTTCTAATGCATTACTTCAGATTAAAACTTCCAGAATTGACTGATCTACATGGAATGGACTTACTGCCTAGGAATTCTGGAAGTTGTAATCCAAAGAAACAACTTTCCCATGCTCTTAACTGTGATAAGAGTGCTCTACGCAAAGTAGGACATCCTTATAAATAAAAAAGAACCCAATTCCAATGATTTAATCAATTTTTTTGAAATAATGAACAAACTGAACATGTATATGTTTGTATAGCCATGTGGCCCATCCCCATGGTTATTTAATGTGATTGGAAAGATCAACCCTCAGACATGTTTTTACTACATGACAGATTCATCTGAAACACACAGTGCCATTAACTTTGCAACACACATTACTTGTATGGCCCATTATGCCTCTGGTTGCTGGATGTTTGACTTTTGGTCTGGTCTCTATGAATCTTTACTACAGATCTGAACCTGTAGTGATTTTAATAATTGGTTTTCATGTTCTGATGTTTCTAACTTTATGGTTTTAATGTATATGTTTTTTCTTCGTGGTCTCTGCGAATGCACACTTGTGGAGAGACTGCGCCTGCGCGGGCTCCAACGGAAACTTCTACAGTTTAAACTTTTCAAGTAACCCCGCCCAGCCCCGGCAGGGGATAAAAGGGCGCCCCGCGCATACCGACACAATTCCTGTTTTTCCGCCGCACGACTCGCTTCGATTCTTCTACTAGTGATTGGATAGTATTATGTCAACGACTCGCTTTAAAAGATGCGCGAATTGTCCGAGGAAGATCCCTGATTCGGACAAGCACGCTCTTTGTCTTTTGTGTCTCGGAGAGGCACACATCACATCTTCATGTCATCATTGTCAATCGTTGACGGCACAGTCCCGTAAAAATCGGGTTCATCGGCTTCGATACCTTCTGTACCAGCAGACGTTGGCTCCGGTACCTTCAACATCGACATCGGCATCGACGTCAACTGCAGTATCCAAGCCATCGACATCGACGTCGAAGGAGGCATCAACCTCAAAATCCGTCGATCCCTCGACTGAGGTCGAGCCTCGCCAGACAAGGGCGAAAAAGACTGCACAGAAAAGACCGAGGTCAGCTATGTCGACAGCTTCTAAGGCTTCGGTGTCGACAGCTTCTAAGGCCACGAGGCCTGCGAAGCAGAAGGAACCATGCACGGTCACGACTGAAACCGTGCGCATCCGGCACTCTTCGACCAGCTCGGTGGCGTCGGTGAGATCAATCAGGTCCACGAGGTTGACATCGGAGACTCCGCCATCTTCCACGGCGGTTCGCATTGCCTTTCGCCGAGCTCATGAGGAATCTCGGCGTGCTTCCACCTCATCCTCCATCCCGCCCACCCCGGGCAAGTCTCTGTCGAAGACAGCACAGCCGCCGGCAAAGAAGAAGAAGTCGATGCCGCCTCCATCCTCGTCTTCTTCTTCCCGAAGACAAACCACTGCCTCCTCGGCCACCTCGTCGGCGAGGTCATCACCGTTGCAGCCAGCTCAAACTCAGCAGGCCCCTCAGCCCACTCAGGAGCCACAGCGGTCACCAGAGCCGCTTTTGGAGCAGCCTGATTCCCCTGTGATTTCAGTGGACACAGTGATCGAGGCACCAACTCGACATGTTACAGCCAGACAGGAGCTTTTTCCATCTGTGACAGCCAGACAGGAGACCGTGACAACTGTGAGGGCAAGACAGGAGACTTCTCCAGTGACGGAGACTCCAGAAAGGGGCCATCTCCCACGGACAATGTCCGAGCCTTTGCAGATCAAATGGCTCGCATGGCTGATGCCTAGGCTTGGAGGTCAAGCAGACTTCCAAAGCAGTGCAGGACCCGGTGTTTAAGAGGGTGCAATCAGAATCTCCACCTGCTCCTCTTCTACCCTTCCTTCCCTATCTCCTCGAGGTCATCCAGGGTTCCTGGAAAACCCCTTCCTCCATCCCTCCAACATCCAAAAAGATAGAATCATGGTACAGAACGGACGATGAGGGTTTGGAGTGGCTCAAACATCACCCCGATCCCAACTCGGTGGTGGTTAAAGCAGCTCAGGCGTTTGGGAGGCAATTGTCGACGCCGTCCGATCGTGAAGGGAAGAGATTTGATGCGGTGGGCAGAAAGCTCTACTCCGGAGCCCTCTTGTTAGCTCGCATGGCCAACTATGGCGCTTGTATGGGTGCATACCAGCAGATTCTCTGGGAGAAAGCGGCACCGTTTTTCCAGAGGATGTCTGAGGAAGATCGTACTGTCCTCTCCACTCTGGCTCAGGAGGCGAATTCCCTGGCACATCACCAGATGCAGATGGCCAAACACACAGGAGACACTGCGGGCAAGATGATCGCCCACGCCGTGGCAATTAGGAGGCATGCCTGGCTCCGGTCCTCTGGCCTCTCAACATCATCGAGGCAGGTCATCGAGGACCTCCCGTTTGACACCTTGGGACTCTTTAATGCCGGGACGGACGACAAGCTAAAGTCAAATCATGACTTCAAGACTCTGGCTGCCAAGTGCGGGTTCGAAAACCAGAACCAGGCACAGAGAACCAGATGGTTCCAATACAAGCGTCGGCACACGGTCCCGTACCGGACGATCCAATACCGCCAGCCAGCCCGTCCTCTGCATGCTTCCCAACAAACCCACCCTCAACAGCCTCAACAGCAGCGTAGGCAGCACCAACAGCAGTGCTCACGATCCCGCCAGGCTTCAGGAGGCAACCAGGCCAGGCGCTGCATTTGACGCCCCAATGGGCGATACCGCTTACAGTTCCGTTACCGATGTTGTTCCCATGTCCCTCCCAATGGTACCCGCCCTCATCCTTCCATCCAGCTCGACACCGTTCGGGGATCGCCTGACGAACTTTCTCCCTGCATGGGAAAATATCACCTCAGATGCATGGGTTTTAAAGATTGTCAACGAAGGCTATTCATTGGAGTTCGAAGAGCTCCCACCAATGGGGCATATTGTCGATACCGAACCATCTTCGGCAATTCTGACAGAAGTCGAGACCTTGCTTCTGAAAGGGGCCATTTCCCCCCTACCGGACTCTCAAAACCATCGAGCCTTCTTCTCCAGATACTTTACTGTCCCAAAGCCGGATGGCTCCCTCCGCCCAATCCTCGATCTCAGAGACTTAAACTCCTTCATCGAACCCCAAAAGTTCCGGATGGTGACGGTATCATCCATACTCCCTCTCCTCAGATACGGGGACTTCTTCGCGTCCGTCGATCTCCGGGACGCTTATTTCCACCTCTCAGTCAGAAAACACCACAGACGCTTCCTGGCTTTCAGGGTAGCGGGACAGACTTATGCCTTCAACGTGCTTCCATT